TATTGGCTGGTAGGTCTATTGGCTGGTAGGTCTATTGGCTGGTAGGTCTATTGGCTGGTAGGTCTATTGGCTGGTAGGTCTATTGGCTGGTAGGTCTATTGGCTGGTAGGTCTATTGGCAGGTAGGTCTATTGGCTGGTAGGTCTATTGGCAGGTAGGTCTATTGGCAGGTAGGTCTATTGGCTGGTAGGTCTATTGGCTGGTAGGTCTATTGGCTGGTAGGTCTATTGGCTGGTAGGTCTATTGGCTGGTAGGTCTACTGGCTGGTAGGTCTACTGGCTGTTAGGTCTATTGGCTGGTAGGTCTATTGGCTGGTAGGTCTATTGGCAGGTAGGTCTATTGGCAGGTAGGTCTATTGGCTGGTAGGTCTATTGGCTGGTAGGTCTATTGGCTGGTAGGTCTATTGGCTGGTAGGTCTATTGGCTGGTAGGTCTATTGGCTGGTAGGTCTATTGGCTGGTAGGTCTATTGGCTGGTAGGTCTATTAGTTGGTAGGTCTATTAGTTGGTAGGTCTATTGGCTGGTAGGTCTATTGGCTGGTAGGTCTATTGGCTGATAGGTCTATTGGCTGAAAGGACTATTGGCTGGTAGGTCTATTGGCTGATAGGTCTATTGGCTGGTAGGTCTAATGGCTGGCTGGTAGGTCTAATGGCTGATAGGTCTATTGGCTGGTAGGTCTATTGGCTGGTAGGTCTATTGGCTGGTAGGTCTATTGGCTGGTAGGTCTATTGGCTGGTAGGTCTATTGGTTGATAGATCTATTGGCTGGTAGGTCTATTGGCAGGTAGGTCTATTGGCAGGTAGGTCTATTGGCAGGTAGGTCTATTGGCTCGTAGGTCTATGGCTCGTAGGTCTATTGGCTGGTAGGTCTATTGGCTGGTAGGTCTATTGGCTGGTAGGTCTATTGGCTGGTAGGTCTATTGGCTGGTAGGTCTATTGGCTGGTAGGTCTATTGGCTGATAGGACTATTGGCTGAAAGGACTAATGGCTGGTAGGTCTATTGGCTGATAGGTCTATTGGCTGGTAGGTCTATTGGCTGGTAGGTCTATTGGCTGATAGGTCTATTGGCTGGTAGGTCTATTGGCTGGTAGGTCTATTGGCTGGTAGGTCTATTGGCTGGTAGGTCTATTGGCTGGTAGGTTATTGGTGGTAGGTCTATTGGCTGTAGGTCTATGGCTGATAGGTCTACTGGCTGATAGGTCTACTGGCTGATAGGTCTACTGGCTGATAGGTCTACTGGCTGATAGGTCTATTGGCTGGTAGGTCTATTGGCTGGTAGGTCTATTGGCTGGTAGGTCTATTGGCTGGTAGGTCTATTGGCTAGGTTATTGGCGGTTCTAGTTCTATTGGCTGGTAGGTCTATTGGCTGGTAGGTCTATTGGCTGGTAGGTCTATTGGCTGGTAGGTCTATTGGCTGATAGGTCTATTGGCTGATAGGTCTATTGGCTGGTAGGTCTATTGGCTGGTAGGTCTATTGGCTGGTAGGTCTATTGGCTGATAGGTCTATTGGCTGGTAGGTCTATTGGCTGGTAGGTCTATTGGCTGGTAGGTCTATTGGCTGGTAGGTCTATTGGCTGGTAGGTCTAATGGCTGGTAGGTCTAATGGCTGGTAGGTCTATTGGCTGATAGGTCTATTGGCTGATAGGTCTATTGGCTGATAGGTCTATTGGCTGATAGGTCTATTGGCTGATAGGTCTATTGGCTGATAGGTCTATTGGCTGATAGGTCTATTGGCTGATAGGTCTATTGGCTGATAGGTCTATTGGCTGATAGGTCTATTGGCTGATAGGTCTATTGGCTGATAGGTCTATTGGCTGATAGGTCTATTGGCTGATAGGTCTATTGGCTGATAGGTCTATTGGCGGGCGGGTTAGGTCTATTGGCGGATAGGTCTATTGGCTGGTAGGTCTATTGGCTGGTAGGTCTATTGGCTGGTAGGTCTATTGGCTGGTAGGTCTAATGGCTGGTAGGTCTATTGGCTGATAGGTCTATTGGCTGATAGGTCTATTGGCTGGTAGGTCTATTGGCTGGTAGGTCTATTGGCTGGTAGGTCTATTGGCTGATAGGTCTATTGGCTGATAGGTCTATTGGCTGATAGGTCTATTGGCTGATAGGTCTATTGGCTGGTAGGTCTATTGGCTGGTAGGTCTATTGGCTGGTAGGTCTATTGGCTGGTAGGTCTATTGGCTGATAGGTCTATTGGCTGATAGGTCTATTGGCTGGTAGGTCTATTGGCTGATAGGTCTATTGGCTAATAGGTCTATTGGCTGGTAGGTCTATTGGCTGGTAGGTCTATTGGCTGGTAGGTCTGTTGGCTGATAAGTCTGTTGGCTGATAGGTCTATTGGCTGATAGGTCTATTGGCTGATAGGTCTATTGGCTGATAGGTCTATTGGCTGATAGGTCTATTGGCTGATAGGTCTATTGGCTGATAGGTCTATTGGCTGATAGGTCTATTGGCTGATAGGTCTATTGGCTGATAGGTCTATTGGCTGATAGGTCTATTGGCTGGTAGGTCTATTGCCTGATAGGTCTATTGCCTGAGGTCTATTGGCTGATAGGTCTATTGGCTGATAGGTCTATTGGCTGGTAGGTCTATTGGCTGATAGGTCTATTGGCTTATAGGTCTATTGGCTTATAGGTCTATTGGCTGGTAGGTCTATTGGCTGGTAGGTCTATTGGCTGATAGGTCTATTGGCTGATAGGTCTATTGGCTGATAGGTCTATTGGCTGATAGGTCTATTGGCTGGTAGGTCTATTGGCTGGTAGGTCTATTGGCTGGAAGGTCTAATGGCTGATAGGTCTAATGCCTGATAGGTCTATTGGCTGATAGGTCTATTGGCTGATAGGTCTATTGGATGGTAGGTCTACTGGCTGGTAGGTCTATTGGCTGATAGGTCTATTGGCTGATAGGTCTATTGGCTGATAGGTCTATTGGCTGATAGGTCTATTGGCTGATAGGTCTATTGGCTGATAGGTCTATTGGCTGGTAGGTCTATTGGCTGGTAGGTCTATTGGCTGGTAGGTCTATTGGGTGATAGGTCTATTGGCTGGTAGGTCTATTGGCTGATAGGTCTATTGGCTGATAGGTCTATTGGCTGGTAGGTCTATTGGCTGGTAGGTCTATTGGCTGGTAGGTCTATTGGCTGATAGGTCTATTGGCTGATAGGTCTATTGGCTGATAGGTCTATTGGCTGATAGGTCTATTGGCTGGTAGGTCTATTGGCTGGTAGGTCTATTGGCTGGTAGGTCTATTGGCTGGTAGGTCTATTGGCTGATAGGTCTATTGGCTGATAGGTCTATTGGCTGGTAGGTCTATTGGCTGATAGGTCTATTGGCTAATAGGTCTATTGGCTGGTAGGTCTATTGGCTGGTAGGTCTATTGGCTGATAGGTCTATTGGCTGATAGGTCTATTGGCTGGTAGGTCTATTGGCTGATAGGTCTATTGGCTGATAGGTCTATTGGCTGGTAGGTCTATTGGCTGGTAGGTCTATTGGCTGGTAGGTCTGTTGGCTGATAAGTCTGTTGGCTGATAGGTCTATTGGCTGATAGGTCTATTGGCTGATAGGTCTATTGGCTGATAGGTCTATTGGCTGATAGGTCTATTGGCTGATAGGTCTATTGGCTGATAGGTCTATTGGCTGATAGGTCTATTGGCTGATAGGTCTATTGGCTGATAGGTCTATTGGCTGATAGGTCTATTGGCTGGTAGGTCTATTGCCTGATAGGTCTATTGCCTGAGGTCTATTGGCTGATAGGTCTATTGGCTGATAGGTCTATTGGCTGGTAGGTCTATTGGCTGATAGGTCTATTGGCTTATAGGTCTATTGGCTTATAGGTCTATTGGCTGGTAGGTCTATTGGCTGGTAGGTCTATTGGCTGATAGGTCTATTGGCTGATAGGTCTATTGGCTGATAGGTCTATTGGCTGATAGTTCTATTGGCTGGTAGGTCTATGGCTGGTAGGTCTATTGGCTGGAAGGTCTAATGGCTGATAGGTCTAATGCCTGATAGGTCTATTGGCTGATAGGTCTATTGGCTGATAGGTCTATTGGATGGTAGGTCTACTGGCTGGTAGGCTATGGCTGATAGGTCTATTGGCTGATAGGTCTATTGGCTGATAGGTCTATTGGCTGATAGGTCTATTGGCTGATAGGTCTATTGGCTGATAGGTCTATTGGCTGGTAGGTCTATTGGCTGGTAGGTCTATTGGCTGGTAGGTCTATTGGCTGATAGGTCTATTGGCTGATAGGTCTATTGGCTGATAGGTCTATTGGCTGATAGGTCTATTGGCTGATAGGTCTATTGGCTGATAGGTCTATTGGCTGATAGGTCTATTGGCTGGTAGGTCTATTGGCTGGTAGGTCTATTGGCTGGTAGGTCTATTGGCTGGTAGGTCTATTGGCTGGTAGGTGTTTTGGCTGGTAGGTGTATTGGCTGGTAGGTGTATGGGCTGGTAGGTCTATTGGCTGGTAGGTCTATTGGCTGGTAGGTCTATTGGCTGATAGGTCTATTGGCTGATAGAACTATTGGGTGATAGGTCTATGGCTGATAGGTCTATGGCTGGTAGGTCTATTGGCTGATAGGTCTATTGGCTGATAGGTCTATTGGCTGATAGGTCTATTGGCTGGTAGGTCTATTGGCTGATAGGTCTATTGGCTGATAGGTCTATTGGCTGATAGGTCTATTGGCTGATAGGTCTATTGGCTGGTAGGTCTATTGGCTGGTAGGTCTATTGGCTGGTAGGTCTATTGGCTGGTAGGTCTATTGGCTGGTAGGTGTATTGGCTGGTAGGTGTATTGGCTGGTAGGTGTATGGGCTGGTAGGTCTATTGGCTGATAGGTCTATTGGCTGATAGGTCTATTGGCTGGTAGGTCTATTGGCTGATAGGTCTATTGGCTGATAGAACTATTGGCTGATAGGTCTATTGGCTGATAGGTCTATTGGCTGGTAGGTCTATTGGCTGATAGGTCTATTGGCTGATAGGTATATTGGCTGATAGGTCTATTGGCGGGTTACCATCACCCATGCACCCCAACTCGCTGTTCCCCCCTTCCCTCCCTTCCCTTCTCTCACCTTGAGAGCATCGCTGTTGGTGGGGTGCACGGCCAGCACCTTCTCCAGCGTGCCCAGTGCTGCCTTGGCATCTCCCAGACTCAGCTGAATCTGCCCCAGCCCTGCACGCAGAAGAGAAAGGGGGGAGGGGGGGAGCGTACACCCATTAGTTAGTCACGAGGTGACTTTTGAGTCGACTCAAAAAACACCCATCAGTCAGCCACGCGCATGCTTACCAGAATGCCTTACCTTGCCTCTGACTCTAAGAACGTGTCGCGACAACCAGAGAGAAAGAGGTATCATGCTTTAAGGCGCGGAGAGACCGTATGACTCAAGGCAGCAAGTGACAGCGACAGAGAGCAGCGGGAGAGTGGGTGGGGGACAGCTTACCGTAGTAGGGCAGAGCGAACTCCCCCGGCTGCACTGTCTCTGTGGCCGCCTTGTAATACGCAAAAGCTTTCTTCCTGTCTCCCTGTGCCATGACACCCAAAGAGGAGGGAAGGGAAGGGGAGAGAGACGGAGTGAGTGTGGGAGGGAAGGATCGGGTGACTGGCACCGAGTGCACGTGGCCATGGTGTGCACACCATGGTGCAAATCTGCGCATGGTGATGGCACAGGGAAGCAGAACCCACCTGCGCATGGTAGGTGCAAGCGAGGCAATAGTAGGCTTCAGCACGGGGCAGAGAAGCTTCTGTGCTGGCGAGGGCGAGCGCGGCCAGGGGTCCACTAGGCCGTGCAGCGCAGGGAGGGGCCCAACAGGGCCCTGCGAGCGGAGGAATTTTACCATGGAAGGGCGCTAGCCCGCTGGCATGTGTATTTCTCTCTCACCTGAGCATGATAAGTGCGTGCGAGGCAATAGTAGGCTTCAGCACGCGGCAGAGAAGCTTCTGTGCTGGCAAGGGCGAGCGAGGCCAGGGGGCCCACCAGGTCGTGCAGTGCAGGGCGGGCACACCTAGGAACGGATTCTATCAGGGAGGAGTGACAGCCATGCCAACTGCACAATGTGTCTCTCACCTGAGCGTGGTAGGTGCGGGCAAGGCAGTAATAGGCTTCAGCACGCGGCAGAGAAGCCTCAGTGCTGGCGAGGGTGAGCGCAGCGAGGGGGTCGACGAGGCCGTGCAGAGAGGGGCCGGCGAGGCCAGGGATTTTACCACGGAAGGGTGCTAACTCACTGGCATCTGTATCTCTCACCTGCGCGTGGTAGGTGCGCGCGAGGCAGTAGTAGGCCTCGGCACGGGGAAGAGAGGCTTCTGTGCTGGCGAGGGCGAGCGCAGCAAGTGGTCAACGAGGCCGTGCAGGGAGGGGCCGGCGAGGAAGGCGTGGTTGGCGAGATGGTTGAGCGCCATGGGGTGGAAGGGGAACGCGTGGAAGGCTGCTAGCATGCGCTGCTGGCCCCTCTGCACTGCTGCGACTGCCATGAGCGAAAGGAGATGGGCACAGGGGAGGTGCAGGAAGGGCGGTTATGCCATGCAGGGCTTAAAGGCTGAACGGTGCGGTGGGAATGGCAGTTCGTGAGAGAAGGAGAAGGGGGTCCACAATCACATCAGCATTCCCATGGCAGCTGCAGCACCCTCTCCGGCGCCTGCCTGACTTACCCGTGCATTCACATACCCCCATACAAGCCCAATCCATGCACCACAGCCATACCGTCATGGGAGTTCACATCCAGTAATCCCAGCGCGACAAGTGCATCTGCGTTCCCCGCCTCCAGTTCCACCACTCGCTCCAGCGCCTGCCTGGCCTTGCCCGCGTGGAACTCCCTGCGTGCTGCTGCTGGCTGGCGGGCTGCTGAGGAGGCGAAGAGGCGCAGGTGGCACAGGCCGATGCCCAACCGCACTGAAGGCGGGCAATTCGGGTGCAGCTGCAGCACCTTCTGCTTGCCTTCTGCTTGCGGGGGAAAGGGGTGAAGGAGGAAGAGTAGGTGAGAAGGGGGAAGCGGGTGTGCTGAGAGAAAGGCATCTCATAGAATAATGTGTGCAAGCAAGGGGGTTGTATGCAAGGGGGTTGCATGCAAGGGGGTGGCGATGCATGCAAGCGGGTTGCACACAAGAGGGTCGCAAACGCTGTTAGGCTGTTAGGCTGTTAGGCTGTTACGCTGTTACGCTGTTACGCTGTTACGCTGTTACGCTGTTACGCTGTTACGCTGTTACGTTGTTACGCAGATACGCTGATACGCTGTTACGCTGATCCGCTGATCCGCTGATCCCCTGATCCCCTGATCCGCTGATCCGCTGATCCGCTGATCCGCTGATACGCTGTTACGCTGTTACGCTGTTACGCTGTTACGCTGTTACGCTGTTAGGCTGTTAGGCTGTTACGCTGTTACGCTGTTACGCTGTTACGCTGTTACGCTGTTACGCTGTTACGCTGTTACGCTGTTAGGCTGTTAGGCTGTTACGCTGTTACGCTGTTACGCTGTTACGCTGTTACGCTGTTACGCTGTTACGCTGTTACGCTGTTACGCTGTTCGGCTGATACGCTGTTACGCTGTTACGCTGTTACGCTGTTAGGCTGTTAGGCTGTTAGGCTGTTAGGCTGTTACGCTGTTACGCTGTTACGCTGTTACGCTGTTACGCTGTTACGCTGTTACGCTGTTACGCTGATACGCTGTTACACTGATACGTTGTTACGCTGTTACGCTGTTAGGCTGTTAGGCTGTTAAGCTAATACGCTGATACGCTGTTACATGTCAGATTACCATCTTCATTGTAACCTGCATCATCATATACGCTTTGACTAGAGATAGGCACCCAAACTTAGTTTGGGTGCACAACTAGGGTTTACCCTAGTTTGAGGTTGGAACCCAACCTTGGCCCAATTATTGGGCCCCCAAGGTTGGGTTGGGAGATTATTGGCCCCCCCAATAATGTTGACCCACTTTTGGTCAACATTATTGGTCCCCCCAATAACTCCTCAACCCAACTTATTGGTGGGGGCCAATAATGTTGGCATGGCTCCTACATCCTAGCTCAACTATGTAAACCCATGCCCTTCCTAATGAAACTATCGGTTGTTCTTACACTTTCTCACATGGTATTCAGAGCAACTACGGCTCACACCATCTCGATCCTAAGGACCGCACATACCGCGTGCTATATCACGCCCCCCTCTCTCACGCGACACTACGTCGCCCTTTGCGCCTAGTGCGCCCCTACGCCGTCACGCCCCCCCCCCCTCCCCTTGCGCTAAATTTCAGCGCCCCCCTCCCTCCTTTCTACAGTCAATTCCGCCTCTCGCGGCTCTCCCCTCTCTCCCACTAACCCATCAACCGTCGGAACGGCCACGCCAACCGTCGGAACGATCCGCGCAACCGTCGGAACGATCTGCGCAACCGTCGGAACGACCAGCGCGACCGTCGGGACGGCCAGCACGAGCGACGGAACCCTAATCGCGGGCGGACGCCACACCCGCGACGAGCATCGGCGACCGCCGCGACCGACGAAACCCTAATCGCGGGCGGACGCCACACCCGCGACGAACGACGGCCGCGGACGCGACGAGAACGGGCGACCGCCGCGGACGCGACCAGCGGGGGCGGACGCCGCGGACGCGACTAGCGAGGGCGACCGCCGCGGACGCGACCAGCGGGGGCGGACGCCGCGGACGCGACCAGCGCGGGCGGACGCCGCGGACGCGACCAGCGCGGGCGGACGCCGCGGACGCGACCAGCGAGGGCGGACGCCGCGGACGCGACCAGCGAGGGCGGACGCCGCGGACGCGACCAGCGCGGGCGACCGCCGCGGACGCGACCAGCGGGGGCGGACGCCGCGGACGCGACCAGCGAGGGCGGACGCCGCGGACGCGACCAGCGAGGGCGGACGCCGCGGACGCGACCAGCGCGGGCGGACGCCGCGGACGCGACCAGCGAGGGCGGACGCCGCGGACGCGACCAGCGAGGGCGGACGCCGCGGACGCGACCAGCGAGGGCGGACGCCGCGGACGCGACCAGCGCGGGCGGACGCCGCGGACGCGACCAGCGAGGGCGGACGCCGCGGACGCGACCAGCGAGGGCGGACGCCGCGGACGCGACCAGCGCGGGCGGACGCCGCGGACGCGACCAGCGCGGGCGGACGTCACGGACGCGACCAGCGAGGGCGACGCTGCGGACACGACCAGCGCGGGCGGACGCCGCGGACGCGACCAGCGAGGGCGACCGCTGCGGACGCGTCCAGGAGCAGCCGCGTGTCGTCAAGGCACAGCTGCAGGCGACGAGGCGCAGCCGCGGGCGACGAGACGCAGCCGCGGGCGACAAGGGGCAGCCGCGGGTGACGAAGCGCTGCCGCACGCAACGTGACCGCGCCACCCCTCCAGGTGGTGTCGTCTTTGACCGCACCCGCCCTCCAGCCGGTGTCGTCACCCTCTCCCCCCCCCTCCTCCCCCCTCATGGCGGACGACTCTACTCCCATTGAACTCGGAGCTATCGATAAGCTCGAACTCCTCCATGACACTACGGCCGTGAACTGGGCGTCGTTTGAGGACACACTTCACACCCACCTTGGCTCTGTCATTGTTCAAGACTACTGTCTTCTTGATGTAGTTCTTGAGCACCCTAACGGCCTTCCACCCGTCCCCCCTCCTCCTCTTGAGCCTCCTCCTCCTGATGCCCCTCCTCCCCCAGAGCCTCTGTCTGATCCCCCTCGTGCCCCAGTTCATGATGACAACCCAGATCGATGGGCGGCCAACTTGAACAACTACAACAAGCTTCGCGATGCCTACACCATCCAGCGTGAGGCGCACCGTGCTGCTGAGAAGGCTCACGCTGATGCTACTGCGCGTATCTTTTCCTACGCACAGGATGAGAAAGACTATGCTGATGAACTTCGCAAGTTCAACAAGGATACTGCAGCATGGCGAATTGCGGATCGCCGCGCTCTAGCCATTATCTTCTCCTGCATCCCTTCCCATCTCAAACGTGACCTCCGCCCCACCTCCTCCTCTGGCCTCTGGAAAACCCTGTCCACTCAGTACGACCGACAGGACCTTCGCTCTCTCCTTGCTCTCTTTCGCAAATTTCAAGACACCACTCTTGACTCATCCCCCACTGCTGCTGCCTTCACTCGGCGCCTCATCGACACTGCGCAACGTCTCAACGACCGCGGCATTGTCATTCATGAATCACTTCTCACTGCACGCATCCTCGACTGCCTTCCACCCACATACGATACCTACCGCATCACCTTTACCTCTAGGTACCGCCATCCTCCTCCTGTGGCTGACACAATCGACTGGCTCCTTGACAGCGAAGCGGACATCCAACGTGACTCCACCACCATCAATGCTATCCAGGCTCGCAAAACTCCCTCAGGCAACCACAGCAGCGGCGGAGGTAGCGGCTCAAGCGGTACTGGCGGTGGCGGTGGTGGACGAGGTGGTGGGCGAGGCGGTGGACGCGGTGGTGGTCGTGGTGGCGGCCGTGGTGGGCGTGGCAAAAACCCCTCTCCCTCGGGTACCCTTCCCCCGTGTCAGTACATCATTCGCTATGGCTCCAACAAAGGTCAGCCTTGCGCTCAAACCACTCACACCACTGACACGTGCTTCAAAGCCCTCACTGATGAGTGGTTTGCACGTGGCAATGTCGGCACCCCACCTCGATGGAACACCATCTTCCCGCGCCCCTCTCTCCATGACATACGCACTCTCCCCGCCTATCAACCCTCCACCCCTAATCTTCACAATGTCCTCACTGAGCATCTCCCACCTCATATCCTCCAGCAAGTTCAACATCTTCTCCCTTCATCTCCTCCCACTCCCACCCCTCCCACCCCTCCCATCCCCCCTTCACCCCACACCTCCTCCTCAAGCCCCTCCCCCCCACTATCCTCCGCCCTATACCGGCTGGCCATACCCTCCTTATCCACCTCCTCAATACGGCCCTGTGCTTCCTCCACCTGCTACCACTCCTACTGACCAGCCCTCCTCCTCCTCCAATCCTCCTGGCTTCACTCCGTTCCCTTCTGCTGGATTCATAGGACATGTTAGCACTGCTTCTCCTGCTCCTTCAATGTATGCCCATGCTATTAATGAGACATCCTTCCAGTATTCCGCTTCTTCCTCCTCCTCTACACTCCTTGAGTTCATTCTTGACAGCGGCGCTACACACACTGTCCTTCGGGACGCAGGCACACTAGTCCCCCTCCCCACTCCCTCCACCATTTACGGAGCCGACTTCAGCTTCACCATCACAAGTCGACACACCTCCACTCTCCCCTGCCCCATCTTCCCCTCAGGCACAGTCACAGGTCTACACGTCCCCTCCCTACGCAACAATCTGGTAGCACTTCGTGACCTCCCAAGGTTAGGTGTCACCGCCATCTTCCCCGGACATGCACTTCACTGCGACCTCTTTCACACCATCACTGGTCGCTTCATCTGTCGTATTCCCCTCTGCCCACACACAAACCTGTACACATACCGCACCCCTCGCCCCTCCATCCACCAACTCACCACTCCCACCTTACTTCCCCCTCACTCCCTTCCCCCCTCCCCTCTCCCCCCCCTCCTCCCCTCCCCTTCTTCCCCCCTTCCCTCCCCTCCCTCCCCCCCTCCTCTTGCCTCCCCTCCCCCCCCTCCTCCCCCTCCCCTCCCTCCTCCCCCTCCCCTCCCTCCTCCCCCTCCTGTCACTGTCGTGACCTTACCCATCCCGCCGTCCTCCTTCACCATCGCTTGGGTCATCCCAACTTTGCCACCCTTCGTCAATCTGTCTCCTCTCAACTTCTTGAAGGACTTCCCCTCACCCTCCCCCCTCTCCCCCCGTCGCCCTCCCCTCCCTGCTCAGTCTGCGTTGAAAGCAAACTAAAGCAAGCCCCCCACAAGAGTCATCCCTCCTTCTCTCCCCAACCCATTGATCTCGTCCACATGGACCTCTGGGGCCCCAATCCCACCCCCACCAGGCAAGGTCATCGCTACCTGCTCATACTGGTAGATGACCACAGTCGGTACTCCACTGTCTCTCTCCTTCGCAAGAAGGCGGAGGCCCCGGCTGCCATTATTGCCTGGGCTGAACAAGCACGCACCCATTTCAAACGCCCTGTCTCTCGCTTCCATTCCGATGGCGGCGGTGAGTTCCTTAACCGGATGCTTTCCTCCTACTGCTCCACCCATGGCATTATCCACACCTACACCCTTCCTCATTCCCCTCAGCAAAATGGTGTGGCGGAGAGCAGGGTTCGGGAGGTCACCAAGACCGCTCGATGCCTCATGGTCCATGCCTCCTGCCCGCCTTCTCTGTGGGGTTATGCTATCCTCCACGCCGCCATCCTCACTAATCTCTACCCCCATCCCTCACGGCCCACCACTACTCCCACCGAACTCTGGACCTCCACTAAACCCGACATCTCCCCCCTGCGCGTGTGGGGCTCCAAGGCGTATGTTCTCATACACCCTGAGGACCGTTCACGTGCAGCTGGGAAACTTGCCTCCCGCACCCTCCCTTGCATCTTCATTGGTCATAACCCCACCTCCCCGGACTACCTCTTCCTCCACCCCCCCTCAGGTCGTCTCATTCGTAGTCGGGATGTGGTTTTTGATGAAGCCAATCCGTACTACACCTCCCCCTCCGCCCCTAACCCCCTCCCCCTCACCATACGTCCTCTCCTCTGGACTGACACTGTCATCACCCCTCCCCTTCAACCTCCCCCCACCCTGGTCATACCCGCACCCCCACCCCCTCCCCCCTCTCTCCCAACCTCCTCAGGGGACATCCTTGACCCGGCTGCCCCACCCTCCCCTTCCGCTGTAACTCCCTCTCCCCCCACTGACCCTCCCCCTCTCCCCGCTGACCCCCCCCCTCCCTCCCCACCCCCTCCCCCTCCCTCTCCATCCCCTCCCCCCCTGAACTCTCCCCCACCCCCTCCCCTCTCCCAACCTCCACCCTCCCCATCTCCTCCTCCGCCCCCTTCCCCTCCACCATCTCGGCCCTTACTTTCGTCCCCTCCTCTGCTCCTTCGTCACTACCCTCACACCCGCTCCACAGTCCCCATCCTTGGTCCCCCACGGTCCAATCACCTCTCCCTCCGGTCTCTCACATCCATTCCACTCCTCCACCACTCTAGCACTTCCCCACTCCCCCGCACCAGCCCCTCAGGTTCTCACACCAGCCGCGCTCCCGTCTCCCTGCCCCTCACGGCAACTCAGCGCAGCAGAGCAGCATTGCAGCTGTCTCCTCGCCCCGACCCTCGGCGCAGCAGAGCAGCAGTGCAGCCGTGTTCCCGCTCCAGCCTGACCCTCCAGCGCAGCTGTCTTGCATCTTCACCGCCTCCTCTTCCTCCTCCTCTCTCTCCGGACCTCTATGAAGACTCTCATGATGAACTCCTTTTCCTCCACCTCCTCTCACCCACCATCGCCCCTGTCGTCCGCACCATGGCTGGTACTACGGTCCTTCTTTTCTCCAACACCCCCACCATCTACGAACCCACCACCTACGAGCAAGCAATTGCATGTCTTGACGCACCTCTCTGGATCGAGGCCATGGTCAAGGAATGCAACGCCTTCATCCACAACCGCTCTTTCCTCGACGTCCCTCGCCCCTCCAAGCACAACGTGGTCAAAGGCAGGTGGCTCTTCCGAGTAAAACTACTCCCTGGTGAAGCTCCTGTCTACAAGGCTCGGTATGTGGCGAAAGGCTTTACACAGACTTATGGCTCGGACTTCTTCGAGACCTACTCACCTACCGCCACTCCGCCGGTCATTCGCGTGTTTCTGGACTTCGTTGGCAGACGCGGGATGCTCCTCCACTCCATGGATGTCACCACGGCCTTCTTACAAGGCGACCTCCACGAACTCATCTTCTTGGAACGTCCCAAGGGCTTCCACGCTCCTCACGACCCTGCCACCGTCTGGAAACTACTACGCCCTGTTTACGGGCTCAAACAAGCACCTCGAGAATGGCACGCCAAACTCTCATCCACCCTTCGCGCACTTGGCTTTCGCCCCTCCCGTGCTGCCTCTTGCCTCTTCCTTCGCTTAACTCCGTCACCCTTCTTCATCCTCGTCTACGTCGACGACATGCTGCTAGCAGCTGAGACAGCTGCTGAACTTCAGGAGGTCAAGGATGAGCTGCAGCAACGTCTCGCCTGCAAAGATCTGGGGGAAGTCCGCAACTACCTTGGCATGGAGATCACCCGCGACCTCACTGCCAAGACTATCACCCTCTCTCAGTCATTCTACATCGGGAAGGTGCTCGAGAGATTCGGCATGTCCAAATCCAAACCCATCCCCACACCACTTGCATTCGGGCATCGGCTGTCCCCTCCAGCCACTCCTGGCACCTCCCCTCATCCCTATGCAGAACTCGTTGGGGCCCTGATGTACGCCATGGTCTGCACTCGTCCCGACCTTGCATACCCCGTCAGTGTCCTGGCGCGATTTGTTGGCACTGGCAGGCATGGTGAGGAGCACTGGAAGGCGGCCATGCGTGTTCTGCGCTACCTCCAAGGCACAAAGGACTATGGCCTCACGCTTGGTGGTGTGGACCCACCTGTTCTTCAAGGCTTCAGTGACTCATCTTGGGCGGATGCACAGCCGGACCATCGCAGTTCTCAAGGATATGGCTTCTCCCTTGGGAGCGGCCTCATCAGCTGGCGCTCCACTCGCTCCTCCTCCGTCGCCCTCTCCTCCTGCGAAGCCGAGCTGTACGCAGTCACCATGGCGGCTCAAGAGGCACGCTGGCTTAGCTATCTTCTCACCGACCTTGGCTCACCACAGCCCTGCCCCACCCTGTGGTGTGACAACGATAGTACCATCCACCTCACCAAGGAGGCCGTCTTTCATGGTCGCTCCAAACACATCGAACTCCGCTACTACTTTGTCCGCGATCTTGTGCAAGATGGTCACATCACTGTTCGTAAAATCGACTCGTCCGCCAACCTCGCTGACCTCTTCACCAAGGCTCTCCATCGCTCTAACCACTCTGCGCTCCTGCGCCTTCAGGGACTTGCTCCCCGCGGTGGCTGATTCAGGGGTTGTTGCGTTCTCTCTTCCAAAGCCTATGGATTTCTGCAGGTTAAGGGGTTGTGTCAGATTACCATCTTCATTGTAACCTGCATCATCATATACGCTTTGACTAGAGATAGGCACCCAAACTTAGTTTGGGTGCACAACTAGGGTTTACCCTAGTTTGAGGTTGGAACCCAACCTTGGCCCAATTATTGGGCCCCCAAGGTTGGGTTGGGAGATTATTGGCCCCCCCAATAATGTTGACCCACTTTTGGTCAACATTATTGGTCCCCCCAATAACTCCTCAACCCAACTTATTGGTGGGGGCCAATAATGTTGGCATGGCTCCTACATCCTAGCTCAACTATGTAAACCCATGCCCTTCCTAATGAAACTATCGGTTGTTCTTACAATTTCTCACATTACACTGATACGCTGTTACGCTGTTACGCCGTTACGCTGTTCGGCTGATGCGCTGTTACGCTGTTAGGCTGTTAGGCTGTTAGGCTGTTACGCTGTTACGCTGATACGCTGTTACACTGTTACGTTGTTACGCTGTTACGTTTTTACCCTGTTACGTTGTTACGATGATACGCTGTTACGCTGTTACGCTGTTAGGCTGTTAGGCTGTTAGGCTGTTAGGCTGTTAGGCTGTTACGCTGTTACGTTGATACGCTGTTACGCTGTTACGCTTTTACGCTGTTACGCTTTTACGCTATTACGATGTTACGCTGTTACGCTGTTACTGTTATGCTGTTACGCTGTTAGGTTGTTACGCTGTTAGGCTGTTACGCTGTTAGGCTGTTACGCTGTTACGCTGTTATGCTGTTACGCTGTTACGCTGTTAGGCTGTTACGCTGTTAAGCTGTTACGCTTTTACGCTGTTACGCTGTTACGTTGTTAGGCTGTTAGGCTGTTACGCTGTTACGCTGTTACGCCGTTCGGCTGTTCAACTGATACGCTGATATGCTGATACGCTGATACGCTGTTACGCTGTTACGCTGATACGTTGTTACGCTGTTACGCTCTTACTCTCTTACGCTGTTACGCTGTTACGCTGTTACGCTGTTACGATGTTAGCTGTTACGCTGTTACGCTGTTAGGCTGTTAGGCTGTTAGGCTGTTAAACTATTAGGCTGTTACGCTGTTAGGTTGTTACGCTGTTAGGCTGTTAGGGTGTTAGGGTGTTAGGCTGTTACGCAATGTTGTGCTTATCCACGCCGTCCGCTCCTCTGTCGTCGGTACACTCTCCTCCGTCTCCCTCTGTGCACTTTCACACTCTCTGGGACGGAAATCTCTTTGAGCATCCATCTAACCTAAGTTTCGTCACTACTTCAACCTCAAAAAGAACATTTTCTCTTGCATCACCCACCCACCTTGGAACTTGGTTACGTGGAAGAGCACAGCACACAAGCGTGCACTCATCATGGTGAGGAGGGCAGCATGCAGAGTAGTGCAGCGAGGGGCCCACCCACCCACCCACCCACCTTGTAGAGGTTGAGGGCGTCTTGGAACTTGGCCTTGTGGAAGAGCACACACGCCTGCACTCATCATCAACGCACAGGGCAACATGCAGAGCGGGCAGTGCCCGGAGCATCAGCACCGAACAACACACAAAAGTGATACATGCACAAACGCAAACTCACACATAGATGCCACTGAGACGTGCCAGCAAAGTACCACCATCAATCACAGCATCACAGCGACCGGCAATTAACTCTCCGCAACAATTTCACCTTTTGCAAAAGCGCCCCCTTCTTCCCCCAGCAGTACCTTCCCCAGCGGCACCTTCCCCATCGACACCCACCCTCCCCAGCAGCGCCAGCGCGTACCTATCCCAAAAGTTCCACCTTCCCCAGCAAGCAGTACCTTGCCTAGCAGTGCAGGGACGAGGTGACTTTTGAGTCGACTCAAAAGTCAAGCAGTACCTTGCCTAGCAGTGCGGGCACGTAGTCCGGAGCGCCAGCGAGGGCGAGGGAGAACATCTCCTCCGCCTGATTCACCTCGCCCTTCACCAGCTGCAACTGGCCTGTCATGGGGAAAGGGATAGGAGATGGGTTGGGGAAGAGAAATGGGAGAGAGAACAGGAGAGAGTTGCGGGAAAATGGGAGGGAGCATGGACGGGGAGAGGAGAGGAAGGGCAGCGAGGGCGAGGGAGAAAATCTCCTCCGCCATGCACCTCGCCCTTCACAATCTCCCACCTTTCTCACTCCCCAATTGTCCCTCTGCCCCCATCCAGCCTCCCTCCACGTTTCCTCACCTTTCCCCACCCACGTGGCAACAGCTTCACTGCTGATGCGAGCCGCCTTATTGTAAAAGTCAATCACCTTGATCAGCACCTCGTCCCGCTTCTGCATTCACCTCTTCTTCCCTCCACCCCTTCCACCTGCCCCAACTGTCCCCTGCCTGCCCTGTCTCGCCCCTCACCTTTCCCCACCCACGTGGCGACGGCCTCGCTGCTAATCCTTGCAGCCTTGTTGTAGAAGTCCACCACCTTGATCAGCACCTCGTCGCGCTTCTGCCGCCGTGCCACGCGCCCCAGCCCCGTGTAGTGCGCGCCCAATGCGTTCAGCATGGCTATGCGCTCGTGGCGAGACGTCTCATACACTCGCTCCGCATCTAGATTGGGGAGGGGAAAAAGGGGCGACAGGGGGGGGGCGTCAGGGAGTGGAAGCGTGTGATGGAAAGGGCTCTGCAGCCAGCCCTCGCTACAATGGACGAGGGATGCTGGCCCTGGGTAGACAGAACGCTCGTGCCGGCAAACGCTGATTATGGCACGTGCCTGCGCGTGAGTGCGAGCGTGGTGGAAGGGCGGCGGTACCTGGCGAGGTGCCTTCTGATAGGATGTCCAGGAACGCTGCTGTGTTGCCCTGCTTGAAGTACGCTCGCTGCGAGGTCAGCACGGGTAGCAGGTTTGGACAACACGGGGCGGAAAGCACGGACATGGTTGCTGCCAAAAGCAGGTGTCAGTACATGTCAGTCCGCGTAAGTGCGTGTCAGACCATGTCATTAAAAGCCAGTACGTGTCAGTCCGCGTAAGTGCGTGTCAGACCATGTCATTAAAAGCCAGTACGTGTCAGTCCTTGACAGTACATGTCAGTCCGTGTCAGTAGATGTCAAAACATGTCAGTCAATCTCAGTCAATGTCAGTCCATGTCAGTCCATGTCAGTTTATGTCAGAAATTTTTCAGAACATGTCAGTCCACGTCAGAGCATTCGAGTTCACGAAGCCCACGACCCTGGATGCCACGACAAGCGTTAGCAATGCACCGCAATGCACCGGAGACGGGCTTCCTCTAGGCATACTAACTCGAGCGCATGCCAAAAGGATCTCCATTCAGTGTGCATCCAACGACTGCTGACCACCAACCAATCTGCACCCACGCGACTGCTGACTGATTGAAGTGAGCAATTAATCTCTACTCGCTAGAGAGAACTGCACGCACTGCGAGGTGCAGCCAGCAGTCGAGCGGCGCCTGCTCGCCCTTGAGAATGTCGAGCAGATCGCCGTGATCGGACGGCAGGCGATCCACGTCCACGGCTACCGCCTCGCCCGTGCCGTGCAGCGGAATCAGGATGTAGCGCGGCGCGCCGGGCTCCTCCGCTGATGCCGCCATGGTCACCCGCTTTCACGGTTTCTAATGTGAACGGGTCACGCCGTGTAGTGAAGCGCGGGAGAAAGCGGCTGTGAAGGATATCTAAAACGCGAAATCCATCAACCTAGATATCCGTCGAAGCTCCCCCGTTCGTAAACCTACGTCAACCTGGCATCGCAGCTATCTGGACTTGGAAAAGGCTACCGCAAGCTGAAATAATATGTTTAGAATTCCACTAAAAGACGCCTACATAATTAATCGGCGTTAGAAACTATAGATATGCGAAATAAACTTACGAGTGGATGCATTCTAATATCTAGGGACCCTTTTTGCAGCACAGCGGACAAAGTGTTATAGCACTTCCTACATGGGCAATTGCAGCACCAATCAGGGAAAAGCGCGGGAGCAGGTCACCGCTGTTCACCCGCCTTCCATCAGTACTGTACAGTACACTCCGTTCTGACACAAATCACCTGACTGCTTCAATCAACAGGCTACATTTGCGTAGCGCAGCGTCGTAGGCGCGCTGCCATCCGTCTGCCATGAGCTCATCTCGAAGGTTCAAATCAAGCCGCGGTGGTCTGCCATTCGCAATGCTCCCACTTCACACCTTCGCTGCTCTCGTCCTTCCTGCATCCACTGCACACAGACGCTCTCGAGAGTGGATCCTCGGGATTGCCACGGCCATGGCGTCTCTGCGTTGTTGTACTTTCAGCGCATAATTGTATTCCATACCATCAGCTTATATTTGTAATTTATTCCGAAACTCGAATTTTCCCTTCATCGCATCGAGATGCCTGTTATTCCCGATGAGGAGGAGAGGTTGTGCGGAGCTTCAGAACCGGATAGCGACGACAAAATCGAGCCCGATTTCTCGCCGTCTACGCTCTCTCTCGCCGCTCGTGCATGGAATCTCGCCCGCACTGGGCTACTCACGCTTCTGCTGACAGCAGCAATCGGTTTTATCCTGGTCGCCGTCAATCATACGATCCCACCACGCTTCGACTTCGTCTCGCTCGTCCGTTCAGATCAAACAGTCGTCGTTGCTTCCCCCACGGACCCCGCACTGGCAGCGCCTGCTGCGTCGGTTCCCGAAACTGCTCGCCAGTCGATGTCGCAGCGGCAGCATCTGAGCTCCGAAGAAATTCCGCGTGATCCGCTGAATCCCGCCATTCAAGCGGCGATTGGGGAGCAGGGATCCTTTCAGGATGAAATCACGTCAACTCGCTTGGTCAACCGAGGGATCACGGGACCGCGTATGGATCGCATGCCAGGGAGACGCGCATCCGCCGGCCGAGGAAGCTCGGATTCCAAGCTGACGGCGCGGCAAGTCGATATGACGACCCTAATTTCAACTCAGAATCAGACTCTAGATTCAGGACAGGATCTTCTGGACGTCGCCTTTCCACAGGGAATTCCGGGTTCCACGTTTCTGAAAAGAAAAGAAGTTAGAGCCTTTTGCTTGCGGCTCCGCTGTCTGACAACGCGAGGCCGCTGGCTTTACGACGCGACGCCACGTGTCCTGCCGTGGGCGCTGCCGAGCCGGTGGGACGGCGGGCGGCAGTGCGACGAGGGGCACGTGGCGCAGGGCGGGGGGAGGGTGGCGTTCGAGGAGGCGGACGGCATAGCCGCGCTGGCGGGCGGGACTACCGCGGAGGCGGAACGGCGGGCGCTAGAGCAAAGCGGGACTGGGATGACTCAGGATCAGGCGGGCGCAAGCGGGGATCAGCGGCGGTGGAGAGTGCGGGAGAGTCTGAAATACCGCTGGAACGTTACCAGCAAGTGCGGCCCATGGCGCGAGTTCGATAGCAGCGAGCTGGTGAGGAAGCTGGCGGGGCGACGGCTGCTGATCGTGGGCGACTCGCTCAGCGGCATGCTCTTCGCTGCTCTGCGCAACGCACTGTTCATGGGGTTCAACAGCACGTCCAGCCAGAAACGACAAAACTTGCCGCCCAACTGCGCGCCTACGGACAGCCTGCCCGGGTTCTGCAGGCAGTGGGGGAGGGAGATAGGGGCACGCGCGCACCACGCGCTGTGCGTGGAGGACATGTGCGCGGATGCCAGCGTGGCGTTCGTGAGGAGTGACGCGCTGGACCCCTCGCCAAACCTCACTCTGGCTTGGCCGAAGCTGATCGGGTTTCCGTGGCTGCATGTGCTGAACGGGACCAGCAGCAGGGGAGAGCAGGATGTGGGAAATGGTGGAGAGGGTGAAGACGCTTCTACGGAAAAACGAGTTGCTGCGATTGTACTGAACCGTGGAGCGCACTATACAGAGGACGAGCAGTTGGTATCAGAGCTCAACGCCACTCTGTCCGCTATCCGCACTGTCGCCCCCAACGTCCTCCTCATCTACCGCAACACCCCCCCCGGCCACGCTCACTGCAAGCACCACTCCAAGCCGCTCAAATACAGACAAGACGCCGCCCAGCTGCCATACAACTGGGGCGATTTCGGGCGGCAGAACGAGCTGGCGAGGCGGGTGGTGGAGCGGTATGGGGGTGTGTACTGGGATGTGGATACTGCCACAGGGCTGAGACCAGATGGGCATGTAATGCTGGCGGATGGGAGGGCGGACTGCTTGCATTATTGCTTGCCAGGGCCGGCTGATACATGGGTGCGCATGCTGTTCAACATTCTCATGGACCTTCTGTGATGCTCCCGTGGATGGGGGAGGTTGGGAGGGCAGCTAACAAGCAGGTACTGCCTGCACTAATGCTTGCCAGGGCCGGCTGATACATGGGTGCGCATGCTGTTCAACATGCTCATGGACCTGCTGTGATGCTCGTGCATGGGCACAATTCTGACACACGAGTGCTGCCGGGAGCATTGCCTGCCTGACACTGCTTATTATACTCCAAGCATTGTTGTATCTGCAACACAGCCTGCCTGCAGCACAGATGATGATTGAGAGGACGTGTATTTATAGAGTCCAGTGGAGGCACCTTATGTTCTTATGTTGTACAGATTGCGTAAGGATCAGGTGTGGAATGCGTTGAGCCACAAAATGGTACAGCTCGCAATGAAGGATAAAGCCTACAAGGGGCACCATACAATGGTCTGGAGTTCCATAAGCACGCCCCAGCAGCCGTCATGTACAGGCTGATCATCATTCATCAAGGTCAGCACTAACGCATGCTTCAAAAGAGGCGAGCATGGAATGCAGTAGACTAGAGTTGTAAGTATAGCACGCATTTGAAGGACAGCATACAATGCACTGGAGTTAGTCGCCTAAGTACAACACAGCAGTAATCCTGCATAGAAGGATCAGCAAGGTCAGTGGTGACTCAGATCAGATTTCAAGTGACAGGTGGAGCCCATCCAGGAGAGAGATAAACTCGTGCCCGCTCTCCTCCCACTCCTGCTCATGCCCCTGCTTCTCGCGTTTCCCTGTGCCCCTGCTTCCTCCATGTGACCACCCATAGTGCACCTTATCACCCCCATGTGCTCTGTAGCCCTGTACCGTTCTCCACCCCTTTGCATCGCATTCACCTGTCCCCCTCCCCTCGTTCTTGCCATGCCTATTGCCATTCAAGGCGATGAGATGGGGCAAACACCCACTGCTCGTGCTCGTGCTCGTGGTCGTGCTGCTGCTGGTACGTCTGCCACGTTCCTCCCCCTGTGTGACAGCCCTCTCCACTGCACCATCCCCACCAGGGCAGCAGGAGCAGCAACCCACTGCCGCACCTCCATCTCCTCCCTCTGACCCATGGCTGCTGCTGGCCAGGGACCCACCTGCTTCTGATGTCAAGCAATTCCGTGCGGGCACAACTGGACTGTCATCACACTCCCGACGCTTGGATGTCTCACAGGCATGCGCATGGGGCAAGCAGCACCGGTGTGCACACACGAGCGTGGAATCCGTGAGGTGGCTGTTGCGTGTCCTGATAGCAGCAGCACTGGAAGCACGTTCAGCAGCAGCACCACCACGAGCACGAGCAGAGGCAGCGGCGGCGGCAGCAGCGGCACCTGTGCGGATGGCACCAGCAGCATTGGCGTTTGGCAGCGGTGCAACCTGGCAGACGAACACAGACGCAGCCTTGTGGGAAGAGCCCGCATCCTCAAAGCATGACGCCTCTGCTGCCTGCCGTGCGCACCCCCCTTCAATCCCTCCACATCGCCCTTCAACTCCCCCACCTCCCCTGTCAACCCCTCCACCTCGCTCTCCAATTTCTCCACCCTCTCTCTCCCCCGCATCACCTCTTCCTGCACCTCTCTCACCGCCGCCCGCCTCTCCCCCTGCACCGCACCCCTCGCCCTCCTCAGCTCTACCACCTCCCGCTCTACCCTTCTCAACGCCGCTTCCAGCCCTCTCCTCCGCGCCTGTTCCCCCTTCACCTCCCCCTCCATCCTCCTCCTCTCTGCCTCCCACTCCCTCCTCTCCGCGTCCCACTCGCTCCTCTCCCTATCAACCCCCCCCCTCTCCTCCTCAAGCTGCCTGACTCGCGCCCTCAGTTGGGCCACTCGCCTCTCCCCCTCCCCAATCACCTTCCGCATGAATTCCACCTCACCCGCCCCCTCCTTCCGCCCTCTCTCCCACGCCTCCTGCACCCTCTCTCTCTCCCTCTCCCTCCCCTTCTCCACCTCCCTCCTCAACCTCTCCACCTCCTCCTCCAGTTCCTTCACCTCCTTCCTCCTCCTCTCCTCCATCTCCCTCTTCTCTCTCCCCATCTCCTCCTCAGCTTTCCCCCTCTCCCTCTCCCTATCCTCCATTGAAAATCGCACGAACTGCTTCAGAGCACCCCTATGCCTCTCCCGCTCCTTCCGCCTCTCCTCCTGCACGCGCAGCAGCTGAGCCTGCATCTGCTCCAGCTGCGCCTGCACCAGATACACCTCCCCCTGCGCCACCATCGCCTGCGCCTGCAACTCTTCCAGCGCCCTACTCCCCCCACAGCAGCACAGTGCCTTACTCCCCCCATCACCGCTGTTCGCCTGCTCATTTGCTCTCATCTGCTCCTCATTTTTAGCTCCAGCCTCCACACAAACCTGCCGTGCAGGTTCGGCAGCAGCACTTCTAGCTCCGGCCTCCCCCCCAGTAGTATTAGTTTCACCCTGGGAATCCATTACGGTACCGCTGGTGTGCGCGCCCGCCCTCGCCCTGCGCGCTTCCGCCTCCAGCGCGCGCCATTCCGCCCTCTCCGCGCGCATCTTCGCCTCAAGAGATTCCCGCTCCGCCCGTGCGCGCGCCAGCTGCTGCTTCAGCCGCACCACCCGCCGCTCCTGCCGCAGCGCCTGGGGTTGGCGGGTGCGGGCGGGGAATTGGCGGAAGATTTGTGAGGCGCGGGACGGGGAACGGGACGGGAGGCTCTACAACCGGGGCATGCGGGGGGCCTGAGCGCGCGGAGGGACGCAGGCGGGGAGAGAAAGAGGGAGAAAAGAGGGCGGAAGGGAGAGGTAAGGGGAGAGGGGAGAGGAGGGGTGGAACGACGGATAGCCTGGTTTGGTGATACCCTACCTTGGTCAGATCAAATTCGTCCCCTTGGTCTCTCCCATCCTCGTCATCTTCCTCCGCATCCACGTCATCGTGTCCCGATGCCACGTCATCATCCCCCTCAACGTCTCTCGCCGCCAGTTCCCCCACCAGCGCGCGCACCATCTTCCGCGCGTCCGCCAGTTGCGCGCGCATTCGCTCCTCCATCTCCCCGCCGTCCCCGCAGCTTCTCCGCCTCTCCGCAGCCCTCGCCGCTGAATTTTTTGTCTCCCCGTTGGCGCAAGTTCTCCCCTTTTCCGCGTCGTACTCGAGTGGAACCAAAGTCCGTATCGTATTGGCGGGCAGAGGAGAGCAGTCGCTTTCAGCCAAGCGCGAGCGGCGCTTCGTCGAAACTTCGTCTGCGCCGGGGGTAACCGGCGCGAATGTCTGGGCGGACAGCTCAGGTTGTCGGGGCGGGACGACGGTCGCTGCCGGCTCCGCGCCACACGCTGGGGAGACAGCAGCGCCGTGCGCGGACGCAGCGTCCGTTTTGCCAGACGCAACAAAGGCAGCCGCGACACCATGACCCGACGCCCTGATGAGGGACTCAGGCTCGTCAGGTTTGCTACCCTTGTTGTCCCAGACTGGAGATGTTCTCTCTTCAACCTGAAGAACAGCGCTGTTGCTGTTTTGCGGCGTGGCCATTTGTACTGACAAGCTAAAAAGGTGAGCGATTTCCGCTACGATTGGATTTTGCCGTCTGGATGTGGCGGCCTCCGGGCGGGTAGAGCGCGTCGTGTCGTGCAATGGCGATTGCAGGAGGAATAGGCTAGACGCATTCGCGCAAACAGGAATGGCTGCTTGTTTCGCCGCAGCAGATTACAATTGGGCTGGTTCCCTAGGCATTCCTTCAAAACCCCGAGCGACAAGCTAGCCAAAATTTTAATGTCCCCGCCCCACCACCACCACGAAATGCGAAAGGGTCCGAAATTCTGCGACAACGGTAGCCAGCGTCGCGAGTTGTGGCGACAATCGTTGGACCTGTCAGGCGTGCGGTTCGTTGCACCTGCTCGTGGAGCGCTTCTGTGGGAAACGCTGCAACTGTGTGCGCGACAGGAGTCTGTCGCAGGTTTTCTGCGAGCAATTCACGTGCTTTTCCGCATCTTTAGTGGAGTTCCCGAATCTGACGGTCTTGACCTTGTTGTGGTGATGCTGCAGAGCCGAGATTGGTTCTGACAAACCGCTTCGCCTTTACCTGATTGGTTGTTATGGGCGCCAGCCACACCCCGCTCTTGCCCATCTTGACTCTGCGTTACAGTCAGTCTCGACACTAAAATTTTATCCATTAGCCCTTTGCAGTGCAGTAGTAACCTGCGTATGGCTGATTTTGGTCAATCAGCAAAAACACTTATATGTAGTTTGACTTCACTTTATGAGTTGTCAGAGCTGGCAGATGACGAGTCACCTAGAAAACATTTTCCCGCCATCTCAGCATGCTTAGGGCGGGGGCAGCGCGTTCATTTTCGCCACTTTTCCAAAATTTGGACGCCCGTCGAATCTGGAAGATACTCTAGCATTTTTGTACCGCGCTTAGTTTGTGTCCCGGGTTACACGCGCGTCCAAAATTGCGCACAGGTCTTGCCACACTTTTGCCCAACCGCCCACCCAATGAGGTAACCCTGTGCGACAGAGTTCTGGTTGTGTTTGTGAACCCATGAATTTGCGAGGGTCGTACGCGCTTGACGAAGTCGTGACGCGGTTTCGCTGAATCTGGGTTACAAACCGCTGAATCTGGTAACTGTTTCGGGCTAAGCCAGGAAAATGAACGCGCTGCCCCCGCCCTTATCCCCACACCCAGAACCTCATTCCCCTGCCTTTCATGCTGCCGTACATTCACTGCCACTTCTCCACTAGATTCGTCCTCCTGCCTTGCACGCTTCTATACCTTCGTTGACGACGCAGAGCTCGAAAGGAGGTAATTTTCTCGCATTCTGGAGACCTAGAATATTCCGTTAGGTCTTTACAGTTTCCTTACTGTATCGCCAACCTATGATGGCGTTCCTCGCGCCATCTTCCCAGGCCGGGACCGCGTCGCGAGTGTCTCTTTTTGCAAAAGATTTGCAGTTGCGCCTTCGGCCATCCGTCACCGTGACTGCCGCTCCCGCCGCGATCGGTAGTGGATCTGTGCGGCTCTGCTGCACGTGCGAGTCGCATTCGTCTTCGTCAGCCAATAGCGGTTCGACTAACGAGGCCTCGTTTCCTAGTTTTCAGGAACGCGCGCGGTCACTGAAATACGTAGCATATCCTCTTTTCAGCTCATCCAGCCAATCAAATGGCTCCAAATCAGCTGCGACGTCGCCTGCCGCAGAATTCGTCGCCGAGCGCGCTGACTCCATTCCGTGCGACGATGGCGACAACTTCCAACGTCTCGTTTCCGATCAGCTCGTCGCACGCGTGCGACGATACGGCCCGTCGTTCCTCGTTGGCACGTGTGTCGCTCTCAGCCTAGCCTTCGGCCTGCCGCGAGCCGCGCAGGCGAAAGCCGGCAAGCCCGTCGCCCCGCCCCCCACGCCGATAGTGGGGCGGCAGACTCCCGACGGGGGAAAGGCGGGGGGGAAGGCAGAGGCGGAGAAGGAGGTGGCGGAGAGTGCGCGCGCGCAAGCGGCGGAGCAGGAGCGCGCGGTGAAGATGCTGGAGGACTTTTTGGCGAAGCACCCGCGGGACGTGACGGCGCTGCGCATGCTGCTGCGCGTGCGCATGAAGTGCGCGGACTTCGCGGGGGGGATCAAGATCCTCGACCAGCTCGTGGAGGTGAGATTCTCAGAACACACACACAGACACACACAGACACCCACATGGATAAACTCCACATGAAGCGAGCTTTCCTTCCCAGTGTCCTCTCCACAACACACACACCAGCCAATCTTACAGCCTGAATAAGCTGAACCGATAGTCTGTTTTTTTTCGAGTTGATGCAAAAGGCACGTGAACGCGCAGTGGTCGGTGTTGAAGTGAGCTGATGGAGTGGAGAGCAGCGAGCGCCTCACCCAGCAGTCTAGTCGCGCGTATGACGCCCTCCTCTCCTTTTGTTTGACGCGTGGGTGTTTCGACCTTGGGATCTCCAAAAGCAGCTGCAGTATCGTCGTGGAGTGGAAGTACATTCGCCAGCAGGCATTCGTAATGAGTCGACCTGTCATTTTACCGTCTGGCTGCCCGTCCCCTTGTACTTCCCCACCCCTCTCCCCCGCCCTCTTCCCCGCCCTTCCCCCCCATACCCCGCCTCCCTCCTCCCCCACACTGTCGCGCGGAGCAGATAGAGCCGGACGACATGGAGTGGAAGTACATCCGCGCGCAGGCGCAGGAGTCCGTTACCTGAGTCGACTTCTTCCTTCCTCTTTCCCCTCCTCCCCCCCACTTTTTCCTTCCCCTCTGCTTCCGCAACCTGGGTCCCTTCCCCCCAAACCCCCGTCCCTCTGGCGCGCGGAGCAGATAGAGCCGGACGACATGGAGTGGAAGTACATCCGCGCGCAGGCGCAGGAGTTCGTGGGGGACCTGCAGGCGGCGCGCAAGGGCTTCCAAGAAATTCTTAAAGTCGACCCCTTCTCCGCGCGCGCGCTCCAGGTGCGCCCTTGCTTGCTGCGCGCTCCACGTGTGCCACAGCTGCGCGCGTTTTTTTCTGTTATGTGTTTCTTTTATTCGAGTTATCCTTCTCCTCTCGTTCCCGTCGCGCCCTTCCCACAGCCCTCTTTGAAAGGCCTCCCCAGCCCCCCTCGTCCCTCCTACACCCCTGCCGAACTCCTCCCCTCACCCCTCTTTCCCCACCATGCCCCTCCCTTCGCTCCCCCCGTCTCTCTTCCCCCTCTTCCCCCCGCGCAGGGCCTGGCGACGGTGATGCGGCGCAGCGGCGAGGACAGCCTGGTGCTGGGAATGGTGGAGGAGGCGGTGGGGACGAGCAGCACCTAAGACCCCTCTTCCCCTTCCCATATCCCCTTTGACCCCTCTTTGCTCCCTCCTTGCTGTAATAGGGCCTGGCGACGGTGATGCGGCGCAGCGGCGAGGACAGCCTGGTGTTGGGGATGGTGGAGGAGGCGGTGGGGAAGAGCAGCACCTAAGACCCTTCTTCCCCTTCCCCTCTCCCTTTTGCCCACTCTTTCCCCCACCTGCTCCCTGCTTGCTGTGATAGGGCCTCGCAACGGTGATGCGGCGCAGCGGCGAGGACAGCCTGGTGCTGGGGATGGTGGAGGAGGCGGTGGGGAAGGCGGGGCAGGCGGGCAAGCAGCAGGAGGCCACCAACCTCAAGATGCTGCTGGGCCAGCTGCACGCGCTGCAGGTGGGGGGAGGGCGCAGGGGTACAGACTGGGGGTTGCGGGGATAGTGGTGGGGTGTTAGAGGGCTCAGGGTTGGGGGATTTCAGTTTTTGGAAAGCAGCAGGAGGCCACCAACTCCAAGATGCTGCTGGGGCAGCTGCACGCGCTGCAGGTGGGGAGAGGGTGAAGGGACGGGGAGTGGGGGGGAGAGGGGGGGGAACGGGAGGCTGGGTGGGGTATTAGGGGGTGGGGGATAAGGGCTCATGGTTGGTGTTTTTAAGTCGTTCGCACGCAGCAGGAGGCCACCAACCTCAAGGTGCTGCTGGGACAGCTGCACGCGCTGCAGGTGGGGGGAGAGGGGGAGGGGAGGTGTGGGGACGGGGAGGGGAGTGGTTTCTTGTATGGGCAATAGCACAAGCCATCGGTGCAAGTGATTCAAATGACTTCCGGCCGTACCTGTGCAAGGGTCTCGTGTTTTCGCTCATGGGGGACACCAAGCAGGCTGGCATACTCATTTGCCCTGACCTGCCATGTGCTCTCCCCGTGTTGCTTTCTCCCCATACCTTCCGACTGTACAGGGCAACGTCTAAGCAGCAATAGCGCAGTGCGACGCCATCAGCGCCAGCGATCCAAGTTACTTGCGTGCGACTGACCTGTCACATGCGCTCCCCTTGCTTTTCCCTTTCCACACATACCCCCACTCAGGGCAACGTGGAGGCAGCAACAGCACAGTACGACGCCATCGGTGCAAGTGATTCAAATGACTTCCGGCCGTACCTGTGCAAGGGGCTCGTGTTCTCGCTCATGGGGGACAGCAAGCAGGCCGACATGCATATCCCTGACCTGCCATGTGCTCTCCCCGTGTTGCTTTCTCCCTATACCTTTCGACTGTACAGGGCAACGTGGAGGCGGCAATAGCCCAATATGACGCCATCAGCGCCAGCGATCCGAGTGACTTCCGGCCGTACCTGTGCAAGGGGCTCGTGTTCTCGCTCATGGGGGACAGCAAGCAGGCCGACGTGCACTTCAAGGAGTTCAGGCGACGCTGCCCCAAGAACTACGCCAGCTACCTCGATAACATGCTGGTCAAGAGCACTGTGGAGGCACGAAGGCAGGAGGTGGGTGCTGCTGTTAGTGGGATTTGAGTGGTGATTGGAGTTGGGTTGAGCATTGAGCATTCGCTGCCCCAAGAATTACGCGAGCTACCTGGATAACATGCTGGTCAAGAGCACTGTGGAGGCACGAAGGCAGGAGGTGAGAGGTGTGAGGGGGCTCTGAGAGGTGGAGGTGTTGAGTTGAGCATTGAGTGTGTTTCCGGCGGCGCTGCCCCAAGAACTATGCTAGCTGCCTGGATAGCGTGCCGGTTAAAGCACCATGGAGGCACAGCGGCAGGAGGTGCGTTGTAGTAGGGAGTTTGTAAGAGCGTTCACAGCGCTGCGCCTAAAACTGTGCCAGCTACCTGGATTTACATGCTTGTTTGAATCTACTGTAGAGGCACGGCGGCAGGAGGTGTGTGGTGGGATTGAGTGAGGGTTGAGAACTCTCAAAAGTCAAACCAACATGGCAGGGGGTGCATGGTAGGTTTGAGTGAAGTGTGTTGAGGGTGGAATCCAGGTGCTGCCAGGTGGTGCTGCCGAGTGGTGGTGATGCCACCTTCATAACATGCTTGTTAAATCCACTGTGGAGGCATGGTGGCAGGGGGTGGGTCGTGGCATGCAGCAGTGAGCTCTGAGGTATGCGCTTTGAGCTCTGGGCGTGGAGCAGCATTAAGAATGGATTGGGTTTAGAAGGCAGGTGTGAGCTGCTTTCTCAGGAATGCGGGCTGTGGTGTGCAGAGTCAGTGAATGGCTGTTGCTGGGTTGGGCAGTGCATTTGCCATAAGGGAATGCACCTGCCACGGGGGAATGAGTATGACTTTGCCGCTATTTGTATCTTCCTTCCCATGCACGTTGCCATGCATGTGTGCATGCCCTGCACCTGCAACCTTTTCAGCATTCTCTTTTTGCACTTGTCTCTGCTGGGGGTGCGTGGAGCAGAGGGAGAAGCGGCAGCAGATGGAGGCGGAGGCCAAGGGGCAGACAGTGCGCCCCATGAAGCAGCCCACATCCAGTGCTGGGTTCATTGGATAATGCCTTTAACCCATACAAACTCAAAACTTCAATACACTGTTGGGTTTTTTCCTGAGGCTAGGTTGGGTTGAGTGATACTATCTCTGGCCAGCGTACTCTAGCAGGACTGCTTTACTGCCTTCACGAATGAGAATATATACCGAAGTTTTTGAGGAATAAGGTTGTGTGAAATTGTTTTCAAACGGTTATACAGTCTCACTACACCACATTCTGAATGGGGTCTGATCTGAACTGTCATTTCACCAGTGATGTGTGAAGGCAGTGAACAGATTTCCAACCCAATCAAAGCGCAACAGCGCAGCACCCATCGCTTCCCTGTCGCATTGGAATCTTCATCGCGATCTGCCTTCTGTCGTGTTCCTTCCTTTCGGAGAACGACCCCCCAACGTTCTCTTCTCCAACGCAGGCGGATTTGGGCTGCCACGAAAACGTCAGAAACTGCCGTGCCCGGTTGTGAGGTGGTGGCGAAAAATGCTCAATAGGGGAGCTGTAAGTCTTGGACCTATGTACTAGCCTCCCTTGTCTGCTACCCTTTGAGAGTAGCTTGTTTTGTCGACTTGTCAGATGAAGAAGAAGCGACCCGACCAGCCATGTTTCTGATGAATCCCTTTTCAGCGCAAAGGGCTGGGGCAGGCAAGAGGGGGTTCTTTTATGGTGAGGTGGTGTTGACAGTGGATGCAAGAAATCGGCCCAAAGGTGGATTTGTGTACAGTCGATGCTCAGCCTATCACAAAAATTTGCTTAACACTATTAGAAAATTAGTCACTCGCGAACGTTTTCCCTGTGAGTGGTGATTGTGCTGATTTCGGGTACAGTCACCAAGTTGCGGAAGAAAAACATCTACAGTTCATAAACAACAGCGATTGCCCGTCATCAGAATTGTTTACCTGGTTACGAACTTAAACCCCCGGACTCGTTTCAAATTCCAATTTCATTTTACAATCACAATTTTGCCCGTGGCGACAAGGGCGAACATTACGAAATCCCCCTAACTCGTTTCACGCACATGCCGCCCGCCTACCTGGTGTTCTTGAAATGAGCACCGACTGTAATTGCTGTACGTATCCCATGGCTGAGAGTGGTGTGATTTGGAATTGCTGTTTTGACTGAATTGAAACGCGCTGTGCTCTGTAGCTGTGCCCCCGAAGTCACCACCCCCGAAAAAATTGCAAGCTGGTCGCCGCGCTGCTGTACCTTCACATTCGCCTTCACAGCTGTTCAGTGCACAACACGGCAATGACGACGACGAGTCGACCGGACACGACACGCCACTGTGGCAGAGATCAGCGAGCGTGCGAGCGCAGAAAGCAGCCCGCCAGCCAAGTCAGGCCACTGAACCGACTGTAACGCCACCCACCACCTTTCCCTCCACTGGCTCCCTCCCTTCATCCCCCATTTCCCCAACTCCGCGTGCTTCGCCTTGAACAGCAAAGTTGCCAGCTGTAAAACCTCGCGTGAGGGGGAAGGGGGGTTGATTTCCTTTTGGGAGACTCCACCCGCGTCTTTCCTCCTAGGTCGTGCACAGGCATGCATGTCAGCAATTTTAGGGTTCGAAGTATGATAACTCAGTTTTGCGGCTTCCTCTCGCCCCAATTCTGCGTGTCGGGTGGATTTAGGGTCGGCTGGTCCGGCTCCAATTCTCCCGTGAGGTGGCGTAAGCCTTATCGGCAGCAGTGAATCTCATGGACACGTCAGTTTCCCCCGACTCCGCGCCTGTCCCAGTTGCGCGGCTCCCAGCAGCCCGCCGCTACCTCCGCCGCATCCGCCCCGCCGACAAACAGCAGCAGCAGCAGGAGCAGCAGCGGGGTAGGATTTCCGCGCAACCTGCACCTGCCGCAGACGCTAACCCTTCCCCATTCGCCGCCCCCGCCGCCGCAGAATCCTCACAGTCGCAATTATTCACGCCGAGCCGCTTTAGTCTCTTCAGCAGCGCCGTAGCATCTCGGAAAGTAGCACCCGTTATTACTTTCGAAAGTATCACCGCCGATAGTAGCACAGTTACAGCCAATCCGTTCGCGCCCCCGCATGGTTCTGTCTTCCCATCGCTAGCACGCCCAGCATTCCAAGCAGACGGCAGCGCGCCGATATTTACCGCTGGAACAGCCGCCGCGTCGCGAGGAGAGGACGACGTTCGCCTTGCGACACCTCCGACACCTGCGACGAGTTCCCTGGCGAATTCCTCTGCGACTTGCGACGCAACTCCTGCTCACGATACTAGCGACAGAGGCGATGTCGCAGGAGACTGTGAGTTGTCGCTTTCGATCGCAACGGGGAGTTCGAGCCTCGGGGAGGCGAGATGCGAGAGAAGCAGCGAAGCGGGCGTAGCGGAATCAGCAGGTGGAGGTAGGTGCGCTGAAGCCGAAGGTCGCGAAACGATCGGTGAAAGGGGAAACTGCGAGAGATCTGGGGAAAGCCGAACCGGGCAAGGAATTGGTGAAACCGACGGTCGGGAGGGTACATTTGGTGAAGGTAGTAGCGGAGAAGGGAGATTTGGAGTAGGGAGATTTGGTGAAGATGTCACGTGCGAGACAAGAAGCGACGAATCCGGAGCTCGTGTAGGTGATGGGGTTTGCGAGGGGGTTCATACAGCGGAGGACGTGGGGCGTGGTGGCGCGCAGGAAGAGCGGCACGAAGGGCGAGAGGGACGAGAGGGGCACGAGGGACAAGTGGGGGGAAAGCAGCAAGAGGGGCAATATGGGCGAGAGCAGGACGAGGAGGCGTGTGTAGGGAAGGATGCGATAACGGATAACTCGGTAGATGATGGGGAGGATAGAGGAGAAGAGAGCGAGGGAAGTGAGGAGAGTGAGGAGAGCGAAGAAGGTGACGAGGGGGAGGAGGACGATACTGGGAGTGAGTCGTCGTCCGCTCCCCCTAGAGCCCCTTCCCCCTCCCCACCCCCGAACCTCAACCCCCTTGCGCTGCTCGCGCTCTCGCACGCGCCCTTCCCCTCCGCCTCTTCGGTTACCAGCACCACCGCCACCACCTTTTCCGGCGGAACCAGCCCCACGCTCTCCTCCGCCGCCGCAGCCTCCTCCCGCTCCGCCGTCTCCCCGCCCACCTCCCCCTCCGCGCCCTCCGCGTTCCCCCCTTTCTCCTTCGCCCTGGCCCAAGCCGCCCACCCGATTCCCCACCCGCGCCCGCCGTCGTCCGCCGTCGTGAACATGGCTTCGCTAACGGCTTCGCAGAAGTTCGCGAAGCTGCTTCAACAGCTCGCGAAGCAGTCGGCGGAGCTGACGGAGCTGCGCGGGGAGCTGGCGGACGCCAAGGCGGAAGTGGCGGAGATGCAGGCGGTACTGGCGAAGGCGGGTCTGGATTTCGTGCGCGAGCGCATGGAGAAAGAGCGGCTCGGGCAAGCCTGCGCGAAGCTCAACAATGCGCTGCTCTCCTCCCGCCGGGAGACCGCGGACGAGCGCGAGCGGCGCGAGCTGGCGGAGCGGCTGGCGGTGGCCGCGGAGCTCGCGCGGAGGCAGCTGCTGGAGGAGATCACGCTGGAGCGCGCGCAGCTCGCGCGCGCGGACAACTGGCGCGAGCACAACGTGCATTTGAAGCTGGTCGAGGCGCAGATGGTAGTATCGGAAAAGGTGGCGATCTTAGAGGTGCTGCACGCGGAGCTGGAGAAGAAGTTCCGCCAGGTGGGCGCGGGGAGGCTGTGGCGCGGGGAGGAGGAGCGCCCGTTCGGGTGGTTTCTGAGATTTCTCAAGCAGCCCGAAGGCAAGGCGTGGGCGTTGGAGGGGCTAGGGGGGGGAGGAGAGGAGGCGGGCGGGGCGGGGGAAAAGGGAAAGGGGAAGGCGGAGGAGGCTGCTGACGGGGGTGATGGTGCCACGCCGGGCGCTAGTTCTTCTAACGGAGCTGCTTCAAACGAGGGTGATGCTCAGGAAGGAGAACGTAGGGGTGACAGTAATAGTGCGAGGGACAGTACAGAGAGTGATTCTGACGAGTATGACAATGACAGGACTGGCGGTAGCTCTGACTCACTCTCCGAGTCTATCCCGCTGGTTGGGGGAGGCGGAGATGAGCTTCGGATCCCGAAGCTGCGGGACAGGTCCGGGAACGCAGGCGGAAGCAGCAGCAACAGTGCGCGGATCCCAGGGCGCGGGGGAGGCAGCAGGTGCAGGTGGCGCGGCGATCGGCTGTTAGATGCGGGCGAGCCCATGTGGCAGGGGGGGTACCATGGCTGTAGCGCGTGTGGCCATGGCAGGCCATCGGCTGTAGCGGCTGCTGCAGCAAACATGTGCGGTCTCTTCAGCAGTTGTAGCGGAAGGGGCGTTGGGAATACTAGGAGTAGTGGGGTGGGTTCTACTGGCAACAGTAGTGTAGGGTCATTGAGTGTTGATGGGTGGCTTGGTTTGTCTGCACTTGCATCTGTTTGCTCCTCTGAGTGGTTTGCTACAGCAGCAGCAGTCACTGTAGAATCAGTGAACAGTGTTTGCGGTGGGGAACGGGTGGCAGCAGGTGCAGGAGCCGAGAGGCGGGAGGGAAACCTCTTGGGCATGCGGTTACCCTTCTCGTCTTGTTTCGACACGCAGTATACACTATCAGCCACACATGATGATTTGAATGATGATGATGCTGGTGCTGCCAGTAGTGGGAATGGCAGAGCAGCCGAAGCAAGGCGCTGTGGCTGCATGCACCGCAGCAGGCTCGGGCCAAGGCAAGGCAACAGGTCTGGGGCACTGTCCATGGGCACGAATGATGGCGGAATTGAGGAGAGGTCAGGGGAGCAGCGGGGCAAGGCCAAGGCGTCTGCTCTGTTGCCACCCAAGCCGCAGCGAGCCGGCAGGGGAGCAGAGAGTGGGAGTGGAGGAGGGAGAGGTTGTGGAGGAGGGGAGTACTGCCAGTGCTGTGGGCGCTGCTGTAGGTGCCCGATTGGCAATCGAGGGCACTAGCTGCACTGCCCATAGGTGCTGTGATGCGGATCATGCAAGACGGAGAGGGGTCGGGGGTCTGTGTTAACTGGGATGCATGGTCTGGTTGAGATGTTGAATGGAGGCAATCCGCCTGGGATGGTGTAAAGAGGGCTGGAGACAGATGAGCATATGGTGTGGTGGAACAACGACGGAGGGGAGGGGAGGAAGGGAGAAGGGGGTGGGCGTGTGGGAGGGCAAGGAGAATGAAGTATAGAAAGCTTTTTTGTGTTGTGTTGAGGATGCATTCCGTAATGGTGTAATGTTCTGGTTTTGGTTGGCCACCAACGTTTGACAAAATACTGCGGATATTCTAAAGAGAGAAGGTCTAGATCACATGAGGATGCCAGCTGTGAATATTTATATGAGGGCGCACCTTACATATCCACCATACCTTACCGACACTGGTAAGAGGTGGTGAACTGGAAATGGGATGTCTGAGTGATTTATGTCCGCTGTTGGTAACGAGATTGGTGGTGTACAGACGTAGAGCAGAAAGTGGATGAGCGGAGCTGCTTGTGTCACGTGGACTTCGAATAATGAACAGTTGTTGGTGGCGTGGCAAGTTGGCATTGGCAGTGGCAACATGCGAAGGAATGTCAACGGTGATTGGATACCGTGTCACGAAAGATGTTGAAAAATCAAACATCTCACCGAACCACTAGCCTTGGTATCTGAAATAAATTAAATTGCACGAAACCACGTCATACTGACAGGCTGTGACTGTGGTTGATGTCACAGTGAACTCTGGAATTCAACAACTGTAGCAATGTCCAATACTGTAGTCTAATGTAGCTGCAGAGTTCCCCTTTCCCAGTTCCATTTTCCGCCATCTCAAACTTGGTGAGTCGTTCTGAAAAAAAGTCGGGCAGTTGCGTTGTAGGTTGTAGTACATTTCTGAACGGCATGAAAGAAACGCTGTAAACAGATAAGTCCCACTACCGATGAAACTGCCGAGCACCCCAGACCTTATGGCTTGTTTTGGCGGCATGGGACGTGGCTGGGGGTGTTTGTGCTGTAGATTGGGGGGATTTCGTCAACAGCTCGCGAAAAGTCAAATTCCTCCAGGTGCCCACATATAACAGTCCGCAAACTTCGCGACGGGCGGAAACCGCATCTGCCACCGCCTTCTCTATAGGGAGTACAATTCCGTCGTCACCACTTCCAACCAAGCCCACCTGCCCCCACAAGCACCCGTGTACAAGACCCACAACCGCACAATCTCCACCACTTTTTTGCCCACTAGGAGCCGCTGGCTATTGCGGAATAAGCGCACACGAGCGAGTACACTGTACACTAGTTGCGAAGAATTTCAACAGTGGAGCCAGAGAAGCTTTGTTCCGTAGGCGGAGGCAGTCCAGCCCAGCGAGACGAAGGGCACCAATTAAAAACCGTCTTGCCCGCGTCTGGGCAGGCGTACTATGAAATCTATGTCAATACACCTCGTCATGCACCTCGTCAACACGAGTCGGGCTCGATCAGATCGTGCCATTACAGCTGATGCTCACCCCATGCACGCGAATTTGCCTTGCGCCGGATGGATACGCTGCACCCGAGGTTGTTTCCCCAGCCTCATGCACCTACATTACAAGCGCGTCGCGTGGTTATCAACCAATAGTAACGAACAGACCAAAGTCAAACTAGGTACAGACCGAAGTCAAGCAGAAGAGACTGAAGTCAAACTAGGTTACAGATCTTGTTTATAAGCACATGCGAATCCTTTTTAGCTAGCTGCGAATTGACGAAACTTATGCGAAATGCTCGTGACAGCTTATACGCCCCCTTCATAAGGCAACCGGGAGGGGCTCAAACAGGCATCAGGTGTAGTACATCCGTCACGCCACTTTCAGCCCGGCTGGACCTTAGGGTCGTATTTCAACACCCAAATTTCGCGACTGGAAGCTTAGAGCTTCCGTTCCCGCGCACCTTATTCCCATGGCGCTTCGACGGTCTTCGAAGGGAATTTGAAGTCCTAAGTAGAAGTTCGGGTTGAGTCAGGACCTCCTTGTCAAAGTTCCGAATCAGAATAGTTTTTCGTCACGTCCGCGCCGCGGTTCTAGCCGTTTGCGGCCGCCCAGTGGATCAAAACACGAGAAATTGGCGTGAAATCAGCCTTTTCAAACATGGCCGCGGTTTCCCCACCGCATTCCTCGGCAAAAACACCGTCTTCCCAACCCTCTCGCGATCCGGCGGTCAAGCAGCGGCGCGCACCGTCCCCGCGCAACGGGGGATCCTCCCCATCCGACTCTGCCCCTCCTCGTCTTACGATCTTCGACGGGAAGCAAATCCGACGGCGGATGCACGACGACGCGGCATTCTCGGCGTTCCTCTCGCACGAGTTCGACCGCCTCGACGCCGACGGTAACGGCGCGCTCTCGCTGGGCGAGTTAAAGCCGGCGCTACTGCGGCTCGGGGAGCTATTAGGGATGCCGCCGGCCGGGACGGCACGCGAGGTTGACGAGCTAGTGGAGGGGCTTTTCGCGTCGTTCATGTCGCCGGATCTCACGGAGGAGATTGGGCGGGATTCGTTTATCCGGGTTTGCAAGGATATTCTTAGCGGCGCGAGCCACGCGTTAGAAGGTAAGTGCAAGTGAACAACCTACATAAGCGACTTGCTACTCGGAATTCAGCTCCCTTTCATTCTTCCCCCCTTTCCCCTCATTCTTCCCCCCTTTCCCCTCATTCTTCCCCCCATTCCCCTCATTCTTCCCCACTTTCCCCTCATTCTTCCCCCCCTTTTCCTCATTATTTCCCCCCTTCCCCTCATTCTTTCCCCCTCCATCTCATTCTTCCCCTCTCCCCATCATTCTTCCCGCCTTTCCCCCTCTCCGCTCCCCCAGAGGACCCGCTATCCACGCTGGTCTACGACGGCGGCGCGCTGCGGAGAATACTGGGCAGCGCGGAGGAGGCGGAGGCGCTGATTTCGGCGCTGTTCGCGGAGCTGGACACGGACGGCAGCGGGTGCATCAGCAAGAGCGAGCTGCGGCCCGCGCTCGTGCGCCTGGGGCTTCACAAGGGCGACAACACCACGGCCGAAGGTGAGTCGCGAGGCGCCTCAAATGTCGAGCGAGCTGCGCCCCGCGCAGAGCGAGCTGCGCCGCGCGCTCGTGCGCCTGGGGCTTCATAAGGGGGACAATACCACGGCCGAAGGTGAGTCACGAGGCGCCTCGAAAGTTGCCCCGCACTCGTGCGGTGGGGCTTCGTAAGGGCGACAACACCACTGGCGAAGGTGAGCGGGAAAGGATGCGAGCGGGGGCTTTGCGCGCGCGCGACGCTGCGGCAATCATTCCGCGCGGGAGCAGAAGGTTGCGACGGGGCGGGGAAATATTCAGCGGGGGAACCCTCTTGCCAGTTGCTAGCCGCATTGACGTTTTGTGAGAGCTACACCACAGAAAAACCTGGTTTTATGTACAAACGAAGGAGGACAATAAATTCACAATGCGCGAAAAAATCGGTTTAAACCAGACCTCCGCGACTTTGCTTCCCCCGCTGCGACCTACACGGCCCCAGTTCCGCCTATTCGTGCCCTGGCGCGCCCATTTGCCCCTCTCGCCCCTCCCCGACCTACGCCCTTCCCCTAGCCCCTCCCGCGCCTCCTCTATGCCTAATCTGTGCCTTAATGGTATCTCCCGTTGCCCATCTCCCCCCCACTCTTTCCCCAACCAGCGCGCCCTGCCTCCCTCCCTACTCGCGCGCGCACACAGCGCAGGGTCCCAGCGCGCATTATCGAGCACCACTGCGCGGATGCGCTCCCCCGTGACCATGCCCCCCCTGTGCTCCTCCTCTTGCCCCCCTCCCTTCTCCCCCCTCCAGCGCGCGAGCACCAGGAGCAGGTGCTGGAGCGAATCATCGGCTGCTACTGCCTGGACGGCGAGAGCAACCCCCGTGATCCCTCCGTTCCCTCGCTCTTCCCACACTCCCCCCCCCCTCCCCCGCCTTCCGCCCCTGCCCCTGCCCCTGCCCCATCAGCGCGCGAGCGCCAGGAGCAGGTGCTGGAGCGGATAATCGACCGGTACTGCCTGGATGGCGACGGGGAGCTGTGCCGCGAGGAGTTCTCAGCGCTGCTGCTCAAAGTGATCCCCCGTTGCCCCCCCTCTCTCCCCCACATTCCCTCCCTCTGCGCTGGCAGCGCGCGAGCACCAGGAGCAGGTGCTGGAGCGAATCATCGACCGGTACTGCCTGGATGGCGACGGGGAGCTGTGCCGCGAGGAGTTCTCAGCGCTGCTGCTGGACGTGTTCAAAGACCTCTCCTCCGAGCTCGAGGCCTCGCCACTCTACCTGCCGCAGCGCGCCACCGTGCTCAACGGCGCGTACATAAAGAAGGTATGCGAGCCGCGCACCGCATTGCACTGCACCGCAGCGCGGTGCTGTCCCCTCCCATTCACCCCCCACAACTGTCAGGTCAACCCCCCTCCACCTCCTCTTCCCCCTGCCCTGCCCTGCCCTTCCCCTGCCCTGCCCCCTGCCCTGTTCCCCCCCCTTTATGCAGATCCTAAGCGACGATGATTTCTTCACAGCGGTATCAGACGCCATGTTCGAGGAGTGGGACGTGTCTCATCGCGGCTACCTCGTGTGCACCGACGCCATCGCCGGCTTTCGCAAGCTCGGCCTCGCCTACGGCCTTCCGCCCCCCGACGCCGCGGAAGCAGACAAGGTCTACACGTCGCTGTTCCTGTCCGCGGACGTGAATCTGGACGGGTTTGTGGACAAGGGCGAGTTCCGCACGCTGCTGCGCTCGCTCTTCATCGGCATGCAGCTGCAGCTGGAGGAGACGCCGCTCGTGCTCGAATCGTCTGTGCAACCCAAGGGGGAGTCTGGCCATGCCTCCTCTGTTGCCGAGGTCTTTGACGGGCCCAAGCTGTGTGCGCTGCTAAGGGAGGAGGGCGGCGGGCAGCGAGTGAGGAAGTTTCTGGAGGAGAGGTTTCACGAGATGGACAAGGGCGGGCGGGGGAGGGTTCCGAGGGAGGCGGTGCGCGCGGTGGTAGCGCACGTGGAGCAGACGACCGCGCTGCCGTCCCCGCGGACAACGCCTTTTCAAGCGCCTCAAAAGGGGCCTCAAAAGGCGCCTCAAATTGCGCCTCACAAGCACGTGGAGCAGAGGACTGTGCGGCCGTCCCCGCGGACGTCTCTCACGGTGGAGAGACGGGAGGAGGGGGAGCGGCGCGCGGAGGGGGGGAGGCAGCCGGGGCTGAGACGAGCGGAGACAGAGCCTGCTGGGGGTGCGGCGCGGGGCGGTGGGAGCGATGATGATGGGTGGGAGAGCGCGGAGCAGGAGGTGGCGTGTGAGGAGTTCGTGGAGGCCATGATGCGCGTGCTGCAACGCATGGCGGACGCACAGCATGGTGCGTGGGGAAGGGGGGGGACGGGAAGAAGGCACATGCGCAGGGGCTTGGTTGTGGGTTTGGGTTGGCTGGGTGGGAAGGCGGGTGTGTGGGTGCGCGTGATTGGGAGTTTGTAGGGGGCAGATGTGCGTGGTGAACGCGTGGGTGGCTGGGTGGGTGGATCAGTGGTCGATGTGATAAAAGGCGTCCCATTTCCTGCTGTCCCTCCCCAGACCACCCCATACTGCAATGCATGGCGGACGGGGCCAAGATGCAGCGGGCGTTCTTGAGACGCAATAACATTCGCCGCCTTCCATTTCCTCCATTCCCTGCTGTCCCTTCCCATTTCCACCACTCGCTGTTGCCCCTTCCCGTGTGCCCCATTCCCTGCCGTCCCTTCTCCAGACGACCCGATACTGCAGTTCATGGCGGACGGGGCGAAGATGCAGCGGCTGATGGAGGAGGAGGGGGAGCTGGCGACGCTCATAGACGTGCTCTTCTCCTCGCTGGACACGGATGGCAGTGGCACCATCTCCTCCACGGAGCTCAAGCCCGCGCTCTCCAACATGGTGCAGCACATGGGCCTGCACACCCTCTGCCGTGAGTGCCCCCACCCGTGAGTGTTGCCATACCCTCACCCATGAGTACATGGCAGTTTCACACGCCTTGGTCCTCTTCCTCTCGGCCTCCCACCCCACCCCCTTCCACCGCGCATCACCTCTCATTCTGTCTCTCTCATTCTCTCCCTTCCATTCTCTCCCGTCCATCCTCTCTCTCCTCTCGGCAGGGAGTGCATCAACGGAGAGTGTGGTGGCACAGCTGGTGATGACGCACGGCAAGGGTCGTCTGGACCTTTCCCTCTCCGCCGCACCCCTCTCCACCGCGCATCACCACTCCCTCTCTGTCCCTTGTTCTCTTTCCACGGTGCAGGGAGTGCGTCAACGGAGAGTGTGGTGGCACAGCTGGTGATGACGCATGGCAAGGGGCGTCTGGACCTCTCACGAGAGCAGTTCACGGCCTTCATGCGCGTGCGTGCTGCTGTGGGGTGGGGGGTGGGTTGGCTGTGGGGTGGGTAGGTGCAGGGGAGGCTTGTATGGGGAAGGCTGGGGCGTCTGGACCTCTCACGAGAGCAGTTCACGGCCTTCATGCGCGTGCGTGCTTCAAGGGTTTGGGGGGGGGGGTATGGGGGAGGCTTGTGTGGGGAAGGCTTGTATGGGGGAGGCTTGTATGGGGAGGCTTGTATGGGAGATGCTTGTATGGGGGAGGTTTTTATGGGGGATGCTTGTATGGTGGAGGCTTGTTTGGGGGAGGCGTGTATGGGGTAGGGCTGTGTGGGGATAGTGTTGTGTGGTGAGATACCTCAACTCCCCTGTACCTCCTTCTTGCCGTACCCACTCTCCTCCTCCCCTCCCACCCCTCTCCCACCACACCCCTCCCTTACCCTCCCCCTCCCCAGTCGCTTTCTCCCCTCCTTGGTCCCCCTTTCACCACACCCTCTCTGCACGTCACAGTGTGTGATCGGCAGGCAAGCCAGTGGATTGAGATGGCTTTTGAGTCGACTCACAGGTCTCCTGTGTCCCCTTCACCCCTTCACCCCTTCACCCCTTCACCCCTTCACCCCCTGCAGGCCTCAGTGTCTGATCTGGCGGGCAGTCTGGCAACCAAGCCAGTCAAGCTAGTCAAGCTTGTAAAAGTTGACTCGTGTGTCTACTCACTGGTGTCCTGTGTCCTCCTCGCCCCTTGCCCCTCGTCCTTCACCCCCTGCAGGCCACGGTGTCTGATCTGGCGGGCAGGCTGGCAGCAAAGCCAGTCAAAGCCAGTAACTAGACAGTGACTTTTGAGTTGACTCACAGGTCTCGTGTATCCTCCTCCCCCATTCACCCCTTCACCCCCTGCAGGCCACGGTGTCTGATCTGGCGGGCAGGCTTGCAGCCAAGCCGGAGGAGGAGGAGGAGGAGGGGCAGGTGCTAGACGGCAGTAAACTGCGCCAGGTGCGGTGGGGGGGAGGGGAGGGGAGGGGAGGGGAGGGGAGGAGGAGAGGGGAGGGGAGGGGAGGAGAGGGGAGGTGGGTGGGGCAGAGTAACTGCACGGGTAAACAGGTGATGTGCAGGACGCGAGGAGGAGGTGCAGATGCTGCATAGCAGCAAGCTGCTCCAGGTGCGGTGGGGGGCGGGGAGGGGAGGGGAGAGGAAGGGAAGGGAGGGGAGTGGAGAGGGGAGAAGCGGGAGCACCCATCTTCCTTTTCCCCTTGTCACTTCCTCCCTCTTCCCCTTTCTCCCCTCTCCCTCTGTCCCTCTCTACCCTCCCCCTTACCCCCCTCGCCTTCTCTCCCTCTCCCCAGTCACCCTTTGTCCCCCTTCCCCCCCACCTTCCCCCCCACCTTCCCCCTTTCAGATCCTGGGCGACCGGCGGCTCTTCCAGAAGGTGTGCGAGGACACCTTCGCCTCGTGGGACGTGTCTCGGAAGCGCTGCCTGTCACGCGCGGACATCAGTGCAGGGCTGGCACGGTCGGGCATGCTGTGGGGGCTGCCCCCGCACAACGCTCGCAACGCGGAGGAGGTATACGAGAAGTTCTTTCTCAAGGCAGACCTTGATAGGTCGGGGTCGGTGGAACGAGCAGAGTTCAATGTGTTTCTGAGAGGGGTTTTCAGGGCTATGGCTGATGAGCTGGAGAAGAATCCACTTGTCGTGCATACATCCAAGGTTAGGCCGCCCACCGCTGATTCAATGTGAAGGAGGTGTATAGAGCTCTTTTTTAAGAATCCTCCACCTGACCTGACATAACACAGGCCAGTTAGTGACGTAGATGTTTTTCTGTGTATAATAAGGTGGCGTGTATTTCCTAATTTATATTCACCTGAGCAAAGCAGTCAATTCACTGTAAGAGCAGCACAAAAACTGTACGGGTCACTGTACTTGACACAGTGAAGGGAATGGACAGCTGTGCAGCAACGTGTCTGGAACTGGTGCTACCAGCCAGCCATTGACTCATGTATGAGAAAAATCATAACTAAAAACTTCCTCTGAGGCCCTTCAGACGCCACAAAGCATGGGTTCTTCTCTCTGTCTGTTCTTCTCTCTGTCTGTTCTTCTGTCTGTCTGCCTGCCAAGTCTTGGCTGCATGTGGAGGCAAAACTGCAGCGTGCCAGCTTGACTGCAATGAACCCCCTTCCTCCATGTGCCGCAAGCACCACTGAACCACCACTGTACCATCCAACCACCCAACCAGGCCCATGGCCATCCACCACTGCTTGGCTACCCTACGCCCATGACCTTCCCCCTTGCTACTGATCGCTCTAATCTCCTCCTCTGCCTGCTGCTTCACTTGCTGCTGCTGAACCTAATGCTGCATCTGCTGCGGGCTACAAGTGCGGCTCCGTACCACCATTGGAGATTCCAATGCGCTGCCAATCAGCTGCTGCCACGTGCACAAGGCGAAACGCCATGCTAAACAGCAAAAACCTATCCTGGTTTAGACGCCGATGCCACATGGCCTTGTGCTACAACCACGCCCTCCTCCCCCGCCCCTTCCTCCACACGCGCCCCTTCCCCCGCCCTCCCCTCCCCACTGCTCCCCTCCAGCCTCCGCATCTCCCCGCCACCACCACTCTCCGCATTGCCCTCCTGCCTCGCACCCCCCCCAGCCTCCCCTCCATCCTCGTCCCTCACACCACGCGCAGGGGGCGTCATGGCAGCAGCGCTGAGCAACGAGAGCTCGTGCAGTTCATTCAGCACCCACTCCTTGCCTGTCTGTCCGCCCAGCACCACGGCCTTCGTCCCCCCCACCACGCACGTGCTGTGCCCCCACGCTATCCGCGGCTGCTGCCCCGGAAACGCCAGCTCCCGCCACCGCGGCTTCTCTTCCCCCGGGTCTAGCAGGTATACCTGGGACGGGGTAGGGCTTACCCCCGCGATAGACCCCCCGAATACTAACACCCGCCCCCCTGGCAGCGCGAACGCCACGTGGTCCAGCCTCGGCGGGGGCGACGCTCCCCCTGGCGTTCCGCCGGTTCCGCCCCCGCCCCCTGCCCCGCTGCCGTTCGCGCCGCCGCCACCCCCTGGGAGAGGCGCGTCGGGGGAAACGGTCTGCCAGTTGGGATGCTCGTCAGCGAGATCGATGGTAAACGCGTCGTTGGACCGCAGGCGCAGCGCGCCGCTCGTCGCGAGCCCCCCGAACATGAGCACCTTGCGCCCGCCCAGCGCGGAGAGCGTGTGCCCCAGGCGCGCGGGCGGCGCCCACGCCACGCGGATCTCCTTCCACGACGGCGGGTTGTGCGCGAGGTCTAGAAGGAACGTATCGGAGAGCAGACGACCGGACGCGGTACAGCCGCCGGAGACTACGAGCTTCGAGCCCTCGACGGTGCATGAGCTGTGCCACGACCGCGGGTGCGGCCGCTGCGGGGGCGCGGGCGCTGCGGGCGCTGCTTGCGCGACTGCCTGCAGCTGCTGCTGCCGGCGTTGGTGCGGCTGCTGCTGCTGCTGCCGCTGCTGTTGTTGTTGCTGTTGGTGGTTCTGCTGCTGCTGTCTGCTGTCCTGCGGCTGACCGTCTTGTCTCGTATCGGACACCTGGGTCGCCGCCTCCCCCTGGCCCCGTCTCAATACTCCCTCTCCATCCTCTACTGCTTCCGCGGCCGCCCGTGCGTCCCCATCACTTCTCAAAACCAACCCATCCCCCAGGTCACCATTTCCCCCGGCGCCCCCCCTGCCAGTCGCGCCAGCCCCGCCGGTGCCCCCCTCCCCAGCGCCAGCACCGCTGCTGCTCCCGGCATCCTCCCCCACCACGACCTCGCGCCACTTGGGTTGCTTGTCGTCTAGGTCCAATAGAAAGGCGTCGTTCAGCAACCCCTCGCGCCCGCACCCGCCGAACACCACCAGCCCCGACCCGTTCACGCACGACAGCGTGTGCCCCCACCGCCCGGGGGGCGCGGAACCCGCGACGGGGACGTGCCGCCGGCATGTCGGATGCGAGGTCGAGAACGAATGTGTCGTTAAGGGGTTGCATGTTTGCGCCCTCCCCGCCGAACAGAACCACCTTGCTGCCCACCGCACACGCGCTGAAGTTGCACCGCGATGGTTCTACTGACCCCTTGACAGTCACCTTGCGCCACGTGGCGGCTTCCAGCGTCGTCATTTCGCGCGCGATTTGCGCCCATTTGACCCGCTGCAGCCACTGCGGCTTCTGGTGGTTCTCTATCAGCTGCCGCTGCTGCTGCTGTTGTTGCTGCTGCCCCACAACCGTACTCAACCGCTTCCCTCCCGCCCCTTCTAACCCTACTCCCCTACCAACAGCCCCCTCAAACACCACCTTACTCTTCCCGTGCCACGCGTACCGCCCTCGCCGCACCACCTCCTCCGCCGCTTCCTCCTCCTCTGTCTTCCACCCCACTGTCGCCTGCGCCTGCACCGCCGCCGTCGCCTCCGCGCCCCACACGTGCTGACACGCGCGCTGCCACACGTCCTGGCTGACCGCGAGCTGGCGGAACCGCCGACACGACATGGCGAGGGACGCGATGTCTCTAGGACCCAGGTGGCACATCACTCGCTGCACTAGCACCTCGTCGCTCACTTGCAACAGCCCGCTAGCCCTACCGCTCCCGCTCCCGCTGCCCCTGGTTCTACCGCAGTCGCTGCTGCTGGGGTAACTCCGTCCAGGCCCTATACATCCCCCGCCGCCCTCCCCCTCCCGCGGGCATTTCCGCCCGAACCCCGGGAACGGCGCGTGGTCGTGGAGGCAGCACGCGGGGCACGCCGTGCTGCTGCTGCTACAGCCAGGGGCAGCGGCGCTCGTGCTGGGTACGGAGACGGGTGAGGCGTCGCTGGGATCCGCGCGGGTGGAAGGGCCGACGGCTAAATTGACTGGCGAACGGTCGGAGGGCGGTCCGGGCTGTCTGGAAGGTGGCCAACGAGAGGCAACCACAGCGGCTGCGGCGGCGGCGGCGGCTGAGGCTGCCGCCCCCGACATAGGCAGATGCTGCGGCTCCTTGTGCGGCGGGCCTGGCAACGGGCCAAGCTCGACGTTGGTTTCCGCGAAAGACTGCACTCCGACGAAATGGGTAACTGCGCTGGTGTCGCTTCCGCGAATCGGCGCGACGCAGAGGGTATTCATGATGGCACTGCCGTCCTTGCGGAAATTGAGAATCTCCCCGCAGAACTCGCGGCCTTCTGCGATGCACTGGCGTAACCGTGCGACGGTGGCGGGATTCACGAGAGAGTGCGGTCGCTGCGCGAATGCTCCGCGATACTGAAGGAAACGACTGCGCGACAGACGAACAAAAGAAGGGTTTAGACAGACGTTGTTTAGTGGTCACGGCAGCAAAAACGAGCGACGGAATGACGAAAAGAGATGTTGCGATAGACGAGAAGTGTAAGAATGCCAGAAGACGTCAGCATGCGCGTACCAATTCCGTCCAAGAATATCCTCCGCCGTGTAACCCGTCAAGCGCTCGAACACACTATTCACATAGATGATAGGATGGTCGGGTTCTAAAGCGTCTGACACTATCAGCCCGCACGGCTTCGCCGCCATGAGAGCCTCAATCGTCCGTCTACTCTCCTCGCTAACTCCTCGCAGGAACGACGGCAACAGTCTCACTCCATCCAAGTCGATATTGCCGTCCCCTGCTGGTGCTACACCGTCCTTGCTAATGCTGCTTCCCGTACCCCCCACTCCAATAGGCCCGAAGCCGCTCATTCCGGACTCGTCGTCTGAATCGCTCGACCACTCCATTAACGTAAATCGTTGACGATAAGGGGAGACAACTGTCCGCTTCACAACTACGTACTGTAAAATGCTGCGTAAAAACGGCTGACGGATTCTTACCACTACTCGGGACCCTGATGCGCAGACGTATCTGTCGCTGATAGCTGAGAGATGGAGATTTCGCAATACGGATCAAGCGCAACCGATTTCAAGCTGCCGAAAGTACCGCTACTAACGTGCGAGGTTTCAACTACGGTGAATCGAGCCGACCTGGATCGAAATGGCGTGAAATTTCGGCCCAGAACAACTTAAGCTTGTATTTAAGTAGGTGGTGGCCAACCATGGAGCCTACGGAGAAACCGATAGGAACCTGCTAACGGTAGGGCAAACACCTGCAAGACTATCGCTGATATTTCTCACGGATGTGATCATGGGTTGTTTAAAGAAAGCTATAAGAAAACTGGGACGAATCGCTAGTAGACAAAGAACTGGTAATATGATACTACGGACGAGCAGGGGTTTGTTCCAGGAACAGGTTGCTGATACGTAAGAGTTCCGAAGGAAACTGCTGATGAGGAAGACTACTGTTCACAGGGAATGCCGAGCCATTGATGAACTCTCTAGAAGCGAAGCGAAGCGAAGAGAAGCAGAATGGTGACAACGAGGAGCTGTGGTTTCCCCAGGCTGGATGGATGAAACCCTAGCTCTGTCCACTCCTGAACCAGCAATCCGACACGTCAGCCTCTGACAGGCGTTTCCCGCTTGCACACGCTCCTTGCTGCAGAAAAGCAATGTCCAACCGCTAACAGAAGCATCTCGACCATTCATTTCCAACGGCGCAGACACATGGACCATGACATGCAAGCTGCCCGTTATCCCTTGAGATATTTCTTCCGCAGCTCCCAACATCACTCAAAAAGTCCCAGATATTTTCTTCAAAAAGTGCAGATATTTTCCCTTGTCCACTTCTCCACCATTCCCTCCCGATTCACATGCAACTCCTTTAGTGGCACCACCCCGTAGTAGCACAAGCTAGCTCGCCTTGCCCAGCCTATCCGCGCGCATGAGTTGAACAGTAGGACAGCCAGGACAAGCCACCGGAGCCAAGAGCCTAAATTAAGCCATTCGGCATTCATGGCTGGTGATGATGGAAGAAACTCGTCAAGCCACATAATCGATCCAGAGGCATAAAAAATATCCTAGTTGTGGCGGAAAACAATCGGTCGACCGCAAGATAGAGGGATAAAGATACTTGTGGGGGTTTGGGGTCGTTAGATATTTTACGTCCCGTTCAAAGGCTTGCATGTTTTCTTCCACGTGTCATGCAACAGTCAGTTTGCGTGGGTTTGACAGCTCTTTTGTCAAGTGCGCGATCGTAGCATTTTCTATTTATCGTTCGGGTTTCATAGCTGCCTTTTCATTTTGCACAGAACATTGTATATTGAGGCATACAGTACTGTCAGTTTTCATTCATAATAGAAGTAACAAAAAGTTCTCAAAGGTACTTCACGTCTGACCACCAATTTCCTCGGATTGGTGGAGGTTGAGGGTAAGGCAAGGAACGTTAGCTTCCACGTCACACGCAGCCTTGAGAAATGGCTAAGCCCAGTTGTCCGCACGGCGTCCACTTCTTCCCTCCACGTGTCAGCAAAAGAAAACCTTCCCGAACAAAAAAAGCTCGCCCTTTTTCCAACGTCCAGGAGATACAAATCCGCGGGTTTAGATATTTTTTTCAAAGAGGGGCAGCCACCGGAACCCGAGGGTTCCTCTGTCGCGTTGCTGTCAGACTGCCTCCTTCACACGGTGGTTCTTCCTGTGAACCACTCTCCCGTACGTTTTCGATCTTCCCTCCCCTTCCATCCTGCCCAGCTTTCCTCATTCTTTTCTTCAACCTCCGTCTCCCACATCTTTCTGCGAGTCTGCTCTGGTGACGATAAATGCTTCAGACGATCACTCTCACTTGCCAGTGTTCCTCTCACTGCGCCGAACTGCGTTCTTGTTGATCGTTAGCTCTGCCATGTTTACTTAGCCTGCACCAAGCGTTATAGAATTATGACAGTGTAGGTACGGATATCGTTAGTTGCAAAGTGTCCGTCGTAAAGAGTCATAAAAAGTTTCCGTATTTATCGTAACATACCGGATTCATGTCGGGAGCCATTGTGCCATCCGCCGGCCAGGAGCAGCGCCGGCCATGCGACGTAGCAACGTTTCAGAGGAGCAACGTGCACATCCTGCTGTCGGATAAAGACACGGAGTCACGCCAAAATGTTCTCGAGCTGCTTCGCCGTTGTTCGTACCGAGGTGCGTGAGCGCCCTGAAATTATTCTCCTAAAGCTTCCGCTTCGCGATAAATGCTTCGTATCGATTTTATCATATAAGATTCACTCCTCAGACTGTTCGCCTTGAGTCGCTTTCTCTCGAAGCAGGACATGACATGCAGTCCTCATCTGCCTGCTTCGATCAACCGATTTCGTTTCTTTTAAACACATAAAAGTCTCTCGTTCCTGCATCGCCGCGTGGCTGACTTCCCCCACTTTTCCCCCTTTTCCAGTGACGGCCGTGGAGAACGCGCGGCTGGCGCTGCAGCTGCTGCGGTCGGCGAGCGACACGATAGATTTGATTCTGGCGGAGGTGGAGCTGCCGAACGGCAAGGGGTACAAGATGCTCAAAATCATCATGCGTGAGGAGCGCCTCAAAAACATCCCCATCGTCAGTACGTGCTCCGCTACCCCACGCCTTTCACGGGTACACTCTCTCGGCCAGAGTCTGTCGGATGGCGTCTGTCGGCTAGCGTCCGCCGGTTAACGCCAGTTGGTTAACGTCAGTCGAATAACGTCGGTCGTCTGACCGTCAGTCAGCTTTGTTCCGGCCTGGCATGCGGCTTCTCGTCACGTTATTCCCCAGCTGTTGCGCTCGTTTTCGAGTCGCTTCTGGGTCGAATCGTTGCCGTCGTCTCGCGTCGCCGCTGCCTTTATGTTTCCGATTCATTGCCTTGTGAAATTATTCGCCGGCTCGGTTCGTTCTCAGACGCGTTCGGCACCTTGCCGAACATCGCTCTCATACGCTTCTCGTCTTCCTCTCTCCCTCTTTCCCTCTCTTCTTGCCTCCCCCTCCCCGCCCTTCTTTTTCTTTCCCTCTCTTGGCGCGTCTCCCCGCTCGGCGCTCAGTGATGTCGACGCGCGACGAGATGGCGATCGTCGTCAAGTGTCTGCGCCTCGGCGCGGCGGATTTCCTCGTGAAGCCGCTGCGCACCAACGAGCTGCTCAACCTCTGGACGCACATGTGGCGCCGCCGCCGATCCGTGAGTACTCTCCGCCCTCTCCGCCCTCTTCGCCCTCGATCTCCTCGATTTCGTCGCTCGCAGACGTGTCGTTGACTCGCTCCGTCCGCTTGATTGTTGGCTTGCGCCGTTGACTCCTCGTTGACTTCGCGCCTTTGACTTGTTGTCGAGTCGCGCCGTCAATTTGCTGTTCGCGCGCCCTCGCAAGTCTGTTTTCATGCTAATCTCCGCCCAAGCGCGCCCGTCCCGCTCCCCGTCGTGCGCGCAGGTGGGGTTGGGGGAGGCTCCGCGGCACATGATGGCGGTGAGCGCAAGCGAGGTGGCGCACGACCTAGTATTCGTGGATACGAGCGAGTCGAACACGGGTACCGGCAGCACTGACCTCTTCTCCGAAGAGACGGACGATAAAAGGCGTAGCAGCGTGCAGCAGCAGCAGCAGCAGCAGCTTCAGCAGCAGCAGGAGCAGCAGCAGCAGTTGCATGAGTTGGAGCAGCAGCAGGAGCAGGTGCAGGCGCAGAGGCGGCAGCAGCAGGTGCGGCAGGAGCAGCAGCAGCAGGAGCAGCAGCAGCAGGAGCAGCAGCAGCAGGAGCAGCAGAAGCAGCAAGACCTGGTGCGGAAAGTAGCGGAGGAGGATGGAGAAGAAAGGAAGGAGGCGGGGCGGAACAAGAGACAAGCAACGGACACGTGGGGAGTGGGGAGGGACGACAAATGGCGGAACAGCGCTGCGCAAGTGGCGGAGCAGGGGGAGGAGGGGAAAGAGGTGCAGGAAGGGGAGGAGGAGGAGATGATACTAGAGCGGCAGGAACGAGAGGAGGCGGAGGAGGGCCGGCAGCAGCGACGCGAGCTCATGCTGCTCGAAACGCGCGACTCGCCCGGAGCGGGAGAAGCGGGAGGGGAGGAAAGGGAGGAGAGGGAAGACAGCGACGCGGATGAGCTGCCGTTGAAGCGGCGCCACGTGGCGCCGCAGGGAGGACGGGGCGCGGCGGGAGGAGGTGGCGGAGTGGCGCGCGCTGGAGCGCACGAGAGGAGGAGCAAGCTCGGCGCGCAGGACAGCGCGGAGCGGGAGGACCAGCCGCAGGTACGCGCGCGTCCTTGTCTCTCCACCTTTCACCCCGTCCTTTGTGGAAAGAGAATCTTCTTCCATTTCCCTCCACCTCTTGAATTCCATCTATCGTCCCAACCCACACCCCCCTCCCCTCCCCTCCCCTCCTCTCCCCCTCTCTCTCCGCTTTATCCGCTGCTCTTTCCGTCCCTCCTGCGAAACATCTCCTTCCCGTCCTTGTCGCCTCTGCTCATTCCCATCCGCCCATTCTCCCCCTTTCTCGCTTCTGCGCCCACTCCAGCAGACAATGCCTGCGCTAGAGCTCTCGCTCATGCTGCCACGTGTCGCGCTGCCGTTGGACGAGCCATGCGCGTCTGCGCGCCGTCTGCCGCCCGACCGAGGCCCCGTCGAAGCTCCAGACCCCGCTCGTCCGCCGCTCGAGCGCCCACGCCCCGCCGTGCCCCCGGCGGCGGCCGCCACTCTCCTCGCGCTCTGCACCTCCGCCGTGGCCGCCGTCGCGTCTGCGCCTCCGCGCGCCGCTACAACTGCCACTGTTGCGACAAATGCGGCTACAGCTGCAGCGAGTGCATCTGCAGCAGCAGGCCTTTCCTTGTCTTCCGCCATTCCCCCCACCGCGCACCCCCTGCTCCCCCCGCCCCACCAAATGCTGCTGCGCCGAGCAGTCTCCCACGAGCCAACCTCCGCGCCTCTCTTTTCCTCCGCGCGCCCTCCCTCCTCCCCCACCCGCGCATCTGCGCTCCAGCCCTCTCCGCCCCTCCACGCCTCCCGCGCGCTCCCCACGCGCACCTCCCCCCAGCCGCCTGGCTCCGCGGCTGTTGCCACTCTGCTTCCGCCATCGAGTCCCCTTCTGCCCTTCCGCATCGCGCCCTCGCTCCCCTCTGCGCCATCTGCGCCTTCCCTGCACTCCCCCGCGCACCACGCGCTCCCCTTGCGCACCATCAGTCAGCCCATTCTCCCCTCCGCTTCCGCCGCCCGCCCTCCCGAACTCCGCCTATCCCAAAGCCCGCCCGCGCCTACTGCCGCGCCTACTGCCGCTGCTGCTACCACTGCAGCACCAGCCGCTGCTGCGGCCGCGCCCATCCTCCCCGCGTCAGCTTCCGCTGCTGCGCGCGCCCCCCATACCGCCGCGCGCGCTGCCGTGAGTCGTTCAGCGAGCGGGGAGCAGGCCACGGGGACCAAGGGCGCGGAACTTGCTTCCGCGTTGAAACGAGGAGGTGGTGCGGCGATGGCAGGACGGAGGGGGGTGGGGAGTGACGCCAAGAGACAACAACAACAACAGCAGCAGCAGCAGCAGCAGCAGCACCGCCAGCTGCAGCAGCAGCAGGGCAGCGAGGCAGCGGGGAGGAGCAGTCCCACAACCGCGAGGCGGGGCGGGGGCAGTCCCCCGTCCCCTGCTGCCAGCGCCACACCTCCGCGGACGGCCTCCCGCGCACCAGCGCGCGCGCCTGCAAGCCCGGGGGGCTGCAGGCGCGCCTGGGGGGGGCGCAGCAACGTGCTGGCGGGGGAAGAGGAGGGGCTGCGGAGGGGCCCGGGGTTTCAGTGGGAGGAGAAGGCAGGGCAGGCAGAGATGGGACGCAGGGGGCTCATGGCATGGCACAGAGCACGGCACAGGGCACAGGACACAGCGAGGAGCACAGCATGTCAAAGGGCAAGGATAGAAACGGCAGGGGGGCAGAGGCGGACGTGAGTGGCGGCAGCAGTGGGCACCTCGTGGCAGGGCACAGCGCTGCCTTCTGGAACCACATGATCGACCGCAGCGGCCTCCGGGGGTACCTCCCCCACTCCCTGCCCCACTCCCCGCCCGCCATGCCTGCTCCTGCTCCGAACCTGCGCGCCGGATCGCCAAACCTGCCCAATGGTGCACCGAGCCTGCGTGGAGGCGCGGGCAGTTTGGCGGGTTACAAGAGGCAGTTATCCGGGGCAGCACGTGTGGAGCATGGGACTGGGCGTGGGTTGGGACCAGGTGTCAAGTCGCCCTCCCCTGCTCCCTCTCCTGCTGCTACACCCTCTGCTGCTTCTGCTCCCTGTGCTCCAACTGCTGCTGCTCCCACTACTGCTGCTGCCACTCCTGCTACTGCCACTGCAGCTGCTGCCGCGGCAGCATCTGCTGTTACTGCTACAGCTCAACGCCAGGCAGCGCCTGCCTTCCCGCGTCCCGCCGTGCTCCCACCTGCGCCGTTGCGGGATCGCTCTCCGTACCCGGCTGCTCACCACGCTCCCACACACTCCCCCTCCGACCCCTTTGCGGCGCCGCATGCTCCACCCAGCCACACCACTCCCGACCGCGGCTTTCCCAACCAGCAGATGCAGCAGCAGCAGCAGCAGCAACAACAGCAACAGCAACAACAACAACAGCAGCAGCCTGATTTCCTCTCTCCTCCCACCGTGCCTCCTCTCTCGCTTCCCTCGAACCTCGCAGTAGCTGCGGCTGCTGCTGCCGCCGCTGCTGCTGCATCGGGGCTGCCACCACAACACCCCATCGTTCAATCCCTAGCAGCTGCGGCCGCCGGCAATGCCATGCAGCAAATGCAGCAACAGCAGCAGAGCCAGCAGCAGAAGCAGCAGCAGCAGCAACAGCAGCAGCAGTATCACCCGTCACACCATTCGCATGCTCTGGCAGCAGCAGCAGCTACGTTCGCGCATCTCCCCCCTGATGCAGCAGCAGCAGCTGCCGCAGCCTTCTCTCGCCTCCCTCCCGAAGCCCTTGCAGCTGCAGCCGCAGCAGCTGCTGCATCCTCTAACCACGCACACGCCACACTCCCTCCCCCTTCCTCCATCCCCCCCACAAACCCCTTCTCCTTTCTCTCGTCCCTCGCTGCCGCGCCAGCCATACCTCCCTCCCTGCCATTCCCTGGAATGACAGCAGCAGCGCAGTTCCTAGCACCAGGTGCAGCAGCTGCTGCTGCAGCGGCGGCAGCGGCAGCGGGAGGGAGCGGCATGGGTGCATTCAACCCAGCCATGCCTTTCCCCTCCTGGCCTGACCCATCTGCTGCTGCCATGCTTTTCAACCCCGCTTCTGCTGCTGACGCTGCTGCTGGGGGAGCGGCAGGCGGAATGGGAGGAGCAGGAGGGATGGGAGGTTTGGGGGGAATGGGAGGGATGGGGGGAATGGGGGGAATGGGGCCAATGGGAGGAATTGGGGGAATGGGAGGAGGGGTGGTGAGCGCAGTGGGAGGGGGGGGGACGAGTGCAGGCGGGGGTGGGTTGTTGGAGAGGCGAGTGGAGGGATATGAGCGGCGGGAGGCTGCTCTGAACAAGTTCAGGCAGAAGCGCAAGGAGCGGTGCTTTGAGAAGAAGATTCGGTACGTGAGCAGAAAGAGACTTGCGGAGATGCGACCGCGGGTGAAAGGGCAGTTTGTGCGGAAGAAGACGGCGGGGAAAGGGCACGGTGGGCAGCAGGAGAGCGAGGAGGAGGAGGAGGAGGAGGAGGAGGATGAGGAGGAAGAGGAGGAGGGAGGAAATGAGTAGCTGTGTTGTGCATGCTGCCTGGGACTGTGTACTCCTGTGGTCATGTGCTTTGCCGCACGCCGCACCACCCGTCTCTCCATACCTTCCCATACCTGCCATTTCATTCCTGTTCTGTTAGATCCCCTCCCTTTTACCACCTATCTTCTGCACTCCTCCCCTCCCCAGTCCTTCCTTTTTTCTACCTGTTCTTCACTGGCTCACACCCTGCCACCAGTGCACTGGTGTACCTGACTTGTGTTGTTGTGCTTGCACGAGTTGCTCTCATAACTCCACTACGCGGTTGCTCCGTGGCCATGTAGCAAAATACCTGCTAGCATGCCTTAACATCCTTATTTGTTCCTTTTTACCTTGCTTTTTGCTAGGAAAATTATGTGACCTTTGAGTTGCTACTGGTTGACATGACATGACAGCCTTTGTGTACCTACTACTAACGTCCTGCTAGACATAAGATAAAAGTTACATGTACCATATGTACTGTGTGAGGCTTGATAGTGTTGCTTGCTCTGCTTTATGCACAAAAATAAGAAATCCCCTTACCATACCATTTCACCCTCCAGACTAAGCGCCTCTCCTCTCCCACTATGAAAGTGTAGTTACGGTATGGGAAAACAGAATTCAAGCCCAGAAAATGTATTCATCAGAATGGGATAAATCATGTGTAGGTGAATGATGGATAATGGTGTATCGGGTATCATTGTTCCGGTACAGACATGTTTCGGCAATTTTGTGTGTTCTTGAACGAACACATATGGTCATGAGTTATGAACCATTACATGACGTCATCGCGTTGTGTCAGAACCTTGCGCTTCTGACAGGCAATTCCCGCGCGAACGGCGGAGCTGCGGAACCGCCGTGCTGCGGAGATTCCGAGGATATCCTCGCAAAGCTCAACTCAAAATTTCGCGAGTCGTGTATTCCCCCAACCCAGCGGGTATCCCCGTCGACAATGCTCTCACGAAAATGTACATCCGCCGACGGTGCGGCGGCTGCACCTGAGTTTGGGAAATAGATCCTCCTCGCCTCTGTGAACTCTTCTTCACCACTCCGAATCCGTCTAGAACCTCGGATCTCACCACGGAACTCGACTTTCTTCACTGATGGTTCCTCTCTCACTTCCCAGATTCCTTTCTCCGGCTTCCCTGAATGTCATTCCTTCTCTTCATGCTCACAGCAGCTCGCTCACAGATTCCGTTAGGATAAGCTCGCAAAGCCGACGTCCATGGCTGCCGCTATTTGTTACCTACCATTAATGGTTCTCAATCATAGTCTTAGACCTCGTAATCTTCAAATATGTTTATCTCGAGGTCGACAAGACGGAGGACGAATCGTTGCAATCCATGGCTGTGTCTCCTGACGCGAACCAGTAGCCTTTTAACCTTAGTCGTAGTCATCGTTAAGAAGAAAACCGAACTTTACGTCTGATCTAGTCGGACAGATACATTCGAAGCTTAGAAGCTGTAGTCATTCGGAGCAGCTTAATGTCCGTCATCTACCCATTACCCAGTGAGAGGCTCTCACTTGACTGCACTTCTGATTTCTATTCCAGTATTTCAGAAACAACTTAGACCGAGTATTCTAGACATCTGACGAGCGCGGAACAGAGATGGTTTGCCGAGATTCCTCATAAATCCCTTTTCGATCTCCATGCGCTCCTTCAAGTAGCGAGGCGTCGCCGCTCTCCGACAGCAAGAATGGTTCGATTTGGTGACGACCGAGGTTGATATCGTGCAACGAGGTTACGGGGTCAGCAATTAGTATCTCGGACTTCTAGCAGCGATATGTCGCCATCTAACGGTGGTGACTGAGACGGTGCGTTTTGACGGTGACGAACGACACGGCCACCTCCAACGGTGATAGCTGAGACGGTCAGTCACGGCCGCTTCTGACGGTGACGAAGAGTACGATTAGTGCTAGCGCTGACGACGAAACCGACGATTTCTGACGGCGACGATCAAGAGTACGATCACTGACGCTGACGACCGAACCGACGATAACTAGCAGTGAAGATTGAAGTGACACTTTCCCACGGTGACGATTGGAGCGACTCTTTCCGAGGGTGACGACCAGGCTTGCGATTTCTCACAGTGACTATGAAAGCGATGCTTCTTCGACGGTGACAATTAAAGAGACGTTCTTTTACGGTGACGATCAGGATTGCGAACGTTGACGATCTTAGCGACGCTGTCTGACGGCGACGACGGAGATGGTGACTTCTGACGGTGACGATCAAGAGTGCGGCTTCTCACGGTGACAATCGAAGCGACGATTGTTGACAAGGGACCAAGACTGCGAGTGTTGCTGCTGACATTTAGAAAGCGACGTGCGGAAAGCGACGTGCGGAAAGCGACGTGCGGAAAGCGACGTGCGGAAAGCGACGTGCGGAAAGCGACGTGCGGAAAGCGACGTGCGGAAAGCGACGTGCGGAAAGCGACGTGCGGAAAACGACGTGCGGAAAGCGATGTGCGGAAAACGAGGTGCGGAAATCGACAAGCGGAAAGCGACGTTCGGAAAGCCACGTGCGGAAGCTAAGTGCGGAAATCGGCGCGTGAAACGCGACGTTCGGAAAGCCACGTGCGGAAGCTACGTGCGGAAATCGACGCGCGGAAAGCGACGTTCGGAAAGCCACGTGCGGAAGCTACGTGCGGAAAGCGACGTGCGGAAAGCGACGTGCGGAAAGCGACGTGCGGAAAGCGACGTGCGGAAAGCGACGTGCGGAAAACGACGTGCGGAAAGCGTCCTGCGGAAAGCTACGTGCATCTTCTGAATCCTGCTAAGTTCCTTCCTCAACCCTTGCACTCCTCCCTTACCCCCACCCGCCCTTGTCGTTGCACCACTCTGTTGTGTTGCTGCATCCCGCGTTTCACGTCCCAAACAAACGTGCTCCTGTGAGGCGCATGGCGGCGGTGGGTCAGGGCGCATTGGCAGTTGAGCTCATGTAGAGTCCAGAGAGAGAGAGAGAGAGAGTGAGAGAGTGGGTGTAGCATAGCGTAGCAGTGCATTCATGCCATGCTCGCGTCCCTCTCTTCCCCAGTCCCCCCTCGCTGCCTTAGCTCGCTGCCGTGCTGCCCTTGGCCCCACCGTCTCCATGAGCCTGCCACTTTTTGTTGCATGCATGCTTGCCGTTTTTCCTTCTGCCACTTGCGTACCCCCTGCTTATCATATCACTTGTCTTCTTACGTCAACTCTCTGCTCCGTTAACGTGTGTCCCTCTTCTCCTCTCTTCCTGCCTGCATCCCTCTATCAGCCCACCTACAAGACGGCAGGGCAGCAGCAGGGAGCAGGGAGGAGCAGCGTGAGCGGGAGCGGTGAGCGGGAGAGGCGAGCGGGAGTGGCGAGCGGTGGGATGACGCACGGCCTGGGCTGGCCCTGCTGACCACTGCTGCCGAGCTGCTGGACTGCTGCAGGGAGGGCGGCTGCAGGGAGGGCTCTACTCATGCGACTGCTCGTCACCCGGCTAAGAGTTCCAGTCTTCTGAATCCCGCTAAGTTCCCTCCTCAACCCTTGCCATCCTTACCGCCGCTTTACCTTGTAATTCGTGTTCACATTTGCCCAGCCTCTCTTTTCAAGCATGCTTCGAACCAAAACGCCGCCTTCGCATGAAGGTATTAAAAACGTTCGCGTGGCGATGGTAGCACATGGCACTGGGGCGGCTTGAGCTCACACTAGAGTCCTAGAGGGTTAGAATGCACTCACACTCACGCCCGCGTCTCGTCCCCCTTGCCTGCTAGCTCGCCAACCTAGTGCCATGAGCTACCATCGCCTACCCTTTCACTGTGCCACCTGTTGTTTAACTTCCAGCTTTTACTCTCACAGTATTATGCCTCTGTTTTGTTTTGATCGCGCCCATGCTTATATTAGACTAACTTCTTCAATTCCTGCCCCCTTCTGCCTTCTCTCCTCTCTCCCACTCGCTCCCTTCCCTCTCCTAAGCTTTCCCCCTCTCGCACAGGGCTGTGGCAGCGTGGTGCGGGGAGGGAGGGCGGTGGGATGACGCACGGCAGTTAGTCACAGCGGCGTGCGTGCCTCCTGCATGCCCTGCTGGCCACCCCGCTCCCTACGCGCCCGAGGGTGATTCTGCTGATGGTACAGCAGTGCTGCTGGTGAGGGTGATGGTTCCTGATAGTTTCGCTCCAACTGACACTTGAAAGAGCGAAACTCCATACACTTGCATTCGCCCCTGCTATGACATTCTGCCCGTCATTTGCTTTCTCACTCCATCTCTGTTTGCCTCTTTCACCTCTCCCTCTGCGCTCCCTCTCCATCTTCCTTTGTCCCAACCATCCCATCTCATCCCATCCCATCCCATCCCTGCAGCATCTACGGAGTGGTAGTGGGAGGAGCTTGGTGCTGCTGCTGGTGAAGCTTCATCTGGCGGGACTCGCTGCTCTGCTGAGAAGCTTCATCTGGTGGTGATGGTGCTGGCGCGTGCAGTACTGCTGTTGATGATGGTAGTGCTGGCGCTGCTGCTGATGGTGATGGCGCATGCAACACTGACTCACACACTATGCTCCAATGAGGATCTTCACTTGGCTGGACCTACCGCTCTGGTGAGAATCTTCACTTGGCTGGACCTACCGCTCTGGTGAGAATCTTCACTTGGCTGGACCTACCGCTCTGGTGAGAATCTTCACTTGGCTGGACCTACCGCTCTGGTGAGAATCTTCACTTGGCTGGACCTACCGCTCTGGTGAGAATCTTCACTTGGCTGGACCTACCGCTCTGGTGAGAATCTTCACTTGGCTGGACCTACCGCTCTGGTGAGAATCTTCACTTGGCTGGACCTACCGCTCTGGTGAGAATCTTCACTTGGCTGGACCTACCGCTCTGGTGAGAATCTTCACTTGGCTGGACCTACCGCTCTGGTGAGAATCTTCACTTGGCTGGACCTACCGCTCTGGTGAGAATCTTCACTTGGCTGGACCTACCGCTCTGGTGAGAATCATTACTTGGCTGGACCTACCGCTCTGGTGAGAATCTTCACTTGGCTGGACCTACCGCTCTGGTGAGAATCTTCACTTGGCTGGACCTACCGCTCTGGTGAGAATCTTCACTTGGCTGGACCTACCGCTCTGGTGAGAATCTTCACTTGGCTGGACCTACCGCTCTGGTGAGAATCTTCACTTGGCTGGACCTACCGCTCTGGTGAGAATCTTCACTTGGCTGGACCTACCGCTCTGGTGAGAATCTTCACTTGGCTGGACCTACCGCTCTGGTGAGAATCTTCACTTGGCTGGACCTACCGCTCTGGTGAGAATCTTCACTTGGCTGGACCTACCGCTCTGGTGAGAATCTTCACTTGGCTGGACCTACCGCTCTGGTGAGAATCTTCACTTGGCTGGACCTACCGCTCTGGTGAGAATCTTCACTTGGCTGGACCTACCGCTCTGGTGAGAATCTTCACTTGGCTGGACCTACCGCTCTGGTGAGAATCTTCACTTGGCTGGACCTACCGCTCTGGTGAGAATCTTCATTTGGGTGGACTTACCTCTCAGGTGGGCCACGCACCACCATCCACTGCTCACTCTGACTCCAATCTGACTACAGGGCAGCGCCTAACTACAGGTACGCTAACCCCACTCTGACTACAGGGCAGCGCCTAACTACAGGTACGCTAACCCCACTCTGACTACAGGGCAGCGCCTAACTACAGGTACGCTAACCCCACTCTGACTACAGGGCAGCGCCTAACTACAGGTACGCTAACCCCACTCTGACTACAGGGCAGCGCCTAACTACAGGTACGCTAACCCCACTCTGACTACAGGGCAGCGCCTAACTACAGGTACGCTAACCCCACTCTGACTACAGGGCAGCGCCTAACTACAGGTACGCTAACCCCACTCTGACTACAGGGCAGCGCCTAACTACAGGTACGCTAACCCCACTCTGACTACAGGGCAGCGCCTAACTACAGGTACGCTAACCCCACTCTGACTACAGGGCAGCGCCTAACTACAGGTACGCTAACCCCACTCTGACTACAGGGCAGCGCCTAACTACAGGTACGCTAACCCCACTCTGACTACAGGGCAGCGCCTAACTACAGGTACGCTAACCCCACTCCCTTTTCTTTTCTGTGGTGTGCCTTGCTCTGTTATATTGTACAGGTGGTAGGAAGTAGGTTCCAGCTTGTCACCTCAGCTCTCCTTTTGGTTGTGGCCCAGTTTGTGTTGAATTGAATTTAGGATAGAGATTAGAGGAGGAAAGGGAGCAGAAGACGAAAATGCAGAGGAGGAGAAGAAGCAGACGGAGAGTCATGCAGAGGAGAGGGAGCAGTGGGCGATGCAACAGAGGAGGAGAGGGAGCAGAGGACGATACATGCAGACGAGGAGAGGGCCTTGAGACGGAGGAGAGGGCACTGAGGTGGAGGAGAGGAGGAGAGGGAGCAGAGGAGGACAAGAGGTTCACTGCAGCGTACATGGTAAGATTCCTCTTATCCTTTTATTGTATTGCCCTCCTTCCTTCATCTTGTTTTCGTTTTCCCTCGTCCTGAATTTCTTCTCTCATGCCACTCCTCTCAGTCCATGTGACCATACTTTTGACCATCCATGCGACCATCCATGCGACCATCCATGCGACCATCCATGCGACCATCCATGCGACCATCCATGCGACCATCCATGCGACCATCCATGCGACCATCCATGCGACCATCCATGCGACCATCCATGCGACCATCCATGCGACCATCCATGCGACCATCCATGCGACCATCCATGCGACCATCCATGCGACCATCCATGCGGCCGACCATGCGACCGTCAATGCGTCCATCAATGCGACGGACCATCCATGCGACCATCCATGCGACCATCCATGCGACCATCCATGCGACCATCCATGCGACCATCCATGCGACCAACCATACGACCATCCATGCGACCATCCATGCGACCATCCATGCGACCATCCATGCGACCATCCATGCGACCATCCATGCGACCATCCATGCGACCATCCATGCGACCATCCATGCGACCATCCATGCGACCATCCATGCGACCATCCATGCGACCATCCATGCGACCATCCATGCGACCATCCATGCGACCATCCATGCGACCATCCATGCGACCATCCATGCGACCATCCATGCGACCATCCATGCGGCCGACCATGCGACCGTCAATGCGTCCATCAATGCGACGGACCATCCATGCGACCATCCATGCGACCATCCATGCGACCATCCATGCGACCATCCATGCGACCATCCATGCGACCATCCATACGACCAACCATACGACCATCCATGCGACCATCCATGCGACCATCCATGCGACCATCCATGCGACCATCCATGCGACCATCCATGCGACCATCCATGCGACCATCCATGCGACCATCCATGCGACCATCCATGCGACCATCCATGCGACCATCCATGTGACCAACCGACCGACTCCTCTAATAGGCGCCACTCCTCTAATAGGCGCCACTCCTCTAATAGGCGCCACTCCTCTAATAGGCGCCACTCCTCTAATAGGCGCCACTCCTCTAATAGGCGCCACTCCTCTAATAGGCGCCACTCCTCTAATAGGCGCCACTCCTCTAATAGGCGCCACTCCTCTAGTAGACGCCACTCCTCTAATGGGCGCCACTCCTCTAGTAGACGCCACTCCTCTAATAGGCGCCACTCCTCTAATAGGCGCCACTCCTCTAATGGGCGCCACTCCTCAAATAGGCGCCACTCCTCTAATGGGCGCCACTCCTCTAATGGGCTCCTCTAATAGGCGCCACTCCTCTAATAGGCGCCACTCCTCTAATAGGCGCCACTCCTCTAATAGGCGCCACTCCTCTAATAGGCGCCACTCCTCTAATAGGCGCCACTCCTCTAATAGGCGCCACTCCTCTAATAGGCGCCACTCCTCTAATAGGCGCCACTCCTCTAATAGGCGCCACTCCTCTAATAGGCGCCACTCCTCTAATAGGCGCCACTCCTCTAATAGGCGCCACTCCTCTAATAGGCGCCACTCCTCTAATAGGCGCCACTCCTCTAATAGGCGCCACTCCTCTAATAGGCGCCACTCCTCTAATAGGCGCCACTCCTCTAATAGGCGCCACTCCTCTAATAGGCGCCACTCCTCTAATAGGCGCCACTCCTCTAATAGGCGCCACTCCTCTAATAGGCGCCACTCCTCTAATAGGCGCCACTCCTCTAATAGGCGCCACTCCTCTAATAGGCGCCACTCCTCTAATAGGCGCCACTCCTCTAATAGGCGCCACTCCTCTAATAGGCGCCACTCCTCTAATAGGCGCCACTCCTCTAATAGGCGCCACTCCTCTAATAGGCGCCACTCCTCTAATAGGCGCCACTCCTCTAATAGGCGCCACTCCTCTAATAGGCGCCACTCCTCTAATAGGCGCCACTCCTCTAATAGGCGCCACTCCTCAACCTACTGTTCCACATCCCCCCATCTCCCTCTTCCTCCCCCTTCCAACAGTACGAGAAGACTCTTAAGCGTTTCTTTGCAAGCGGGGCAGTGGGGGCGAGTGGGGCCGAGGGCTTCCACTTGCGCACTTTGTCCTATATGGCGCGCGCGCAGTACGACGCCGACCAGCTGGCGCAGTGCCGGCGCTCGCTGCTGCTGGCGGTGCATGTGGCGCCGAATAACGCCGCCCTGCGCTTCAACGTGGCGGTGGCACTGCAGAAGATGGCCGTGACTGTGCTCAAGCAGGAGAAGCGCACAGCAGAGCAGGTATGGTGGATGGGGAAGGACTGGGAGGGGGCAGAGGGCAGGGGAGCAGTGGGAAGGGTGAGGTGGGAGCAAGACAGTGGTGGCACTGCAGAAGATGGCCGTGACTGTGCTGAAGCAGGAGAAGCACACGGCAGAGCAGGTATGGCTGAGTTGGAGCAGGAGGGGTTTTGGGGAGGAAAAAAGGGGAGCAGAAGACAATGGGGGCAGGGAGCACAATGACTGGCGTTCTGCACAAGATGGCTCTTGGGGTGGTGACACAGAAAATGAGGAGAGCAGGAGCGTGAAACTGTGGATGCTGGCTCTTGTGAATGGATCCATGTCTCTGCACACGCCCTCCCTCCTCACACTGCAGTGCAGCCGCTTCCCAATGCTTGCTATCTCACATCCCCCACCCCCTCCCAACACTCTTGTGCTGCAGGTTCGCAAGGTGGTTTCGGACTTGAAGACTGCCCTCCGTCTCTTCTCTCAGGTGCGCCAACGCATCCCGTCCCACTCCCCACATCGTGTCTCCACACCAGAACACACCCCTTATTGATGCTGCATCAATCCACGCCATGCGTTCTTCACCTGAATTGCCTTTTTCACCTGAATAGCGTCTTCACCTGTGTTTGTCTCACAGCAAGCATTGGCTTTCGTGCTCATGCATTCCTCTTTGATGCTGTGTGTGTGTTGTGCGGTGGCCAAATGTTGTGTGTCATTTTGCGCATGTGTGTGTGATCGTGCATGTGTCTACGTTCATGTGTGACTGTGCACCATATGTGACTGTGCATGTGTGACTATGACTGCGTATCTGCGATTGTGTGCATGCATGTGTTGTATGACTGTGACTGTGCAACCATGGCAGCTGGCAACACGGGGAGTGCAGGGGTCACAGGGGGGTGTCGACAAGAAGAAAGCCAACTCGCACCTCGAGTACTGCCAGGTGGTTGCGAGTTGCAAGTTTCAATGATGCATTCAGGTGCTTTTGAGCCAGCACCAGACCAGCTCGCAGCTGCCTCTGAGAAATTTGTTGAGCATCAGTAAATACATGCTGATGTGTCGTGAAGCATTGGCGTGCACATGATAATAGTTTGTTCCTTAGATGTCTCAGGTGTTGCATGAGTGCCCTCGTTCAGGGTCTGGGGTGATTTTCTTGTGCTCGGCAATGTGAGTGTCTTGCTCGATGACTTAACCGCCTCACTATCCCATCATCATCAACATTCCCATGCACCCATGCATCCATGCCCATCCCCATCCCCATCCCCACTCCCATTTCCGCATGCCGAACCCCATCACCAACACATCAGCATGTGCTCAGCTCAGCCAAGCAACATCTGCAGGTAGCTGAGAGGGAGGAGCAGCAGCGCAAGGTCAGCTCCCTCCCTCTCCCTCCTCCCATTCTCGCCGTTCCCCCTCTCAGCTTCCTCATCTCATTCCCCACTCTCACTACCCCATCCCCCATGACCCCATCGCTCACCACCTCATTGCCCATGCATCTTGTCTTTCTCCCCCGTTAGTACCGCCTGTCCCATTCCTGCCTCTTGCTGTCCTTCACTCCTGTTATCCCCCGTCCCCCTCCCCACTTTGCCATTCACCCCTGCTTTATTCCCCTTCTCCACTTCTCATCTCCCCTCCTACCCTCACCCGCCCTTCCCCTCTCTCTCGTTCTTGTATGCGCCCCTCGCATGTGTGCCTAACCTGCCCGCCCTTCCTCTCCCCCGTCCTGGTGTGTGCGAGCAGCAACGGGCGGAGGCAGAGAGGCAGGTGGCGGAGGCAGAGGCGTCCAGGAAGAGAGCAGAGGAGGATAAGCTGCTGGAGGTAGGGTGTGTGTGTGGTGCTGATGGGTGCTGATGGGTGCTGATGGGCGCGGATGATGGGTGCTGGTGGGTGCTGATGGGCGCTGATGATGGGTGCTGGTGGGTGCTGATGGGCGCTGATGATGGGTGCTGGTGGGTGCTGATGGGTGCTGATGATGGGTGGTGGTGGGTGCTTATGGTCGCTGATGATGGGTGCTGGTGGGTTCTGATGGGCGCTGATGATGGGTGCTGGTGGGTTCTGATGGGTGCTGATGATGGGTGCTGGTGGGTGCTGATGGGCGCTGATGATGGGTACTGGTGGGTGCTGCTGGGTGCTGATGGGTGCTGGTGGGTGCTGATGGGCGCGGATGATGGGTGCTGGTGGGTGCTGATGGGCGCTGATGATGGGTGCTGGTGGGTGCTGATGGGCGCTGATGATGGGTGCTGGTGGGTGCTGATGGGTGCTGATGATGGGTGGTGGTGGGTGCTGATGGTCGCTGATGATGGGTGCTGGTGGATTCTGATGGGCGCTGATGATGGGTGCTGGTGGGTTCTGATGGGTGCTGATGATGGGTGCTGGTGGGTGCTGATGGGTGCTGATGATGGGTGCTGGTGGGTGCTGATGGGCGCTGATGATGGGTGCTGGTGGGTGCTGATGGGCGCTGATGATGGGTGCTGGTGGGTGCTGATGGGCGCTGATGATGGGTGCTGGTGGGTGCTGATGGGTGCGGACGATGGGTGCTGGTGGGTGCTGATGGGTGCTGATGATGGGTGCTGGTGGGTGCTGATTGGCGCTGATGATGGGTGCTGGTGGGTGCTGATGGGCGCTGATGATGGGTGCTGGTGGGTGCTGATGGGTGCTGATGATGGGTGCTGGTGGGTGCTGATGGGTGCTGATGATGGGTGCTGGTGGGTGCTGATGGGCGCTGATGATGGGTGCTGGTGGGTGCTGATGGGCGCTGATGATGGGTGCTGGTGGGTGCTGATGGGTGCTGATGATGGGTGCTGGTGGGTGCTGATGGGTGCTGGTGGGTGCTGATGGGTGCTGATGATGGGTGCTGGTGGGTGCTGATGGGCGCTGATGATGGGTGCTGGTGGGTGCTGATGGGTGCTGATGATGGGTGCTGGTGGGTGCTGATGGGCGCTGATGATGGGTGCTGGTGGGTGCTGATGGGTGCTGATGATGGGTGCTGGTGGGTGCTGATGGGTGCTGATGATGGGTGCTGGTGGGTGCTGATGGGTGCTGATGATGGGTGCTGGTGGGTGCTGATGGGTGCTGATGATGGGTGCTGGTGGCTGCTGATGGGTGCTGATGATGGGTGCTGGTGGGTGCTGATGGGTGCTAATGATGGGTGCTGGTGGGTGCTGATGGGCGCTGATGATGGGTGCTGGTGGGTGCTGATGGGTGCTGATGATGGGTGCTGGTGGCTGCTGATGGGCGCTGATGATGGGTGCTGGTGGGTGCTGATGGGCGCTGATGATGGGTGCTGGTGGGTGCTGATGGGTGCTGATGATGGGTGCTGGTGGGTGCTGATGGGTGCTGATGATGGGTGCTGGTGGGTGCTGATGGGCGCTGATGATGGGTGCTGGTGGGTGCTAATGGGTGCTGATGATGGGTGCTGGTGGGTGCTGGTGGGTGCTGATGATGGGTGCTGGTGGCTGCTGATTAATAGGTTCTTATGACTGCTTGAGAGTGTTTGAAAGAAATATCAGTGAGTGAGTTGCAGCAGTGTTTCTGTTCCCCCTGGCACTCCCTCATCCACATTCTTCTCTCTGCTCTGCGCTTCCCCGCACTCTGCTCTGTGTTTCCTCCCCATTGCTGTGTGGCAGGCGGAGAGGCAGAGGAGGGATGAGGAGGAGAGGCGGCTGAAGCAGCAGGAGGAAGAGATCAAGCGCCGCATGGTGAGGGCGGTGGGGGGGAGGGGGAGTGGGTGGCAGGTGGAGGCTGGCGGGTGGAGGGTGGCGGGTGTGGGGAAAAGGTTGGGTAGGGGTTGTGGGTTGGGGATGGTTGGTGGGGTGTTGGGGATGGTTGGTGGGGTGTTGGGGGGAGGGGTGGGTGCTGAGTGGGTTGGTTGTGGGTACGAGTTGGGGGTTAGGGGGAGGGGTGGGTACTGGAATTGGTGTATGATGTGCGAATCCGTTCATGTCCGGTTGGTGCGTCTCCTCTGGGCTGAATCCTCCTCCTCCATGAAAACCTCTGCATTCACTCGCTCTCTGCTCTCCTTTGCCTGACCGTGTGATGCTGCTCGCATCCTTCCCTCCCCACCTTTTGCCCCGCGCACCCCTGGGCCCCATCCATGCCACCCCACTGCCTCTCTTGCTGCCCCTTCCACTGCCTGTATGCTTCCACTGCAGGATATGTGGAAGCGCAACGAGCGGCCCAAGGCAGTGGAGGAGGATGAGGAGGGCGGTGAGGAGGGTAGGGGAGGGGGGCGGAGCCGCAGAGACAGAGAGAAGGAGAGGCGCAGGGAGAAGAAACGGGAGAAGCACAGAGACAGAGACAGGGAGAGGTCGCGAGAGAGGGAGGAGGACGGGGAGAGGAGGGAGAGGAGGGAGAGGAGGAAGGATAAGAAGCGGAAGAAGAAGAAGAAGCATCGCGAGGGGAGGGACAGGAGCAGGAGCAGGAGCAGGAGCGACAGGGACGAGGGGGGTGAGAGGGACGGGAGAGACGAAAGGGACGAGAGGCCTGAGGATGAGAACCCGTGGGGTTCAGACGGGGAGAGAGGGGGTGGAGGGGAAGGATCGGGAGACGCGGGAGGGAGTCCGAGTGGGGAGAGGAAGTGGAGAGGTGGAGGGGGCGAGGGGGATGAGGAGGATGCGCTGGCAGCAGCCGGGTTGGTGGATGAGGATGAGGAGGGAGGGGATGCACGGGGGGATGGCAATGAACAGGTGGGTGTGGTTCCCTTTGATCCTCTGTGCATAGTCTGCCTGTCCCCTGCTTCTTCCATGCTCCCTTGGTCCTCTCCTGTCGGTCCCGCTCGTTTATGTTTCATCCTTCGATGTTTTTTACCGTACGTGTCCGTGCGTGTCCCTCCTGGCATGGCAGGGAGCGCCCGCTCGCAAGCGGCGTCGGCAGCTGGCAGATTCGGATGAGGAGGAGGGAGGCGGTGGTGCTGATAATGAGGCGCATGAGGAGGGTGGTGCGCCTGATGGTGGGGAGGAGGGACCCCCACCCCCCACAGATGAGGCCGAGGGCATGCAGGAAGGGTGAGAAAGAGGCAGGTGGTGGCCCTGACAGCGAGGCGCATGAGCGGGGTGGTGCTCCTGATGGTGGGGAAGAGGGCATGCAGGAAGGGTGAGGATGGAATCACGGGTGAGGAGGCCATGTCCCTTCTCGCACGCTAGCACCTCCCGTTTGGTGTACAGCAGTTTTTTCGCAATGTTGTGCATTGAAGTGCAAATTTTTTCATGCATTCAAGACCTGTTGTAGTACCGGTAAGTCCATTTCTTCAAGCAACGCCTGTGTGTTTTCATGTGACAAATATCCGGAATTTTATTTGCCCCTCATGTAGCTATGTGAAACTTGGGATGGAAGCACAAACATTTGTTGGAAGGCATTCTATATCATTCATCAAAGAGATATTGATCAGGTGTAGTGAATGAGGGATAATGATCAGTTCCGGTACAAACATGCTTCGGCAATATCTCTGGTGTGTTGCGCAACACGTCATGCAGATGAAAGCTGCGTCGACCGTTCGATCAACCCAGTGTACACCAACCATCATGGTGTCGTGAGGCATGGCGATTTACATGACATCACGCCGTTTGTGTCAGAAGCATGTGCTTCTGACAGGCGATTCCCGCGCAAACGGGGGAGCTGCGGAACCGCCGTGCTGCGGAGATTCCGAAATTACGGTATCATCGCAAAGCTCAACTCAAAATTTCGCGAGTCGTATATTCCCCCAACGAAGTGGGTTTCCCCATCATCAACGCTCTCACGAAAATGCCACCCCCCGCCGACGCACGGCGGCCTCCACCTGAGCAGGGGAAACAGATCCTCCTCATTATTGAGAATCCCTCTTCACCACTCTGAATCCGTCTAGATCTTGGATTTCACCACTGAACAAGGAGTTTCCACGGATGGTTGTCTTCCTCTTCCTCGAGTCTGTTCAGCTTTCCTGGATGCCATTCCTTGTCACAATAGCTCTTCCATAGACTCCTTGAGAATAAGCTCACTTCGCCGAAGTCCATGGCTGCCGCCAGTTTGTTACCGACCGTTAATGGTTCTCGTCTCGGCCGTATTCTTAGTCTTCGTGATCATCATATATGTTGATCTCAAATTCGTCAAGACGGAGATCGTCAAGACGGAGATTACCAATTGTTGCAATCCATGGCTCCCGACGCGAGTCAGTAATATTCATCGTTAAGAAATGGACCGAGTTTTGCGTCTGATGTAGTCGTGTCGGAGACATTCTTAGCTTAGACGCTAGTCAGTCGGAGCAGTTTCATTACCGTCATCCACCCATTACTCGCACTTGACTGCACTTCTGATTTCTATTCCAGCCAACTTAGTTCGAGTATTCTAGACATCTGACGAGCGCGGAACAGAGGTGGTTTGCCGAGATTCTCTATAGACCTTCTTCCGATATCCATACGCTGCTTCAAGTAGCGAGGCGTCGCCGCTCTCCGGCAGCAAGAACGGTTCGATTTGGTGACGACCGAGGTTGATATCGTGCCCGCAACAGCTGTCCGAATGAGCTTACGTGGTTAGCAAGACGTCGAATAGCGAGACGTCGCCATCCAACGGTGGTGACTGAGGCGTTGCGTTTTGACGGTGGCGAACGACACGGCCACCTCCAACAGTGATAGCTGAGACGGTCAAGTCACGGCCGCTTCTGACGGTGACGAAGAGTACGATTAGTGCTGGCGCTGACGACGGAATTGACGATTTCTGACGGCGACGATCAAGGGTCCGATTACTGAAGCTGACGACCGAACCGACGATATCTCGCGGTGATGATCAAGGGTACGATTACTGACGCTGACGACCGAACCGACGATATCTCGCGGTGATGATCAAGGGTACGATTACTGACGCTGACGACCGAACCGACGATATCTCGCGGTGATGATCAAGGGTACGATTACTGACGCTGACGACCGAACCGACGATATCTCGCGGTGATGATCAAGGGTACGATTACTGACGCTGACGACCGAACCGACGATATCTCGCGGTGATGATCAAGGGTACGATTACTGACGCTGACGACCGAACCGACGATATCTCGCGGTGATGATCAAGGGTACGATTACTGACGCTGACGACCGAACCGACGATATCTCGCGGTGATGATCAAGGGTACGATTACTGACGCTGACGACCGAACCGACGATATGTAGCAGTGACGATCGACATGATGACTACAAGCGGTGACGATTGAAGTGACACTTCCCCACGGTGACGATTGAAGCGACTCTTTCCGAAGGTGACGACCAGGCTAGTGATTATCAAAGCGATGCTTCTTCGACAATGACGATTGAAGTGACGTTTTCCAACGGCGACGATCAGGATTGCGAAGCTCGTTGACGATCTAAGCGACGCTTTCTGATGGTGACGGACGAGATGGTGACTTCTGACGGTGACGATCAGGAGTGCGGCTTCTCGCGGTGACCGAGTTGACCCTTCTCCTGAAGCGACGCTTTCCGTCGGTAACGATCAAGATGGAGACTTCTCACGGCGATGATCGAACCGCTGCTTTTCGAGGCGCAAAACGCTGACGATAACAGAGGCGAATGGGAGGGCCGGTCGGAATCACATTAACAGCAACGAGTGACGCTCATCCGGAGCTGCAAAGTGGCCAGCAGAGTGGATCCTGCTGGAACGACTGCTGCCTCGCTTCGCTGCTTCTGTCGCGTGCGGATCCGAACGAGCGGAAAGCGACGTGCGGAAAGCGACGTGCGGAAAGCGACGTGCGGAAAGCGACGTGCGGAAAGCGACGTGCGGAAAGCGACGTGCGGAAAGCGACGTACGGAAAGAGACGAGCGGAAAGCGACGTGCGGAAAGCGACGTGCGGAAAGCGACGTGCGGAAAGCGACGTGCGGAAAGCGACGTACGGAAAGTGACCTGCGGAAAGCTACGTGCAGCTTTTGAATCCTGCAAAGTTCCCTCCTCAACCCTTGCACTCCTCTCTTGCCCCCACCCGCCCTTGTCGTTGCACCATTCTGTTGTGTTGCTGCATCCCGCGTTTCACGTCCCAAACAAACGTGCTCCTGTGAGGCGCATGGCGGCGGTGGGTCAGGGCGCATCGGCAGCTGAGCTCATGTAGAGTCCAGAGAGAGAGAGAGAGAGAGAGAGAGAGGGAGAGAGAGAGAGAGAGAGAGAGAGAGAGAGAGAGAGAGAGAGGGAGAGAGAGAGAGAGAGAGAGAGAGAGAGAGAGAGAGAGAGAGAGAGAGAGAGAGAGAGAGAGAGAGAGAGAGAGTGGGTGTAGCATAGAGTAGCAGTGCATTCATGCCATGCTCGCGTCCCTCTCTTCCCCAGTCCCCCCTCGCTGCCTTAGCTCGCTGCCGTGCTGCTTTTGGTCCACCGTCTCCATGCGCCTTCCCCTCCCACCCCTCCCCAACCACTCGTCGTTCCGCTCTGCTCACCATTCACTGCATGCATGCTTGCCGTTTTCCCCTTCTGCCACCTGCGTGCCACCTGCGTGCCTCCTGCTTATCACTTGCTTCTCACCTCAACTCTGCTCCGTTAACGCGTTTCCCTCTTTTCCTCTCTTCCTGCCTGCATCCCTCTACCAGCGCACCTACAAGGCGGCAGGGCAGCAGCAGGGAGCCAGGAGGAGCAGTGGGAGCAGCGTGGTGAGCGGGAGAGGCGAGTGGTGGGATGACGCACGGCCTGGGCTGGCCCTGCTGACCACTGCTGCCGAGCTGCTGGACTGCTGCAGGGAGGGCCGCTGCAGAGAGGGCTGCTACTCATGCGACTGCTCGTCACCCGGCTAAGAGTTCCTGTCTTCTGAATCCCGCTAAGTTCCCTCCTCAACCCTTGCCATCCTTACCACCGCTTTATGAGTGCTGCTGCTGGGAGTGTTTGTGCTGGGAGTGTTGCTGCTGGGAGGGCTGCTGCTGGCATTAACAAGGCGACGAGCAGCTTCTGAATCCCGCTAAGTTCCCTCCTCAACCCTTGCCATCCTTACCGCCGCTTTACCTTGTACTTCGTGTTTACAATTGCCCAGCCTCTCTTGTCAAGCATGCTTCGAACCTGAAGGTATTAAAAACGTTCGCGTGGCGATGGTAGCACATGGCACTGGGGCGGCTTGAGCTCACACTAGAGTCCTAGAGGGTTAGAATGCACTCACACTCACGCCCGCGTCTCGTCCCACTTGCCTGCTAGCTCGCCAACCTAGTGCCATGAGCTACCATCGCCTACCCTTTCACTGTGCCACCTGTTGTTTAACTTCCAGCTTTTACTCTCACAGTATTATGCCTCCGTTTTGTTTTCCCCATACTTCTCTCCTCTCTCCCACTTGCTTCCTTCCCATCTCGCACAGGGCTGTGGCAGCGTGGTGCGGGGAGGGAGGGCGGTGGGATGACGCACGGCAGGCAGTCACAGCGGCGTGCGTGCCTCCTGCATGCCCTGCTGACCACGCCGCTCCCTCACGCGCCCAGCGACCTTGAGTGCTGCTGCTGGGAGTGTTTGTGCTGGGAGTGTTGCTGCTGGGAGGGCTGCTGCTGGCATTAACAAGGCGACGAGCAGCTTCTGAATCCCGCTAAGTTCCCTCCTCAACCCTTGCCATCCTTACCGCCGCTTTACCTTGTAATTCGTGTTCACATTTGCCCAGCCTCTCTTTTCAAGCATGCTTCGAACCAAAACGCCGCCTTCGCATGAAGGTATTAAAAACGTTCGCGTGGCGATGGTAGCACATGGCACTGGGGCGGCTTGAGCTCACACTAGAGTCCTAGAGGGTTAGAATGCACTCACACTCACGCCCGCGTCTCGTCCCCCTTGCCTGCTAGCTCGCCAACCTAGTGCCATGAGCTACCATCGCCTACACTTTCATTGTGCCACCTGTCGTTCAATACTCCTGTTTTCCCGCTGTGTCCTTCATTTTCTGTCTCATTTCCTCTCCCTGCCACTTTCACCTCCCCCTACCTGCTCCCTCCAACCATCCTCCCTCTACCTCTCCCCCCATCCCCCCTCTCTCTACCCATCTTATTCCAGCAGCATGAACTCAGTCGGTGTGTAGGGGTGCGATGTTGCGGTGCCTGAGGGTGATTGTGCGGATGGCACAGCGGTGCAGCGGTGCAGCTGGTGATGGTGGGCGTGGTTTTTGAGGTGCCTCAGATCAGAAGTTGTCAGCGGCGCACCAAGGCGGGGCATTGCGTGTCGGAGATGCTTCGGCTGTACGACGAGGCGTACGCGTGAGTGACGGGCGTTGTTTTTGAGGTGCCTTAGAAGTTGTCAGCGGCGCACCAAGGCGGGGCATTGCGTGTCGGAGATGCTTCGACTTTACGACGAGGCGTACACGTGAGTGACGGGCGTTGTTTTTGAGGTGCCTTAGAAGTTGTCAGCGGCGCACCAAGGCGGGGCATTGTGTGTCGGAGATGCTTCGACTTTACGACGAGGCTTACGCGTGAGTGATGGGTACTGGACATGAATGCGGGTTGACCTGCTGGTGCGCAGCCATGTGTCAGACGCCCTTCCTTTCCCGCCATCCCCCATTTTCCTCCTTCCCCCCATCCCCCCCGTGTTTCTCCCCATTTCCGCCTCTCTCCACTCTTTGACCCCAACCAGCCCCCTGTGGCCGGCACGTGTGGACCTGTTAGTACGCAGCCACGTGTCAGACGCGTACTTCCTGATGGAGGTGCTGTTCAGGGCCCCCCCCTCCCCCCCTCCTTCCCCATCCCCCATTCATATCCCCAACCAGCCCCCTGTGGCCCGCACGTGTTGACCTGCTGGTGCGCAGCCACGTGTCAGACGCTTACTTTCTGATGGAGGTGCTGTTCAGGAGCATCGAGCAGATGTGACCACGTGGCATTGGTGACGTCATCCTGGTGCTGGACGAAGGAGAGAGTGGTGTCAGGGACCTCGTGCCGCCCTGGATCAAGGTGAGTCAACGCCCTGGGTCAAGGTGAGTCAACGCCCTGGGTCAAGGTGAGTCAATGCAGTCAACGCCCTGGGTCAAGGTGGGTCGAAGTGGATCAAGGTGGGTCACGGCGAGTCAACGCCGGTCAAGGTGAGTCAACGCCAGTCAACGGGACTGAAAGAGGTTGAGTCATTATGAGTCAAGGTGAGTCACGTCGGTCAAGGAGAGATTGTGAAACGCAGTGGGAGGGAGGGAGACTTCAAGGGATGCAGAGGGAGGCATTGTGTGGGGGCACGGCAAACAACGTGCCATGCTCGCTTGTGTGAGTTGGAATTGCAACCGCGTTACCAGGTAACGCAATTGTTGCCATGCAGCCGCTATTCCGCCACGCCCCAGTCTCTCCTGCTCTCGTGTGCTGTACAAAAAACCAGAATGAACGAACATGCACTCGCCCCTCACTGATTGGGGTGATGCACTCGCCCCTCACTGATTGGGGTGATGCACTCGCCCCTCACTGATTGGGGTGATGCACTCGCCCCTCACTGATTGGGGTGATGCACTCGCCCCTCACTGATTGGGGTGATGCACTCGCCCCTCACTGATTGGGGTGATGCACTCGCCCCTCACTGATGGGGGTGATGCACTCGCCCTATGCCAGGGAAGATTTTCCCTCACGGGCCCTATGCACTCGCCCTATGCTCCAGCAGTGACCCTCACGGGCCTCTCACCCATGCTGCTTCCCTGCGTTACACTCTCTGTTCCTGTCTGCCCATCCTTCCCTCGCATAATCACCAGGTGTACTATGAGAAGAACTACCTGGACCTGCCGGGGAAGATCTTGCAGCAGTGGAGCTACCTGTGGGCGGACAACTACACCACTGCCCCTTACATTGCAATTATTGATGATGATGTGGTGTTCAACCTCAAGGTGAGCCGCCCATGTGTGTGCACACGTGCATCTGTGCGTGTCTGCTTGCCTCGGTGCAACCATCCAGCCGTGCAGCAGTGGAGCTACCTACCTGTGGGCCGACAACTACACCACTGCGCCATACATTGCCATCATAGACGACGACGTGGTCTTTAACCTCAAGGTAAGTGCGTGTGCGCGCAAGTGTGTGCGAGTGTGTGAGTCGCCTTCAGTCTTCATTGCCAATGCGTGCACGCAGCGTTCTGGAGCAGTGGAGCTACCCCTGGGTGGGCCGACAACTACACCACTGCGCCATACATTGCCATCATAGACGACGACGTTGTTTTCAACCTCAAGGTGAGGCCGCCGGCGCTCCAACTGACACTTCAAAGACCGAAACTCCATCTGGCTCCCGCTTATCAATCCACTGGGTTTGTACATTCTTTCCACACTTAATGCATTCACCCCTGCTATGCCATTCTGCCGTCATTTGCTTTCTCACTCCATCTCTGTTTGCCTCTTCCACCTGTCCCTCTGCGCTCCCTCTGCCCATCCCATCCCATCCCATCCCATCACATCCCATCCCATCCCATCCCATCCCGTCCCATCCCATCCCATCCCATCCCCATCCCATCCCATCCCATCCCATCCCATCCCATCCCATTCCATCCCATCCCATCCCACCCCATTCCACCCCATCCCTGCAACATGTAGGGAGTAGGAGCAGCTTGGTGCTGCTGGTGGTGAGAAGCTTCATCTGGCAGGACTCGCTGCTCTGGTGAGAATCTTCACTTGGCTGGACCTACCGCTCTGGTGAGAATCTTCACTTGGCTGGACCTACCGCTCTGGTGAGAATCTTCACTTGGCTGGACCTACCGCTCTTTTGAGAATCTTCACTTGGCTGGACCTACCGCTCTGGTGAGAATCTTCACTTGGCTGGAAGCTCTGGTGAGAATCTTCACTTGGCTGGACCTACCGCTCTGGTGAGAATCTTCACTTGGCTGGACCTACCGCTCTGGTGAGAATCTTCACTTGGCTGGACCTACCGCTCTGGTGAGAATCTTCACTTGGCTGGACCTACCGCTCTGGTGAGAATCTTCACTTGGCTGGACCTACCGCTCTGGTGAGAATCTTCACTTGGCTTTACCTACCGCTCTGGTGAGAATCTTCACTTGGCTGGACCTACTACAGGGCAGCGCCTAACTACAGGTACGCTAACCCCACTCTGACTACAGGGCAGCGCCTAACTACAGGTACGCTAACCCCACTCTGACTACAGGGCAGCGCCTAACTACAGGTACGCTAACCCCACTCTGACTACAGGGCAGCGCCTAACTACAGGTACGCTAACCCCACTCTGACTACAGGGCAGCGCCTAACTACAGGTACGCTAACCCCACTCTGACTACAGGGCAGCGCCTAACTACAGGTACGCTAACCCCACTCTGACTACAGGGCAGCGCCTAACTACAGGTACGCTAACCCCACTCTGACTGCAGGGCAAGACCTATCCGTGATGCACCCAGGAGAGGATAACGAACAATTAAACTCTAGGAGTTTTCATACCAGAAAAAAACGAATGTCTTCAGATCATCATGATATCCTTTATCTGCTGTGTTCCCTGGTCTGTTATATAGTTCAGGGTGTAAAATGCCTGTTGTAGCTTGTCTCCTTATCCTGTAGGCTGGACATCCTCTCCTCTTTTTTAGGTTGTGGCACTGCTTGTTTTATCATGTAGGATAGAGAGCAGAGGAGGAGAGGGAGCAGAGGAGGAGAGGGAGCAGAGGAGGAGAGGGAGCAGAGGAGGAGAGGGAACAGAGGAGGAGAGGGAACAGAGGAGGAGAGGGAGCAGAGGACGTAACATGCAGAGGAGGAGAAGCAGCAGACGGAGATACATGGAGAGGGTAGGTAGCAGCGGACGATATATGCAAAGGAGGAGAGGGCACTGAGGCGGAGGAGAGGTTACTGCAGCGTACTGTACTGGTAAAGTTCGCCTTATGCTTTCAATCTGTTGTACTCTTTCCGTCATCTTGTTCTCATTCATCTTGTTCTCTATTTCCCTTCTCCTGTCCTGAAGTTCTTTTCTCGTACCACTCCTCTTTTCCTCCGTAGGCTGTTAGACTTTGGCTTTTAATCTTTCGTCCTCCTTCCTTCTTGTTCTCTTTGTTCTTCTCACGTGTTTGGGAACAGAGGAGGACGCAGGGGAGCAGGCAAGTGGGAGCAGATATGAAGGAGCAAATATGAGGAAGACGACTGTGATGTGGTGAGTCTCCTTTCATCGATCCGTTTCCTTTGCATTCGCTGTGGCGTGCTTCTTTGATCCACTACACATTGCTACACGTTTCTGCTCCTCTCTCCTCCTTCTTTGAACGTCATCGCTGCTCCTCACAAGCCTTCCTTATATCCTCCTCCACTTTCTTCGCATTCCTCTCGTGTGCTTGCAGGACACCCGAAGCAGCTCCATTTGGAAGTCAAGACGGAAGATGAAGACATATGCTAGAGCTTAAGCAGATAGGATAGGTTAGGCTATCTAAGACTAGTAACACTCTCAGGTATGGTACCCCCCCCCTCCCCTTGCGTAGGCCCCCCCCCCCCCCCCCCCCCCCCCCCCCTCCCCCTTCATGTTCCTTCCCCACCAGGCCCACCCACCGCAACAACTGCGTAGGGCCTAACCACAGGGCTAACAACCGGGCTAACAACAGGGCTAACAACAGGGCTAACAACAGGGCTAACAACCGGGCTAACAACAGGGCTAACAACAGGGCTAACAACAGGGCTAACAACAGGCCTAACAACAGGGCTAACCACAGGGCTAACCACAGGGCTAACCACAGGGCTAACCACAGGGCTAACCACAGGGCTAACCACAGGGCTAACCACAGGGCTAACCACAGGGCTAACCACATGGCTAACCACAGGGATCACCAGAGACTTAACCACAGGGCCAGCAAAGAGTTATTACCGTAACAAGGCTAATCACAGGGCTAACCACAGAGCCATCAACTAGGTTAACCACAGGGTGACAGGGCTAACAAAGGGCCACTGACTTATCACGTGAATATCAGAGCTTATGCTTGTTGGCACTCTAATAACAGGGCTTGTGCACCAGAGCATCTAATCACAGGGCTGTGCATTTGGAGTACTAACCACCAAGCTTGTGCGCCTGGGCATACTACCGGTAACCGCAGGGCTTGTGCATGCATGCAAGCACTGTTTTTACAGAAAATGTGCATTGGTCCCAGGACTTGCGCGTGAAGGAGCGCAGAGAACAGTCTATGCAACAGGGTGGTCAAAGCACAGGAAACCACCACAGGGTGTGAGAGGGGGTCCACAGAAATTCATGATACGGTAGTATGCGAACAACATTGTTGGTGTACACCATTTGCAGGAAATTTCCATGGTCACACTACTACCCTGCTCCTAGTCACAGAAGAATTCACAGCACGTTGGAAACATGTATCACTTCTAGTTACAGAAGTTGGACTACAGTAGTACCGTAGGTTTTTTTAAGCACACTAAATTACAGGTACGTTGATGGCACTTCAGCCAAAAACCACTTGTTAGCTCTGTTCTAGACTGGATGTGGATGATCAACCATGCTAGCAGGGCAGCTCCAGCCTTATCAGCTTCTCTATACTCTTGCTTGTGACCCCTTAGCCAGGGTCACATTGCGCTCGCACTGATGTCATGACAGCAGCTGGAGCAGCTCACCAGGAGAGGTCTGCTTACCATGCACACTCTCATGCGCAGTCAGGAAGGTGTTGCCGTGCTGCTGACGCATCTCCTCTTCTAATCCAGATTGGCAAAGGGGCCGCCACGAGTTGGCTGCAACACCTGGTGCGGGAAACAAGGCTGGTGGGTAGGAATCTGGCGCCTCTACTGTTACATGAGAGTCTAGTGATTCTGACCCTGCCCTTGCTCCTGCGGCGCTGCTGCCTCCCATGGCCAGGTCTGACCGGAGCTGCAGGTTCGGCGAGACGAATTGCGGCGAGCCTGAGGTTGGGGCATGCATGAGTTTTGGTCGTCTGGCCACTGGCGCCAGCAGCAGTGCGCTGTTCTCCTCGGGGCCTCTGCTGCTCTTAGATCCGCTCAGCCCACTCGGCCTCGTCCCACTGACGCCACTGGCCATGGGGGACAGACAGCTGGCAGGGCTCTCCGTGCGCTCTGGTGCCGCCCGCGCGCCGGCCATTGCTGCTGCCATTGCTGCCGGGGTTTTGGGGGTCTCCATTGCTGCTGGAACGGCAGGCGGCGTGCATGGCCTTAGGCGCTGCTGCTTCTCGCTCTCTGCTTGTTGCTGCTGCTGGTGTTGCTGTAGCTGCTGTAGCTGCTGTTGCTGGTGCTGCTGCTGCTGTGCAGCATTCACCTGCTGCTGTTGGTGTGTTGGGGGTAGATAAGCAGCAGCGGATGGAGCACCACCAGTTGCTACCTGTCCCGAAGTGCTCTGCACTTGCTGGCTTTGCGGGACCGCCACGTTTCCGGACGCCATCGGCTGAAAGCCAGTCACGGAAAACCCGGGAATCTGAGCTGGCGGTGGTGGGGTTGCAATCATCATCACTCCGCCTGGCGCCGCGCTGGGAAAGGTGGACGCGGGGGCGGTAGACCCATGGACAGCCGGCCAATAGGAAATCATCTGACTGGGCGCAGCCATCGGCTGGCCGGCAGACATAACGGTAGCGCCTGCGGCCGGCACGGAGACGGCGGCGCTGGGTTGGTAGATGCCAGGTGCGGCATACATGTTGTGTAAATGCGCCATCTGCTGCTGCTGCTGCTGCTGTTGTTGCTGCTGCTGAAGCTGCGCGTATTGCTGCTGCTGCTGTTGCTGCTGCATCAGTTGCTGCGGAAGGTAGCTCCCCGCGAGACCGCCTACGAGCGGCCCACTAACGCCGCCTGCAGCGCCTGGTAAGGCGGGGAGCGCGGAGACCGTCGCGGGCAGTCCGCCACGTGGCCTCAGGACGCCCATCGCGCCGGGGAAAAAGGGCGCGCCGCTGGAGAGCACGGAAGGAGGGAACGCCGAAGGTGCAGCGGAGTTCCTAACCATCATGACAGGCCCCGCTGACGTCATCACAGTGGGAGTCGGGAGCGCACAAGCGGCTACGATTGGCCGGACAGTGGGAGTTGGGACCTGAGGAGCAGGGGGAGTGGTCGTGAGAGTGACGGCCGGAGAGGAAGTGTCAGATATCGGCTTTATCGACCCCCCGCGAAGCACGGCGTCGACTGCGGCCTCGCAAAAATGCCACTGGCCCGTCCAGAGAAGTCCCGAAGCGCCGTAAACGGGATTGATGGTGCGGCCGCACGCCTCGAAGAGCAGCGACTGGAAGAGCGCGGGCCGTTGGATCTCGTCGACCCCCGAGATGAACCCCATGAGGCCCGCGCGGCCGTAGAACTTGGCGAGGAAGAGCGTCGCGTGGCCCTGCGCCTCCGCGCCGTCGATCCCCGCCAGGCAGTGGCGGATCACGCAGCTCTCGCTGCAGCCTTTTCGCAACACGCGACAGCCGTTGCAGCTCATGGCGACTGCTCTACGAGCCGTTTTTGAGTGATTCGCTGTTCTTGAAGAGCCGTTATCTTAACTACCAAAGAGAGTTTTGTTCTCACAGGTACCTCTGGAGCGCCAACTAACGGCGTGCACTAGGGGCTGGCCCAAACATCTGCTTTTCTCAAACACTAGTCGTCTGAGGAGCTTCGTAATTATGCTACCGTCACCCTTCAGTCACAGGTATTTAACGGAATGAGCGAGGGCGGCAGGATGAGAGGCGGATCAATTGTGGTTGTAGGAGGAATGAAGACACGGAAGCAACAGCAGCCTGGCTGCAGGGGATCAAAAGCGACTGGGAGCGAGACGAAGCTAACTAATGGAGCAGATCTCTGATCAGATTGTCGGGAGGGACGGGATCGTTGGCAAGTGCTTGCCCGACCCGCTCGCCTGCCTGTTTTCAGCCAAGTCGAGCCGCGTCACTTTTGTAGATCTTCCCAAGCAAGCCAACGAACAACCTAGGAATGAAATGACGAGGTCCCTCGAGGTGATCGGATCAGGTTAGGAAGGTCCGCGCAGACGTGGCACAGGCTTGTTGCGAAGCGAGGTTTTCTTCCAGTCGGCTCGGCAAGTTTGTTGCTGCTTTTGCCAGGGCAGCTCGGATAAGATATTTGCTGTGCACCAACTGCGTAGCCTATGCTGAAAGTGAGCGCCATCAATGTGCGCATCTGACGCACGAAGTATTCTACTCTAGCGGGGATCAGAAACGTCAGCCCGACACAATTCCACGTCGAACAGCTGCTCTACCTACTCATAATGAAAGCCCACCACCGAGGCTCCCGATTCGCGGCGTCGGCCCGGGGGCTCTTTACCATCCAAAACCGCAGTTGAAGCATGTGAGCCTTATCCAGTGAGTCACTGATGACATGGATGACGCACGCAACGCACTGCACCTTCCAACGTTTTGGGAAACTGTGTGGAACGCCTCGACGTGATTGGAGAGCATCGCCAACTTTGCCATGTCACTCCCTTGATTCGTCGAGCGCCCCACATCGGTGGAGGATGACATGACGCCCGCAAAAAGTTTTGAGAAACGTGTCAGCGAACAAAAACACATTTCTTCTCATGAAGGTTCTCGAGTCGTGACTTCAACAGAAACTGTAGTGCAGTGTACTGTACACGCGGACTCGCGGAGCCCCACACTCGGACTCGCGGTCAGCAATCTGGAAAATTGTATGGGAAGTTGGGAACCACCGTGTGACGACGTTTTTGTACTCGCTAGTTCTATATTCCAGCCGCGCAGGGATGACAGCAACAAGTCGGGAAAAAGCATGAGCCGCCTTTTCCTGGCTTGTGGGTCATGTGCTTGAAGGAGCTTTTCACTCTTGGACCTCGTTATTGCATCTCAATTCACAGCAACATTTGTAGGACCTGTGGAAGTATGGATATACAATTGAAGCAGTGGAGCTTATTTAAGCAAGACATACAACAGCAACTTTTATGCAACCCTGGTTGAAGTTTTTTCAAACCTATGTTAAACAGTCCAGTTTTAAATATAATTTGGTGATACATGTCAAGCATTCAAGAATTGATTTGCGCAAGTGTCTCGTAAAGAACGTAGACCTGTTCAATTTATAATAAAAGACATGCTATGTCAAAACATGTGTTTTAAGGTACCGGAGTATGTCTTTCCCCAATTTTCATGCCCCATAACCTTCACACACTATTTTTGCTCAATATAGAGTGCATATGTGTTGCATGTAGTGAGCACATATTTGCATTCTGCTAATTTGCTGTTTTCCAACAGTGGTGGTTAGCCACTTCAAATCTTGATGACGAGTCACCAATGCATTGATTCACTACACCACATGTTGATTACACGATTTAAAACTTTCCAGGTTCGACCTCATCATAAGCACTACATGTTTTTGGCCGATGAGGGTCGGCCTCCCAAATTATGGGAGGCACGCTCCTCTCGAGGCACAGCAGGCACTTATATTCGACTCTCCGACCAATCACAAGCGATGCTGAGGACTTCCCGGCGCCAGCCGTTGAGGGTGACGCGCGCATCAGCACTGTTCATGGACTCCATGCTCCTCTCCCTCCCCTTCATTCTCCGATTGCCATGCCATCCCATCCAGGGCCTATGTTATCAGGGCAATTACCCTGTTTTGACTGAAATTATAAGGTGATTTTTAGAGAAACCCTGATTTTTACAAGGTGATTTTTCGGACCAGCCCGTAAAACTGAAGGGTGATTTTTGAGCCCACTCGGATCACTCCGGGTTGTTTTCGCGGGGACCCGGATAGATTTAGAACACTTTTATAGTCCCCGACCTGCCTCGCATCCCCTCCCTCTCCCCGTGTACAACGCATTGGCCAGTTTCAGTTAATTTTCCTTAGCTTCGCTCCTGGTTGGGCCTCCAGGTGTTTGATTTCCGGTACTACGTTGACGTTATTAGTACTCCTCCATGCATATAAAACTTTTAAAGTCCACAGAAAGTCTCTCTCCCCCCCTCTAGCGCCGCTCTTTAATTTCCAACCTTCCCAGCCTTCGTGCCAACCCACTGTGAGTTTCACGAGCAATACCCCATTCCGCGAGATTCCGGTAAGGTGGTTTTCAGGCCTTTTCTGGCTCGAACCCGGATTCGTGAAGGCTTTTTTTCAGCTGGCTCGTAATTTACAGGGTATTTTTCACAGGGACCCGGATCGTCCGAGCTATAAAAAATCTAGCAATAGCCCTGATCCCATCCCATCTTCGAACCATCCTTGCTCACCACTTTCAAGGTCTCTTTTTCAAGTCCATTGCTGTGACGCAGGGACTCAACAAATAAATCCTTCGTTTTACCGCGCTACGTCTCTCGGTGTTTTACTTACGAGTCTAGCTTCTGATAGGCTTCAGGCCATGGATCCAGCTGTGGCGATCGTGTTGGGCCAGGATCCCGCGCCATTCGAGCAGCTGCTGCAGCGACTCCTTTCCCCGTCAAACGACGACAGAGGCGAGGCCGAGCGCATATTTAATCTCTGCAAGCAGCAGCCTGACGCTCTCGTTCTCCGCCTCGTCGCGGCGCTGCAGTCCTCTGCCGCAGGAGCGGACGTGCGTACAATTGGCGCGGTGCTCCTTAGACGAGTGATCACGAAGGACAGCGTGTCGCTATGGCCGCAGCTGAGTCCCGCGACGCAGGCGACTGTCAAGACCGAATTACTCGCTAGCGTGCAGCGGGAGCCTACTAAGGCGATCTGGAAGAAGCTGTGCGACACGATCGCGGAGCTCGCGGCGGGGATCGTGGAGTCGGGGACATGGCCGGAGCTTCTTCCGTTCATGTTCCAATGCGTGTCGTCGTCGGACGATCGCCTCAAGGAAGCGTCGCTGCTGATCTTCGCGCAGCTAGTGCATTTCTTCCAGTCGCAGCTCAAGCCTCACCTGCCCACCCTACACAATGTGCTTCTGCAGTGCCTCTCCCAGTCAGCCAATCCCGACGTGCGGATCGCCGCGCTCCGGGCAGCTGCGAATTTCGTCGAGGCGCTTGAAACTCCCGAGGAGCTGACGCAATTCCAGGATCTGCTGCCGGGGATGATGCAGACGCTGAATCTGTGCCTGCAGAGCAAGGACGAGGCCAGCGCGCAAGAGGCGCTCGAAATGCTCATCGAGGTTGCCGGCATCGAACCGCGCTACATGCGCAAGCAGCTGACTGACGTCATCGCCGCAATGCTGCAGATCGCGGAATCCACGCAGCTTGAGGACGCCACGCGTCACCTCGCCATTGAGTTCCTGATCACGCTGTCAGAGGCGCGCGAGCGCGCGCCGGGGATGATGCGCAAGGTGCCGCATTTGGTGGGACGGCTGTTCGCAGTGCTGATGGCGATGCTGCTGGATATCGAGGACACGCCCGAGTGGCACGCCGCGAATGACGAGGAGGAGGATTCGGGAGAGACGGCGAATTACGAGGTCGCTCAGGAGTGCCTTGACAGGCTTGCGATCTCGGTCGGCGGGAACACCGTTCTGCCCGTCGCGTCGCAGGCGCTTCCCGCATACGCAAACGATCAGGATTGGAAGAAGCGGCACGCAGCGCTCGTGTGCCTTGCACAAATCGCGGAGGGTTGCACCAAGGTAAGCTCTCTTGGCCATGCGATTTTTAACGAATGGTGATCTGTCACTACCCCTTGCTGCCACCCATCCCACATGCTTCCTCAGTCCCTCTACAAGCGCTCGGTCCCTTGTAAAGCCCTCTCCCCGCACCCCTCTCCCCCGCGCCCCTCCCCTCTCCCCCCGTGCAGGTGATGTCAAAGAGTCTGGATTCGGTGGTGACCATGGTGCTCAACGCCTTCAACGACCCCAACCCGCGCGTCAGGTGCGCTCCCCTCCATCCCCACGCGCTGCCGCAGCACCCGCCCCTACTCCCCTCTCCTTGTCTTTTCTAGCGTTGCGTACCTTGTCGAGCAGTTGCGATGGCAAAAACGGAGGTTGAGCGCTCCTTTTGTCGTTGTTCGGTGGCAGGTGGGCGGCGATCAACGCGGTGGGGCAGCTGTCGACGGACCTGGGGCCGGACCTGCAGCAGCAGTACCACGCGCGCGTGCTGCCCGCGCTCATCGCCGCCATGGACGACGCCGCCAACCCGCGCGTGCAGGCGCACGCCACCGCCGCCATCCTCAACTTCAGCGAGGCCGCCACGCCCGAGATCATGGCGCCGTACCTGGACCAGCTGCTCGGCAAGCTGCTGCAGCTGCTGCAGGTGCGCGAGGAGGGTGATGGGGGGGTAATGGAGGGTGCAGATTTTTTTGTGGAAAAGGTTTGTCTTAGGGGGGACTGGGGAAGACTGGGCGGGCTGATGAGTCGGGGGGGGAGATGTAACGGGGAAAAGGAGGGCTTGATTCTCTCCTGCGTTCACCCAAAAGCCCACTCTACCCTCCCGAGACTAACCGGAACACTCGAGCATAACCCCAATTGAATGAAGAAGCAAATGAATTCGCAATGCGGCGAATTGGCACTCCCATGCATGCACGGATACCTGCACTGTAGCATGCGTGCATGCGCGCACTGCCCCGCTCGTGCTTCCTCGTGCTTGCTCGCGATATGTGATTGGAGGGTCCTTCCATGTGGATTGGATTCACCCTGTGGATTCACCATGTGCGTGCAGTTCGGCAAGCGCATGGTGCAGGAGGGGTCGCTCACAGCCATTGCCGCCATCGCTGACTGCTCCCAGGTGCGTTGACCGCGTTGACCGCGTTGACTGTGTGTTAGAGCTCTTCCACTGTTCTTTCACCTCGCTGTTGATGGCTTCGTTGCTCTTTTCCTCGTTACCTCCCTTCAACACTTCCCCATCCTCACGCCCCTCCCCTGTTGCAATTCACTGTTGCATTTTGGCCTTTCGACCTCTCCCCCGCTCTCACCCTTCCATCAAACACCACCTCTCCCCATCGCCCCGCTCTCACCCAGCTCTGTGGCAGTAGCACTCTTCCAAGTACTAAAGCCGTGTGATCCCGTATTTCTCTGCTCCCCATCTGTTACCACCTTCCCCCTCACCCCGCTCTCCCTCCCCAACCCCACACCCTTCCCCAGGAGCATTTCTCCAAGTACTACGACGGCGTGATGCCGTTTCTCAAGACCGTTCTCACGCAGGCGGGCGACAAGGAGCAGCGCATGCTGCGCGCCAAGGCCATGGAGGCCATCAGCCTGGTGGGCATGGCGGTGGGCAAGGACAAGTTCCGCGCCGACGCCAAGGAGGTGATGCAGGTGCTGGTGTCGCTGCAGTCCGCGCCCATGGAGGACGACGACCTCACCATGAGCTACATGCTGCAGGTATGACGTCACTGTGAGCTACATGCTGCAGGTGCGTGCGGCTTCAGCGAGCAGTGCATGGTGCAGTGCAGGCATGCGCTGACCGTGAGGTAAGTGTGTTAGAGAGGACTCAAGGGACGCCAAGGAGGTGATGCAGGTGCTGGTGTCGCTGCAGTCCGCGCCCATGGACGACGACGACCTCACCATGAGCTACATGCTGCAGGTATGACGTCACTGTGAGAGACATGCTGCAGATACATGACCCCACCAGCCCCCACCCCTCCCTTCTCCTCCCTCTTTCCCGAATCCCCCCTCACTCTTCTCCGCCTTGCTCAAGCCTCCCAATCCCCCTTCCCCTCGTTCTCCCCCCCCTCCCCCTTCCCCTCTTTTGCCCTCCCTACCCACTCCCTCCCCTCTCACTCTTCCCTCCCACCTCCCCACCTCGCCGTCCCCCCCTTGCTCGCGCGTGCAGGCGTGGGCGCGGCTGTGCAAGTGTCTGGGGGCGGAGTTCCTGCCGTTCATGCACGTGGTGATGCCGCCGCTGCTGCACTCCGCCTCGCTCAAGCCAGACGTCACCATCTCAGACATTGATGATGACACTGCCAATGATGATGACGATGACGACAGGTGGGTGCTGTGTGTGGCTAGGGGGAGAGAGTGTGTGGGTGACTGGCTGGTGTGTGGTGACTTAGGATTCGACTCACAAGTCATCTCGCCTCGCTCAAGCTCGACGTCATCATCTCAGACATGGTTGACGATACTGCCAACGATGATGACCATGATGATAGGTGCGTACCTGGCTGGTGTGTGCTATACTGTGCCTGCTGAGCTGTGATATGGGTGCTCTGTGGGTCTGGAGGAAATGGTTGTGTTTGTGTTATGCAGTGCCTGTAGTGCATCATGCATTCTCTGCGCATGCTGCTCACGGTCTCTCTACCGCCGCTTCCCTGTGGGCCCACATGTCACCTCACCCCCTGCACCGCGCCCATGGCAGTGTGGAGACGATAACGATAGGCGACAAGAAGATTGGCATCCGCACAAGCATGCTGGAGGAGAAGGCCACGGCGTGCAACATGCTCTGCTGCTATGCGGACGAGCTCAAAGAGGGTTTCTTCCCCTGGATCGACCAGGTGAGGGCATGGAGAGGGGGATTATGCATGCATGGAAGAGGGACATGGCAGCACGTATAACAGGGCGGTTTTGGGGGGCGGGAGGGTAGCTGCCTCGTTGATGAAACAATGAAACGAAGAGGTGAATACACTCCCATCCCATGCACGAGCTAAATCCAGTGTCTTCCACCAACTCAACCGCTTTCAGTCTCCCACCAGGGGTTAGCCCACCACGTGCGTCACATGAAGCTCATTCGCCCACCGCCGCCCCTCCCTTATGTGTGTGTGTGCCTGTGTGCGTGCTCATGTGCCTTGTCGCCCCTGTGCCATGCCATGTTGTCCGGTGCCATGCTTCCCCTCCCGCAGGTGGCGCAGCTGATGGTGCCTTTGCTCAAGTTCTACTTCCATGAGGAGGTCCGCAAGGCCGCCGCCCAGTGTAAGCCCCGCTGCCCCTCACCCGCCCCCCCCGCGCTCCTCCTGCCTCATCCTTTGTGCTCTGTCCCACGGTTGCTTTCTGTTGCCTGCTTTGCTCCAGCCTCTCCCAACCACTCCCCACACCTCCACATACCTCTTCCCACACCTCTCCCCGCATCTCTCCTTACGCCTTCCCCCACACCTCTCCCACACCTCACACCGCTTCCCACACCTCTCTCCATGTGCGTCTGAAAGCCATCCCGGAGCTGTTGTTGGACGGCAAGCTGGCAGTGGACAAGGGTGTGGCGCCTTGCATGTCCCCCCTCTCCCCACACCTCACACCTCCTCCCACACCTCACACCTCTCCCGTCCCCCCACAAAACCCATCCCCACATGTGCGGCTGACAGCCATCCCGGAGCTGTTGTTGGATGGCAAGCTGGCAGTGGAGAAGGGCGTGGCACCCGCGGTGACAGCAACAGCGGAGGGCGAGAAGCGCTACCTCAAGCAGATGGTCGACTTCCTCGTGCCGCCGCTCGTGGAGGTTCTTACCAAGGTGGGTGCTACTACCTGGTGAAGGTGCTATCTGAGTGGATTCAAGAGTCACCGAGTAACAGCAACAAAAGCGCTACCTTAAGCAGATGGTCGACTTCCTCGTGCCGCCCCTTGTTGAAGTGCTCACCAAGGTGTGTGCTGCCTGGTGGGTGTGATGCCTGGTGGGTGTGCTGCCTGGTGGGGGTGATGCCTGGTGGGTGTGATGCGTGGTGGGGGTGATGCGTGGTGGGGGTGATGCCTGGTGGGGGTGATGCGTGGTGGGGGTGATGCGTGGTGGGGGTGATGCGTGGTGGGGGTGATGCCTGGTGGGGGTGATGCGTGGTGGGGGTGATGCGTGGTGGGGGTGATGCCTGGTGGGGGTGATGCGTGGTGGGGGTGATGCCTGGTGGGGGTGATGCCTGGTGGGGGTGATGCCTGGTGGGGGTGATGCCTGGTGGGGGTGATGCCTGGTGGGGGTGATGCCTGGTGGGGGTGATGCCTGGTGGGGGTGATGCCTGGTGGGGGTGATGCGTGGTGGGGGTGATGCCTGGTGGGGGTGATGCCTGGTGGGGGTGATGCCTGGTGGGGGTGATGCCTGGTGGGGGTGATGCGTGGTGGGGGTGATGCCTGGTGGGGGTGATGCCTGGTGGGGGTGATGCCTGGTGGGGGTGATGCCTGGTGGGGGTGATGCCTGGTGGGGGTGATGCCTGGTGGGGGTGATGCCTGGTGGGGGTGATGCCTGGTGGGGGTGATGCCTGGTGGGGGTGCTCACCTCGGTGGGTGCTCACCTCGGTGGGTGCTCACCTCGGTGGGTGCTCACCTCGGTGGGTGCTTGCTATCTCTACAGAATCAGTTTGCTTGAAGCAGGAGCTTCCGCCATCTTTCAAACATGGTGCGGTTTTGACTGAGTTATCCTCTTCTCATCGTGTTTTTCACACCCCCTGCTTCTTGCTCCATGCCTCTGCACTCTCCCCCCCCACTGCCAGGAGCCAGAGGTGGAGATGATTGTTGTCATGCTCGAGTCTCTGCAAGAATGCATTCAGGTGAGCCCAGGACTTCCCGAACATAAGATCCAGGGTTTTTTGGCACGAGTCCAGGAGTTTTCAACACGAGTTAAGACATTTTGAAACTTGAAATTGAGAGTTTTATCATGACTTCAGGGGCTTCGGGCATGAAATCAGGAGTTTGCAACATGGTTTCATGTGTTTCCAGCATCAGGCATGCGGTCACAAATACTGGTTGGCATACTGCTTGTTTCTCCACCCAGAAAACTCAATCCCCTCTTCTCTCTTCCCCTCCTTGGCCTCCTCCTCCCCCCCGCTCCCCTTGTTCTCCTCTCTTCCTCTCCTCTTCTGTTCTCTATGCCCTGCAGCTAGGAGGCGCGGAGTTGAGTGCGGAGCAGGTGGCGCAGGTGGTGGCGCAGCTGAAGGCGGTGGTGGAGGGCAGCAGACTGCTATGGAGTCAACCTAAAGTCTCCTATCTCCTGTCTTCTCCTTTCTGTGTTCTCCATTCCAGCTGGGAGGCGCAGAGCTGAGTGCGGAGCAGGTGGCGCAGGTGGTGGCGCAGCTGAAGGCGGTGGTGGAGGGCAGCCGGGCCCGGCGCAAGGAGCGGCTGGAGCGCACGCAGACAGAGGACTTCGACGAGGAGGAGAGCGAGCTGCTGCAGGAGGAAAACGAACAGGAGGACGAGGTGCTCGACCAGGTGCGTACTGTGGTGCTGCGCTGCTATTGTGGGGTGTGGGGGAATGAGGGGGGAAGGGGGGGTGAGGGTGAGTGGGGATGTAGGGACGGACGAGCTGCTGCAGGAGGAGAACGAACAGGAGGACGAGGTGCTCGACCAGGTGCGCTCTCTTGCTTCGGTGCTGTGGATGGGGGAGGGGGGAAGGTGTACAGAAGGGAGTGGGGCAGCGGGGGAGAGGGAGCAGCTAGAGCGCATACAAACAGAGGAGGAGAGCGAGCTGCTGCAGGAGGAGAACGAACAGGAGGACGACGTGCTTAATCAGGTGAGAGCTGCTCTGCTGTGCTGCTGCGGAACGTGAGTGAAGGGGGCTCACTGGGATGCAAGAGGGGAAGGGGAGACAAATGGGGGGAGACTAAGGTGTTGGGGACAAGAAGTGGGGAAGAGATGTGGGGACCAAGTGGGGGAGGGAGTGGAGGGGGTCTATACCAGGAGGGGGGAGTAAGGAGTGAAGATGAGAGAAGGGTTGACATTGTTTCCAACTGTTTTTGCAGGTTAAACAAGGTTTGGAGCACCTGACAACATCCGTGTGTGTTGTTGCCCTTTGCATTGCTCTGCGGTGGTGGCAGGTGGGCGACTGCATAGGGGAGTTGGTGCGTGTGTTCAAGGGCAGCTTCAAGCCCTTCGCCGACGACCTTGCTTCCTTCGTGCTGCAGATGATGGTCAGTGCAGCTCTCCTTGTCTCCAACCCCCTTACAGCCAATCTCTGCAAGCTCAATTCCGCCTCTGCCCTTGACTGCACATGCTCTCTCCTCGACCCCAGACACTCCACCATTCACTGACCCCTCTGCCCTGCTTCCTTGCCCGTCTTGTTCCGGTGTGCAGGACAAGAGTCGGCCGTCCACGGAGAGGAGGGTGGGCATATGCATCTTTGACGACCTGGCGGAGAACATGGGCGATGCTGCTGCCAGGTGCGGCCCCCTCTTGCCCTCCCTGCTGCTTCCCAATGCCTGCTCACATGTTCCTGGGTGCCCTGTGGTGTGTATGTACCGCATGCGTATTGCACTTCATTCCTCATTGCAACCACTGACGTATCTTGCATACTTGCTTACTTGTCCGCAAATCTACTCTCACCCGCACAATTCCATCACCCCCACATTTCACTCCTTACTCGCCCCCTCGCCCCGCGCCCCTCACCAGCTATTTCCCGGCCTTCCTGCCACACATCCTAGAAGCAGTCCTCGACCCCTTGCCTGAGATCCGACAGGTACCGCACGCCCCTTTGCTTGCCCCCATGCCTACCATACTCTGCCTTGTGACTTGTTTTCCCTCCTGGCATCTCTGTTGGTGATTGCACTGCTCCAATCATCAATTCGTCTCCAAGACCCTGCCAGCCAGATGACGCTCAACCCTTTCTACCACTGCTGCCTCCTTTTCCTCATGCCGATCCGCACCCTCATTCTCTCCCCCTCTCCTGTCCCCCCTGCGCCCATGTGTTCAACTGCAGTCGGCAGCATATGGCATCGGCATCTGCGCACAACACGGTGGTGCTGCCTTCACACCATACGTGCCAGGTGGGTCTCCTCTTCCTCCCTGCTCACACCTCTCTGCTTCCCTCATTCCCACTCTCCATTCCTGCACCTCCACTCCCATGCCTCCATCATCCGCATTCCCTGCCGTTTACCCCCCCTCCCACCAACTCATCATCGCCTCCCTGCCTCTTGTTCACCCATCACATCTCCTCCCCTGTCCACCATACACATGCAGACACGGTGGCACGGCTGGGGCAGGTGGTGAGCAGCACGGACAGCAAGAGCGAGCTGAGTGTGTCGGCCACGGACAACGCCATATCAGCGCTGGGCCGCCTGTGTGAGCACCAGGCGCACGCACCCTTTGACTCGCAGCAAGTGCTGTCCGTGTGGCTGGCCTACCTGCCCATCCGCGAGGACCGTGCCGAAGCCAAGGTCGCGCACGCCCAGCTCTGCGGCCTGCTTGAGAGGTGCGCTGCTTGCCCATGCCCGCATTCTCTCTGCCATCTGTGTTATTCTTTTATCTTTCCTTCTCATTTTTTTCCCCGCTTTTTTTTTGTATGCCACTCTGCATCCTACCCCCCTATTCACATCCCCTCCCTCCTCCCTACCCCTCCACTCCTTTCCCTACACTGGTCAGGTCGGATGCTCGCATTCTGGGTCCCAACAACCAGAACCTGCCGCACATTGTCGGAGTGCTGCTGGAGGTATGTACCTGCACAATATAACCGCTGCCCGCGTGCGCACCCACTGCCATGTCCTGGCTGTTCTGCTGTGCCGAGGCTACTGTTTGCTACACACGACATGCTTCCAAGGCATCGACTACGATTGCTTCTGAAGTACCATTTCTCATGCCTCACTTCAAACTGTTCCCTTCAGGTGCTCAAGGCTGGTACGGATCTGGCAACAGAGGAAACGCGCAGTCGAGCCGTGACACTGCTGCGCAGCTTACCAGCGGAGATAGTGGGGGCTTTGCCCCCGGAGCAGCAAGCAGTCTTGCAGCAGGCCCTTCAGTCCGCTTAGAGGCACCAATCACGCATTCTTATGTGAAATTATAAATGATGCATGTCTAGGGCGTTAGTAGGTACGGTAGTTCCCCCCATCCTGGCTCAGATTTGGGCGTAAGGAATTAGTAGAGGTTTGCTGTAGCATATCCCTCTTAGCTGTAGGCGATTGTAGTGGTTTGTGTTTGTACGAATGGTTATTTCTAGTACACGTTGCTACTTTTTGTAGGCAACAGGAGGGTTGGCTATGGAAGAGTCATTTTCGCAAGCGCTTTGTTTTCGCAAATGTTCGCTGGAGACCTTGGGATAATCCTGTATCCCCTGGAGCCCGACCAATGCGCGGGAAATACCAATTCGTCTTGACTGGACTGGGCGAGTCTGCTATCTCCACGCAGTAATACCATCCCTAGGTTGCACGCATTGACGGAGTTTTTTCTACGCAAGGTTCTAGAGCGGACTGCATTTCTCGCCATGGCTGGCTCTCGCGCTGCGCTGGCGCTGCTCGCGGTTCTAGCCGTACTCGGCGTGTCGTGCGCGGCAGCGGACGACGGCAAGGTGCTGACGCTCGACTTCACGAATTTCGAGTCGGAGGTTAAGAGCCACGATTTCATCGCCGCTATGTTCTACGCTCCCTGGTACGCGCGTCCACTCCCTTGCGCGTTCGCACTCCGGCGTGTTCGCTCTCTTCCGATGCTCGGTGTCGCTCGCTTGTGCCAACTCTCCCGTCGATCTGCAATGCGCACATCGTTCCCGCATTGCCTTCCGTAGTGCCATTCGACCTACTGCCACTTCAGGAGTTTCGTGGCAACATCGAGCGCTCCCTGCATCGCTGCACTGTTCTTATCTCCATTCACTTTTTTCCATTGCCCCTTATTTGACCCAAATAATCCTCGTCCTTACCCGCATTCCCCACCGCCTCGTGTTCTTGTGTCCGCAGGTGCGGTCACTGCAAGCGACTAGAGCCGGAGGTAGGCGGGCGAGGGAGATGTGGAGGAGAGGGAGACGGGATAGTATGCGATGCGAGACAGAGACGGAGAGAGGAAGGAAAGAGACCGAGGGAATGCGAGAACAGTGTCACCACGGCACATGTGCTTCACAGCTGCTGAGCTTACTGCAATCTGCTTTATTGCATAGTGCTATGAACGTGAATCCATAACTCGCACGCACCACCATAGTTGCACCTCGACTCGTCACCAGCCTCCGACGTAACCTCCTGCCACCGCACCCCATTGCAGATGACTGTGCGCCGGCACGCATCACATTGTGCCACGTGGCATGTGCTCGTCATTCCCTATGTGCTGTGCTGTGCAGTATCTCAAGGCAGCGGAGACGCTAGCGGAGGAGGGGTCGGACATAGTGCTGGCGCGCATCAGTGATGACTCAAAAGTCATTCTCTATGTGCTGTGATGTGCTGTGATGTGCTGTGATGTGCTGTGATGTGCTGTGATGTGCTGTGATGTGCTGTGATGTGCTGTGATGTGCTGTGATGTGCTGTGATGTGCTGTGATGTGCTGTGATGTGCTGTGATGTGCTGTGATGTGCTGTGATGTGCTGTGATGTGCTGTGATGTGCTGTGATGTGCTGTGATGTGCTGTGATGTGCTGTGATGTGCTGTGATGTGCTGTGATGTGCTGTGATGTGCTGTGATGTGCTGTGATGTGCTGTGATGTGCTGTGATGTGCTGTGATGTGCTGTGCTGTGCTGTGCCGTGCAGTACCTCAAGGCAGCGGAGATGCTAGCGGAGGAGGGGTCGGAGATAGTGCTGGCGCGCATCAACGGCGACGAGAAGAACAACAAGGCCATCGCCAGGAAGTACGGCGTGGCGGGCTTCCCCACCATCAAGATCTTCCGCACGTGAGTCGCCTGCTGGTGTATCGTACCGCTATGCCCCTTGCTCTGGCATGACGCCTGCCTTGGTGAGTTTGTGCCGCTAATGTATGTACGACAGCGAGGTGCCTCATATCCCTCATCCCCTCCCTCCTCTCGCTGCGTCATCCCGCACATTGTCTCCTCTCACCACACCCAACCCATCTCATCCTCCACCTCTCTCCACCCCACCTCTCCTCACCCATCCCACGTCTCGCCTGTCTCTCCTCCCCCCAACGACTATGCGTCCCCCCTGACGTACAAGGGTCCACGGGAGGCAGGGGGGCTGGTGGCGTACCTGAAGAAGCAGGCAGGGCCGGCCAGCACCAAGGTGCGGTCGGGGCGTGAGAATTCTAACAAGTCAACCCAACCCCTTCCCCCCCCTTTCCCCTCAGCGACTACGCGTCCCCGCTGACGTACAAGGGGCCGAGGGAGGCAGCGGGGCTGGTGGCGTATCTGAAGAAGCAGGCCGGCCCGGCCAGCACCAAGGTGCGGTCGGGGTCGGACCTCAAGCGCGCCATGGAGGACGACAGCGTCATTGTGGTGAGTCGCTGGCACTCCTGCCCATCTCTGTGCACCCCTCTCTCTCCGCATGCCATGCGTGTGCCGTGCCTGTGCTCTCTTGGGGCCAGCCAGCACCAAGGTGCGGTTGGGGTCGGACCTCAAGCGCGCCATGGAGGACGACAGCGTTGTTGTGGTGAGTCGCTGGCATCCCTGCGCCTTGTGCCATGCTCGTGCCCTTCTGTCCGCATGCCCTGTGTGTTTGCTGCACCTCTTGTGTCCACCATGCTTCACCAGCAAGCACCAAGGTGCAGTTGGGGTCCGACCTCAAGTGTGCTATGGAGGATGGCAGCGACGTCTTGCGTCTAGCGTCTTGCGTCTAGCGTCTTGCGTCTTCCGCAACTCAGTCCCCATCAGGTTCGTCCCCATCAGGTTCGTCCCCATCAGGTTCGTCCCCATCAGGTTCGTCCCCATCAGGTTCGTCCCCATCAGGTTCGTCCCCATCAGGTTCGTCCCCATCAGGTTCGTCCCCATCAGGTTCGTCCCCATCAGGTTCGTCCCCATCAGGTTCGTCCCCATCAGGTTCGTCCCCATCAGGTTCGTCCCCATCAGGTTCGTCCCCATCAGGTTCGTCCCCATCAGGTTCGTCCCCATCAGGTTCGTCCCCATCAGGTTCGTCCCCATCAGGTTCGTCCCCATCAGGTTCGTCCCCATCAGGTTCGTCCCCATCAGGTTCGTCCCCATCAGGTTCGTCCCCATCAGGTTCGTCCCCATCAGGTTCGTCCCCATCAGGTTCGTCCCCATCAGGTTCGTCCCCATCAGGTTCGTCCCCATCAGGTTCGTCCCCATCAGGTTCGTCCCCATCAGGTTCGTCCCCATCAGGTTCGTCCCCATCAGGTTCGTCCCCATCAGGTTCGTCCCCATCAGGTTCGTCCCCATCAGGTTCGTCCCCATCAGGTTCGTCCCCATCAGGTTCGTCCCCATCAGGTTCGTCCCCGTCAGGTTCGTCCCCGTCAGGTTCGTCCCTGTCAGGTTCGTCCCCATCAGGTTCGTCCCCATCAGGTTCGTCCCCATCAGGTTCGTCCCCATCAGGTTCGTCCCCATCAGGTTCGTCCCCATCAGGTTCGTCCCCGTCAGGTTCGTCCCCGTCAGGTTCGTCCCTGTCAGGTTCGTCCCCATCAGGTTCGTCCCCATCAGGTTCGTCCCCATCAGGTTCGTCCCCATCAGGTTCGTCCCCATCAGGTTCGTCCCCATCAGGTTCGTCCCCATCAGGTTCGTCCCCATCAGGTTCGTCCCCATCAGGTTCGTCCCCATCAGGTTCGTCCCCATCAGGTTCGTCCCCATCAGGTTCGTCCCCATCAGGTTCGTCCCCATCAGGTTCGTCCCCATCAGGTTCGTCCCCGTCAGGTTCGTCCCCGTCAGGTTCGTCCCCGTCAGGTTCGTCCCCGTCAGGTTCGTCCCCGTCAGGTTCGTCCCCGTCAGGTTCGTCCCCGTCAGGTTCGTCCCCGTCAGGTTCGTCCCTGTCAGGTTCGTCCCCATCAGGTTCGTCCCCATCAGGTTCGTCCCCATCAGGTTCGTCCCCGTAAGGTTCGTCCCCGTAAGGTTCGTCCCCGTCAGGTTCGTCCCCGTCAGGTTCGTCCCCGTCAGGTTCGTCCCCGTCAGGTTCGTCCCCGATCAGGTTTCGTCCCCGTCAGGTTCGTCCCTGTCAGGTTCGTCCCCATCAGGTTCGTCCCCATCAGGTTCGTCCCCATCAGGTTCGTCCCCATCAGGTTCGTCCCCATCAGGTTCGTCCCCATCAGGTTCGTCCCCATCAGGTTCGTCCCCATCAGGTTCGTCCCCATCAGGTTCGTCCCCATCAGGTTCGTCCCCATCAGGTTCGTCCCCATCAGGTTCGTCCCCATCAGGTTCGTCCCCATCAGGTTCGTCCCCATCAGGTTCGTCCCCATCAGGTTCGTCCCCATCAGGTTCGTCCCCATCAGGTTCGTCCCCGTCAGGTTCGTCCCCGTCAGGTTCGTCCCCGTCAGGTTCGTCCCCGTCAGGTTCGTCCCCGTCAGGTTCGTCCCTGTCAGGTTCGTCCCCATCAGGTTCGTCCCCATCAGGTTCGTCCCCATCAGGTTCGTCCCCGTAAGGTTCGTCCCCGTAAGGTTCGTCCCCATCAGGTTCGTCCCCATCAGGTTCGTCCCCATCAGGTTCGTCCCCATCAGGTTCGTCCCCATCAGGTTCGTCCCCATCAGGTTCGTCCCCATCAGGTTCGTCCCCATCAGGTTCGTCCCCATCAGGTTCGTCCCCATCAGGTTCGTCCCCATCAGGTTCGTCCCCATCAGGTTCGTCCCCATCAGGTTCGTCCCCATCAGGTTCGTCCCCATCAGGTTCGTCCCCATCAGGTTCGTCCCCATCAGGTTCGTCCCCATCAGGTTCGTCCCCATCAGGTTCGTCCCCATCAGGTTCGTCCCCATCAGGTTCGTCCCCATCAGGTTCGTCCCCATCAGGTTCGTCCCCATCAGGTTCGTCCCCATCAGGTTCGTCCCCATCAGGTTCGTCCCCATCAGGTTCGTCCCCATCAGGTTCGTCCCCATCAGGTTCGTCCCCATCAGGTTCGTCCCCATCAGGTTCGTCCCCATCAGGTTCGTCCCCATCAGGTTCGTCCCCATCAGGTTCGTCCCCATCAGGTTCGTCCCCATCAGGTTCGTCCCCATCAGGTTCGTCCCCGTCTGGTTCGTCCCCGTCTGGTTCGTCCCCGTCTGGTTCGTCCCCGTCTGGTTCGTCCCCATCAGGTTCGTCCCCATCAGGTTCGTCCCCATCAGGTTCGTCCCCATCAGGTTCGTCCCCATCAGGTTCGTCCCCATCAGGTTCGTCCCCATCAGGTTCCCCCCCATCAGGTTCCCCCCCATCAGGTTCGTCCCCATCAGGTTCCCCCCCATCAGGTTCCCCCCCATCAGGTTCGTCCCCGTCAGGTTCTTCCCCGTCAGGTTCGTCCCCATCAGGTTCGTCCCCATCAGGTTCGTCCCCATCAGGTTCGTCCCCATCAGGTTCGTCCCCATCAGGTTCGTCCCCATCAGGTTCGTCCCCATCAGGTTCGTCCCCATCAGGTTCGTCCCCATCAGGTTCGTCCCCATCAGGTTCGTCCCGGTTCCCCCCCATCAGGTTCGTCCCCATCAGGTTCGTCCCCATCAGGTTCGTCCCCATCAGGTTCGTCCCCATCAGGTTCGTCCCCATCAGGTTCGTCCCCATCAGGTTCGTCCCCATCAGGTTCGTCCCCATCAGGTTTGTCCCCATCAGGTTCGTCCCCGTCAGGTTCGTCCCCGTCAGGTTCGTCCCCGTCATGTTCGTCCGCGTCAGGTTCGTCCCCATCAGGTTCGTCCCCATCAGGTTCGTCCCCATCAGGTTCGTCCCCATCAGGTTCGTCCCCGTCAAGTTCGTCCTCGTCAGGTTCGTCCCCATCAGGTTCGTCCCCATCAGGTTCGTCCCCATCAGGTTCGTCCCCATCAGGTTCGTCCCCATCAGGTTCGTCCCCATCAGGTTCGTCCCCATCAGGTTCGTCCCCATCAGGTTCGTCCCCATCAGGTTCGTCCCCATCAGGTTCGTCCCCATCAGGTTCGTCCCCATCAGGTTCGTCCCCATCAGGTTCGTCCCCATCAGGTTCGTCCCCATCAGGTTCGTCCCGGTTCCCCCCCATCAGGTTCGTCCCCATCAGGTTCGTCCCCATCAGGTTCGTCCCCATCAGGTTCGTCCCCATCAGGTTCGTCCCCATCAGGTTCGTCCCCATCAGGTTCGTCCCCATCAGGTTCGTCCCCATCAGGTTCGTCCCCATCAGGTTCGTCCCCATCAGGTTCGTCCCCATCAGGTTCGTCCCCATCAGGTTCGTCCCCATCAGGTTCGTCCCCATCAGGTTCGTCCCCATCAGGTTCGTCCCCATCAGGTTCGTCCCCATCAGGTTCGTCCCCGTCAAGTTCGTCCCCATCAGGTTCGTCCCCATCAGGTTCGTCCCCATCAGGTTCGTCCCCATCAGGTTCGTCCCCATCAGGTTCGTCCCCATCAGGTTCGTCCCCATCAGGTTCGTCCCCATCAGGTTCGTCCCCATCAGGTTCGTCCCCATCAGGTTCGTCCCCATCAGGTTCGTCCCCATCAGGTTCGTCCCCATCAGGTTCGTCCCCATCAGGTTCGTCCCCATCAGGTTCGTCCCCATCAGGTTCGTCCCCATCAGGTTCGTCCCCATCAGGTTCGTCCCCATCAGGTTCGTCCCCATCAGGTTCGTCCCCATCAGGTTCGTCCCCATCAGGTTCGTCCCCATCAGGTTCGTCCCCATCAGGTTCGTCCCCATCAGGTTCGTCCCCATCAGGTTCGTCCCCATCAGGTTCGTCCCCATCAGGTTCGTCCCCATCAGGTTCGTCCCCATCAGGTTCGTCCCCATCAGGTTCGTCCCCATCAGGTTCGTCCCCATCAGGTTCGTCCCCATCAGGTCATCCCCATCAGGTTCGTCCCCATCAGGTTCGTCCCCATCAGGTTCGTCCCCATCAGGTTCGTCCCCATCAGGTTCGTCCCCATCAGGTTCGTCCCCATCAGGTTCGTCCCCATCAGGTTCGTCCCCATCAGGTTCGTCCCCATCAGGTTCGTCCCCATCAGGTTCGTCCCCATCAGGTTCGTCCCCATCAGGTTCGTCCCCATCAGGTTCGTCCCCATCAGGTTCGTCCCCATCAGGTTCGTCCCCATCAGGTTCGTCCCCATCAGGTTCGTCCCCATCAGGTTCGTCCCCATCAGGTTCGTCCCCATCAGGTTCGTCCCCATCAGGTTCGTCCCCATCAGGTTCGTCCCCATCAGGTTCGTCCCCATCAGGTTCGTCCCCATCAGGTTCGTCCCCGTCAGGTTCGTCCCCGTCAGGTTCGTCCCCGTCAGGTTCGTTTCCGTCAGGTTCGTCCCCATCAGGTTCGTCCCCATCAGGTTCGTCCCCATCAGGTTCGTCCCCATCAGGTTCGTCCCCATCAGGTTCGTCCCCATCAGGTTCGTCCCCATCAGGTTCGTCCCCATCAGGTTCGTCCCCATCAGGTTCGTCCCCATCAGGTTCGTCCCCATCAGGTTCGTCCCCATCAGGTTCGTCCCCATCAGGTTCGTCCCCATCAGGTTCGTCCCCATCAGGTTCGTCCCCATCAGGTTCGTCCCCATCAGGTTCGTCCCCATCAGGTTCGTCCCCATCAGGTTCGTCCCCATCAGGTTCGTCCCCATCAGGTTCGTCCCCATCAGGTTCGTCCCCATCAGGTTCGTCCCCATCAGGTTCGTCCCCATCAGGTTCGTCCCCATCAGGTTCGTCCCCATCAGGTTCGTCCCCATCAGGTTCGTCCCCATCAGGTTCGTCCCCATCAGGTTCGTCCCCATCAGGTTCGTCCCCATCAGGTTCGTCCCCATCAGGTTCGTCCCCATCAGGTTCGTCCCCATCAGGTTCGTCCCCATCAGGTTCGTCCCCATCAGGTTCGTCCCCATCAGGTTCGTCCCCATCAGGTTCGTCCCCATCAGGTTCGTCCCCATCAGGTTCGTCCCCATCAGGTTCGTCCCCATCAGGTTCGTCCCCATCAGGTTCGTCCCCATCAGGTTCGTCCCCATCAGGTTCGTCCCCATCAGGTTCGTCCCCATCAGGTTCGTCCCCATCAGGTTCGTCCCCATCAGGTTCGTCCCCATCAGGTTCGTCCCCATCAGGTTCGTCCCCATCAGGTTCGTCCCCATCAGGTTCGTCCCCATCAGGTTCGTCCCCATCAGGTTCGTCCCCATCAGGTTCGTCCCCATCAGGTTCGTCCCCATCAGGTTCGTCCCCATCAGGTTCGTCCCCATCAGGTTCGTCCCCATCAGGTTCGTCCCCATCAGGTTCGTCCCCATCAGGTTCGTCCCCATCAGGTTCGTCCCCATCAGGTTCGTCCCCATCAGGTTCGTCCCCATCAGGTTCGTCCCCATCAGGTTCGTCCCCATCAGGTTCGTCCCCATCAGGTTCGTCCCCATCAGGTTCGTCCCCATCAGGTTCGTCCCCATCAGGTTCGTCCCCATCAGGTTCGTCCCCATCAGGTTCGTCCCCATCAGGTTCGTCCCCATCAGGTTCGTCCCCATCAGGTTCGTCCCCATCAGGTTCGTCCCCATCAGGTTCGTCCCCATCAGGTTCGTCCCCATCAGGTTCGTCCCCATCAGGTTCGTCCCCATCAGGTTCGTCCCCATCAGGTTCGTCCCCATCAGGTTCGTCCCCATCAGGTTCGTCCCCATCAGGTTCGTCCCCATCAGGTTCGTCCCCATCAGGTTCGTCCCCATCAGGTTCGTCCCCATCAGGTTCGTCCCCATCAGGTTCGTCCCCATCAGGTTCGTCCCCATCAGGTTCGTCCCCATCAGGTTCGTCCCCATCAGGTTCGTCCCCATCAGGTTCGTCCCCATCAGGTTCGTCCCCATCAGGTTCGTCCCCATCAGGTTCGTCCCCATCAGGTTCGTCCCCATCAGGTTCGTCCCCATCAGGTTCGTCCCCATCAGGTTCGTCCCCATCAGGTTCGTCCCCATCAGGTTCGTCCCCATCAGGTTCGTCCCCATCAGGTTCGTCCCCATCAGGTTCGTCCCCATCAGGTTCGTCCCCATCAGGTTCGTCCCCATCAGGTTCGTCCCCATCAGGTTCGTCCCCATCAGGTTCGTCCCCATCAGGTTCGTCCCCATCAGGTTCGTCCCCATCAGGTTCGTCCCCATCAGGTTCGTCCCCATCAGGTTCGTCCCCATCAGGTTCGTCCCCATCAGGTTCGTCCCCATCAGGTTCGTCCCCATCAGGTTCGTCCCCATCAGGTTCGTCCCCATCAGGTTCGTCCCCATCAGGTTCGTCCCCATCAGGTTCGTCCCCATCAGGTTCGTCCCCATCAGGTTCGTCCCCATCAGGTTCGTCCCCATCAGGTTCGTCCCCATCAGGTTCGTCCCCATCAGGTTCGTCCCCATCAGGTTCGTCCCCATCAGGTTCGTCCCCATCAGGTTCGTCCCCATCAGGTTCGTCCCCATCAGGTTCGTCCCCATCAGGTTCGTCCCCATCAGGTTCGTCCCCATCAGGTTCGTCCCCATCAGGTTCGTCCCCATCAGGTTCGTCCCCATCAGGTTCGTCCCCATCAGGTTCGTCCCCATCAGGTTCGTCCCCATCAGGTTCGTCCCCATCAGGTTCGTCCCCATCAGGTTCGTCCCCATCAGGTTCGTCCCCATCAGGTTCGTCCCCATCAGGTTCGTCCCCATCAGGTTCGTCCCCATCAGGTTCGTCCCCATCAGGTTCGTCCCCATCAGGTTCGTCCCCATCAGGTTCGTCCCCATCAGGTTCGTCCCCATCAGGTTCGTCCCCATCAGGTTCGTCCCCATCAGGTTCGTCCCCATCAGGTTCGTCCCCATCAGGTTCGTCCCCATCAGGTTCGTCCCCATTATGAGGGTCTAGCGTCTTCCGAAACTCAGGTTGGCACTTTGCGTCTCCCCACTTGCAATGTCCCTGGCCTGGCGCTTATCCTCCGCCCGTCACCCCACCTCCTTCTCCTTTCATTCTTACTGACACCATTCTGTTTCTCTTCCCCCCTCATTCCCCTCCTCCCTGTCAGGTGGGGCTATTCTCAACGCTCTCATCCCCTGAGTTCGAGTCCTACCTGTCAGTGGCTCGCGAGCTGCGCACGGACTTTGTCTTCAAGCACACCACCGACGCCTCGCTACTGCCCGCCAAGGGGTCTGAACTCGAGGCACCCGCTGTGCGCCTGCTCAAGCAGTTCGACGAGGGCTACTCCGACACTCAGGTGGGCCTTACGTGTTATACCGTATCTTCTATGATTTGGCGCTGCTGGTCTCCAAGGGGCCTGAACTCGAGGCACCCGCTGTGTGCCTGCTCAAGCAGTTCGGCGAGGGCTACTTCGACACTCAGGTCAGCCCCCTCCCCACCCCGTGCCCTTCCGCACCCGGTGCTGCTTTCCCCATTCCCTCCCTTCCCCTCCTTTCCGTTTTGTGCCTGCTGACGCTCTTGGAGGAGGGATAACTCAAAACGCAGGTGATGCGGCATTGGAAGGGCCATGGGTGGTGCAGGTTGGTAGGTGGAAATGTCGAGATGTGATGCATGCAGGATGAAGACACACGCTGTGCAGGTCAGGTCAGCTCCTCATTGGAAAACCGTCCTTCCCCATTGTTCCCCTGCACCCTGTCCCCTGCCTCCTCCCCTTGCCACTGCAAGCAGGAGTTCTCGCCAGCAGCGCTCAAGGCGTTCATAGAGCGCCACGCAGTGCCGCGAGTGGTGGAGTTCAGCCAGGACCCCAAGGACCGCCCCTACCTCGCCCGCGTCTTCCAGGCTCCCACCAACAAGGTGCTCCCTCTGTCTCAGCCTTCTGACCTCTTTCCTGCTTCAATATTCTGGCCTTCCGTCTCGCTAGCGGATGCTGGTTCAGCTTCTTCCGCCTGTGGGACTCTCTCGACCATGCTTCCCGCTCAGCTGCTCGCCCTCTCTCCCTGCACCACAACAAAGGACTGAATTTCTCTGTGCTCGTTCCCACCCTTCTGCTATTCCCCACTTCCGCACCCTCCCCTCTCCTATCCCTGCAGTCGCTGCTGTTCCTGGCGTACAGCCTGCCGGATGCACCCGAGTTCCGCAGCCGGTACGTGGAGGCGGCACAGGAGCAGCCCGACTCCATCCGCCTCGTCATTGGGGAGGCCGCCGCCAACGAGCATGCTCTCAAGGTGCGGGGGAGGAGGGGTAGGGGGAGGGACTACCATACCACGGCCTCACTCAATCACACCAGGCCCTCGCAATGCCAGCTACGGCATCACCGGGCTGGCTGCAATCACTGAATTATTCTCTTTTGCTCCCAGCTTGCACCTCGCAGCACTCTAATATTGTTCACTCTGAATCATTACACCGCCCCCACCCACTCGGCCCATGTGCTTCCGTGGCAGTACTTTGGGCTGGCAGTGAGCGACACGCCAGCCATGGTGATTCACGACCCGCGCTACGATGCCAAGTTTTTCCGCACCCACATCGCCCCCTCCGACATCGCGCCCTTCCTCAAAGACTTCCAGGTAAATCCGCCTAATCTGCCCTGCGCCAGTGCTGCCCTTCCTCAGCTCCCCCTCGCTCTGCTCAATCTCCATTTGGTCTGCCCTCTTTCAAATATGCCTTTCACAATTCTGCACTTCCCCCAATTCTGCCTCCTTGTCCTGTCCTATACCATATCTCTGTATGTGCCATGCCACCCCTGCCTCCACCCGCCCGTCCTCCGGAACACCCAATTCTGGTGCTCCTGCTCCCACTCTCCCTCCCTGGCGTCCCTTCCCTTCATGCCCATGACCCCCTGGGAGCAGGCGGGGAGGGCGGAGCGGGTGCTGAAGAGTGAGGCGGTGCCGCAGGGGGAGTCAGGGGCGGTGAAGAAGGTGGCGGCCAACAGCTTCAAAGATGTCGTGCTCAACTCCCGCAAGAACGGTGCTCGCTCACTCACGCCTCCCTGCGCATACCCACCTTCTCTCATGGCTATGCTAGTGCCCATGTGCTGTTTCTCCTGGGTTCTTTGCCCTGCCTCCACCATTCCAGTCACATCCAGAGCCCGTCCGACTGTGAGTGTGTTCTCTTAAGTCCCTCACCTTCTCTTCCCTCACCTGTTTTCCCCCTTCTTCTCCCTTCCACCGCTCCCAACACCAGTGCTGGTGGAGTTCCACGCGCCCTGGTGCACAGCCTGTGCTGACCTGGACCCCGTGCTCAAGGACGTGGCAGAGAGCCTCTCCGGCCAGCGGGACGTCGTCGTCGCCAAGATGGTCAGTGCTGTTGCATTTCATGCATGCATGACCGGCTGGTTACATGCACATGTTTCAGCATGATCAGTGGGTTTGTGTGATGGCCGGATGCGGTAGTACGACAACACCAGATCCATCTGGTTGGCATGACGTTGCATCCCAAGTGGCACGATGTGAAAGCGCGCCACCTTCTCTGCATGTGCTTCATCATGCCCAATGCGTGCAGGACTTCTCTGCCAACGACATTCCATCGGATAAGTTTGACGTGAAGGCACTGCCCACCATCTACCTCTACACATCGGCCGGTGTTGCCGTGCCGTACGCTGGCGACAACTCCAAGGCCAGCCTTCTCGCCTTCGTTAGGAAACACAAGGGAGCCAAGAAGGCTGCTGCTTCCCCCCCGACAGCGGAGGAATTGGCGGAGGCTGAGGAGATTGCCAATGTGGAGGAGGAAGAGGAGGATGAGGATGAGAGGAAGGATGAGCTTTAGTTATATTTAGTTCCTTCAATGCTGCAACATTCAACTTGAAAACCTAGGCTTGGGCAGAGTTAGGATAATTGTTATTTAAATCGAGTTGCTTCGTTCATTTATTATGACGAGGATACACGAATGCTCTTCCGCGTGCAACCAATCAGCGTGAACCAACTGTCATCCAGAAGCAGCCACGAGAGCAACTTCCCTTTTCCCGCCAAAACTGCATTCACCAGTCGAGCCAGACCTGTTTCCCCTCCAGTCGCTTCTGAATTTCATTTTCCGCCTCTCGCCTGCACGGCTCGTTATTATACAGTGCCATCACCAGTACTTCTCGCTAGCGTACATGCACCACAATAGCGTCCTCCTTTCGGGCATCGCTGTCTGGTCTTTTTGATATTGCCTATTCGCTGATCCTCTCAGAAAGCGTCATTTGCGTGGGTCGCGGAAGATAAGCCCGTCGCGATCGCGAACACCATGGACCTCATTCGCTGCATCACCGTCCACACTCCATGCTCGTGCGTGTCGCCAGCCTTGTCAGTGTCTAAAAGCCGACAACGTCCTGGCTCTCTCGCGGATCCCTTTCACGACAGACGCCGGATACCGTCGTCGCAAGCCGCGTTCTCTCGGCACTCTTCTCCTGGCACATTCCTTCAATGCCGCGCTCCTTTCTCCTCACTTTCCCGATTGCCAATGCATCGGTTGCCACGTCAGCAGCAGCCAGGTCGATTCCGACGAGCCCGACGAGTCGCCGTGATGGCTGCCGACCAACGCGATAGTGACTTCTCCGTTAAGTCGAGTAAGGTGCTTCCTGCTGGCATTCCGTTCACGTGACGTCACTCCGCCCCCCTCACTCCCGGACCTTCTTACTCCCCGTGCACTGGATTCTGGCCTCGCTGCGCACATTTCTCGCTCCGACCAGCTACGAGCCTATGCATCGCTCTCACACATGCGACCATGCCGTTGTTACCCCCGCCTTGCCACATGCGCACACGCAGGCAGCAGAGACGGTGCTGACGTCAGCAGCGAGGAGGGGATTGTGATGGAGCTGCCTTGCTTGCCTTTCAACCCCGCCGAAGTGAGTCAATGGGGTCAACAGGCGAGTCAACGGGGTCAACAGTAGAGTCAAACGGGGTTGACGGATCAAGGGAATCATCAGGGTAGTCAAGAGGGTCAACGAGATTGTCAACCGGGTCAAACAGAGAGGCAAGGGGGTTATAAGGCGAATCAAGAAACGCACCTCACATGGTCCCTTCCGCGTGTGTCCCCCTCCCCTCCGCGTGTGTCCCCTCTCCTCCGCGTGTGTCCCCTCCCCTCCGCGTGTGTCCCCCTCCCCTCCGCGTGTGTCCCCTCTCCTCCGCGTGTGTCCCCTCCCCTCCGCGCGTGTCCCCTCCCCTCCGCGTGTGTCCCCTTCTCGTGTGACCCCTCCCCCCCCCGTGTGTGTGCGTGCATGGCGGCAGGTGTTCCTGCCCGGGTCATCCAAGACGCTGCATCTGTACGAGGCGCGCTACCTCGCGCTGCTCGAGGAGGTGCGTTGCTGCTGCCGGAAGGCACTGAGGTGATTCTTGGGTCGCCTAAAGAATCACCTCAATGCACCCGCCAGGGGGCACTCCGCTGGGTGCGTTGGGGAGGGCTCTAAGGGGGTCACTGGTGAGGTCCCTGGGAAAGTCGTGCGTGTAACGGGGGTGGGCTAGTGAGCAGCGCTTTCAAGAGCTCCTCGTACCCAATGACGAGTCCCAGCCATCGTACCAGAACCTTTCACCAAGCTGTCGTATTCGTATCGCATCATCTTGCCAGTCGTTTGGTGAACCGTTTTGTGTCACGTGCATTGTGTACCCATGCACCCCATGCACCCGATGCACCCCATGCACCACCCTGCAGGTGCTATCACGCAGCAGCGGGCTGTTGGGCCACGTGGTGTTGGAGCCCATGCGATCAGAGGATGGGCAGGGCATGACCTTCGTCGCCTCCTATGGCTGCCTCTCCTACGTTGAAAGCGTGCGCCCTCCCACTTATGCCTCTCGCCTCCTGCTTCCCTCCTCCTAACTCCTCTCTCCTGCTGCCGCCTTCTCTGCTCTTTCCTGCTCATTGTCCCGCAGTGCCCGCCCTTTTCCATCCTTGCAATTCTTTCACACTCGGCTGTCCTTCCCACCCTCTACATTCCCCCATCCTCTCCTCCCCTTCCGCCCTGCAGGTGCGGAAGCTGCAGGTGGGGGCGCTGGTGGCGGTGAGGGGAGTGGGGCGCATTCGCCTACAGCAGCTGACGCAGGTGGAGCCCTTCCTGCGCGGCCAGGTTGCTGTTGTCACTGACGACCGCCCAGAAGAGGGTGCAGGGGCGGGTGGTGTGGGCGAGGAGGTGAAGAGGGCTGTGGAGGAGTTGAGAGCGGTGCTGAGGGATGTGCAGGAGCTGCAGATTAAAATCAAGGTAGGGCGCATGGCGGGTTGTATGTGTGAAAGGCGGTCGAGTTTTCTTTGACTGGAAATCTGAGGTCAAAGTCTGAAAGGCATGCACAGTGGCGAAGCAGTGCATAACCTCGCCCTGCATCCCTCCCCTCCATCATACCACCGTGCGTGCAGACGACCACGGATGTGCCCCTACAGACGCCCCTGGAGAGGGCTCTACGCTGGGTGGGACCGCTCTACGCTGGGTGGACACCGTCACTGCCGCCTCTGCTGCTGCTGCTGCTGCGCCACCAGCAGCACCGGCAGCACCCAGCGCCCCTGCCAGCGCCGCCACCGCCGCAGCCCAACAGCCCGCTGCCACCTCGCCCCAGACAGTTGGTGATGCTCTACGCTCAGGCACCGGCGAAGGCACAGGAGTAGGTGCAGATGCAGGCGATGCCAAGAGCAGCAGTAGTGGCGGTAGCAGCAGTGGGAGCACAGCAGCATCGCCATCAGCATGGTCCATTCTGCCGGATGACGATGGCGTGGAGCCCGACCAGCTGCCGCCCGAACAGCTGGAGTCTGCCGCCCGGTTTCTGGGCTTCCAGGGGCTGCCCACGCCCGCCATTCACAGCACCGTGGCCGTTGATCCGGCCTCTGTGCCCCTCGACCCTGACTTTGGCAAGGCTGCTCGTAGCACCAGCACAAGTTCCTCTAGTAGCAACAGCAGCAGCAGCAGTGAGAGTGAGAGTGGGAGTGGGAGTGAGAAGGCAGGTGACGTTGGGGAGGGCGGGGAGAGCAGGGGGGCGTTGGAAGGTGCTGGTTCAGTGGGGGCTCTGGAGGTGCCACCGTATCGGGAGTACCTGCCATCGTATGAGGAGCTGGTCACCTTTGCTGCCCTGCAACCAGTCGCAGGTGACACATGCCTACCATGCCATGCCATGCATTGCCCATGCTGTGCCATACCATGCATGCCATACCACTTCACGCCGTGCCGTGCCTCGCCATGCCATGGCACGCCATGACATGCGTGCTGTGCTGTGCCAGGCACTGCCTGTCTTCACTCCACCTCATGCCTCCCCCTGATGCCAACATTGCTGGTCTGTCCGACAAGTGATGTGGTGACGGACTGTATCTCTCTGCCTGTGGCCCTCATCTCCCAGTCTCGCTCCCTCCCCCCCCCCCCCCCCCAACCCTCCCAGGAGCATCAGCAGCGGAGCTGCACGGGCTGCTGCAGAAGCGCCTCGCAGCCATGGAGGAGACAGACACCATGAAGCGGGCGGCACTGGCTCGGCAGTATGCGGAGCAGAGCCGGGCGGCACTGGCTGCTAAGGTGGCACTGCAGAGCCTACAGCTGTGAAAGGGTCATTGATGCAGTTGATTTGGTGCAGTGGACAGTGCAATGCAAGATTGGCACTGAGCAAGTAATGTGAACAACTGAATAATTGGCTGTTCAAAAGCTGCTACTCATCCCAGGCTGACAGGTTCACATGCTTTTTGCATTGAATGATGAAACACATACCGTGGCAATATTTCCATTCCAACCTTGTGTGAAAGTATTGGAAGGAGTGGGTTCTCATGAAGCTTTTCCAAGGTCTGAAAGAAACCATTACATAAGCAAAACGCCAAGATCCTACCTAGATTGGCTACTACGGTAAGTTTCAGTTCCAAAGTAACAACGCTCTACGGCAGCTGGTATGAGCAAACCGCCAATTTCCTACAAGCCATGTAAACTAACAACGCCACGCCACCAAGCCATATACGTAACTTCCTCCTACGGGTAATAGCGCCGCAAGTGAAGCATCTCTAGTATGGGCTGCTTCTCTGGTGCTGTATCGGAGCCCTCCTTCCGTCGCAAGCCAAAGCGTGGCTCCCGCCGCTGGGCGTCGCAACTCAACAAAGCAACAGCGCTTTATTCCACTTGTCCCCGTCTCCTAAGCGCCACAATACGCCAAGCTGCAACTCGTCACGTCAGTTGCTTCTGATACCGCCGGAACAGCGGACCCGCCCTGTTAGTAGCGACGGGGACATCCAGCGCGGGGACGGCGTTAAATTCGTAGGGCGGCGTGAAGACATTCTTGCCCGACTCGGTAAAGAACGCGCCATTCTCGAAGTGATCGCCGATGGATTGCCACGGCCAGTTCTGCCAACCCGCGCTCGACACGTGGATCTTCGTCCACGTCTTGTCGCTGATCTGCTTCGCCTCCCACCCGTGCGTGTCCTGCCGCTTCGTCACCTCCTTAATATCCCCCGCGACGAAGTAATTCGCCTCACTGCGAAAGCTCACGTTAGCGGAGCCGCCAATGGCGTAGATGCCCCAGCCGTTGGGATAGTAGTTGTTGACCACGTGGAACTTTCCGTGCCGGCCGCTGTTGGCGAGAAGGGAAAGAAAAAAGCCGGCACATTTTGAAGATGCACTCACCACATTTTGCCGTGTAGGTAGATATATGCTGAAGCAACGAGAAAAAATCAGTTGTGGGACGGGCACTTACCGAGGCATGCGCTGGTTGCAGTTGGGGCCGAACACGTTGAGCCCGACCGTGACGCGCATGTTGTCGTCTGTCGTCGCCGCGTCGTCGTTGCTCATCAGCATCACTTCGTCCTGGTTCACGAAATAGTTGTTGGTAACCGCCACGTTCGTCGACCCGACGACGATGTTGACCTGCGTGTCGAGCGCCTTCTCGAAGCCGCAGTGGTCGATCCACACGTTGCTCGACCCCCACACCTCCACCGCATTGCCGTCGCGCCAATCCTTCACCTCCACGCCCCTCCCGGATCGCACCTTGATCGTGCCGCTGAGTGGAAGGGGGGGGAGGAAACGGGATGTGAGTGCGGGGATTGTGCTGGCAGCATAGCGCAAGGTGCACCAAGGCGGAGAGCATGCGCGCTTCACTCGCGGTGAGGTGACACAATGTGAGGTGCTTTCTGCGAGGACGAGTAAACTACTTCGCGTACATGTTCGCGCGAGCGCGTACCTGCGCATGGTGCAGTTGTGGAAGATGACGGACTCGATGATGACATTGCTAGATCGCTCGATGCGAGCGCACGGGCCATTCTGAATGACGACGGCGCGGCCGCGCGCGTCGATGGTCTTGTCGCTGGCGATCATGAGCTCCGCCTTGAGCTTGTCGAACACCATGTCTCGCTCAAACACGATCCACAGCGGCTCCTTCTGCGCGCACGCAAGCGGGGAAGATGAGGCGCGAGGGGGAGAGAAACGAAAAGGGGTTTAGAGGCACGCACGGGGTGGGAGAGCGTCGCGGGCAACGGTACTCGCGCAATCGTCTATGCACTGTTGTGCGGCCAGCATCAGAGGGGAGAAAGGTGTCGCACGTCGTCGCATGGCGACGCACCTGGATGATGCCGTATCGCAGCATGCCCTCCGTCGGGTTCACCGGGTCGTCCGCCTCCGTCGTCACAACGTACAGCTTCCCGCCCTTTCCGCCCGTCGTGCCCTTGGCGAATCCCGGAGCGCAGTTGCCGAGCTCCTGACGGTTGGTCTTCCAGTCCGCGGACCACCAGCACTTGTCCACCGGGTTGTTCGTCCACACGCCCGCCTTATGCTTTCCCGACCCCGCGGTTTCCGCCACTCCCAATCGGCACTTCTTGCAGTTTTTTATTGACTTTCCGCTCCCGCCGCTAGACTTGTCGCTGCTCTTGCTGGACTTGCTGCTCTTGTCGCTCTTGCTGCTCTCGTCGCTATTGGCGCTCTCGACGCTCTTACTGCTGCGCTTGCTGCTCTTGTCGCTCTTGCTGCTTTTGTCGCTCTTGCTGCTCTTGTCCTTGCTCTTGTCTTTCTTGCTCTTCTTGTGCGACCTGCCAGTTAAGTTTTATCAAGGAATCAGAGTAAGTTTTAACTAGCAATGAACTGGGCAAAAGCGAGGTGGAATGGAAATATCCAACACCAATACGAGCAAGCGAAACTCACTTCAGCTTTCGACGGGTGATCAGGTCCGCAGATGCAACGGTGACCCTCTCGTCGTAATACCGTGGAGCCTCTGACGCAAGCCGTACTTCGGAGTTGAGGGTCTCAATTTCGCGTTCGCCTCCGCTCACTGTCGTGCAGGCACACGCGAGAATGGCGGCGACAAACAGACCGACAGATAAACGAGCCATGGAATACGACATGGTTCGATCAGAGTTTCGCGAGTAAGAGCTGCCGAACTTCATAAAATAGTCGCAATGGATGTCGAGGAACGCGAGAAACGGACTACTTGCACCAGCCAAGCTTGCTGATTACTAGAGCTATATGTGCATGGCAAGTAGCAGACCCAATGGTGAATTTGAATGTTGAACGCAGGGGGTGAATTCGGGGCAAAAAGGGGCCGAGCAGCGCCCAAGGAGCAGAATAGCGCCCCTGGCGCTTCGGTGTGGACGGCATCAATGCCTGTGATTCGCTGCTTGGGTGTTGCTTTGGCGGCTCGAGGCTCTAGACTCACGACTAGGCAGCTCATGGAAGTGCCACCGTGGGCAAATAAACATTTGCGCCTCGGTGACCTGTGGAGTCGGTGGGCAGGCGAGCCCCTATCTTGAAAGGCTTCGAGAGTTTTCATTGGCTAAACAAGCCCCTCTGTTTCTCGCGCTATTGGATCCCAAGCGCGATCCCGCGTTTGTGCTCTGGCTGGGCGAATCGACTTTGTCATCTTCCTTTTTATCACGCTCGCATTAGGCTCGAGTAAACTTTGATTGAAAGCGAGCCTCGAAACGGCAGCATAAGCCACAACACCTCCAATACAATCACAGTGCGCCAAGGGAAGGGTGATATTCCGACACACTCATACCCAGAAATTAGTTGTTCGTTACTGTCATGATTCGTAAAATCTAGCTTCCAGATTATGCCTCTAGTGTAAAGTAATGTGCGATAGGCAATATTGCTGAATTATACACACAGGTGCTTAGTTTGAAAACATGTTCGGGTGTGTCTTCAATCCAGCCTATTTCTTATCAATCTGAGCTACAAGCGTGGACACACAACGCCAAAAACGTTATAGAGTATCTGCTCAAGCCAGAATTGTGAGGGTGCCATCCTCGTTTGACAGCACGAGCTCACATTGCTCATCACCATGCAGATGCTCCACCTCATGCCTCTCATGACCGTCCTCCAACCCGTTTCTACCAGCACCGGACTCCTCCCCTGCGTGTCTCCCATGCCCCGCAGCAGCCTCCCTAGCAGTGACCACGAATTTCACATCACTGGAGGAGCCCCGTGCCACCGTGATTCTCAAGGCCATGCTGCCTGCTGCTTCGGTTGCGCCTTCCTCCCCTTCACCGTTCGGCCGGTGCTGCCGTCCCTCCGCCGACCACTCATAAAGTGACTCCTCGGCGAAGGCATCCAGGCCTGTGGTTGAAAGGGTGGATTGTAACAAAGTGCAGCAAGGTGAATAAGGTTACAACAGAGCCCACACACAGGCCGAACAGTGTGGGAGGGCAGTAGGAGAACGCAGTGTGGGCAAGAGGGGGGTATGCAGTGGGGGGGGAAGAAGACTGGTGTGCAGGCGGAGGGGCAGCAAGCCTGTGTGGGCTCACCTCGCTGCATGTAATCCTCATCGCCATCGATGCTGACCAGCACGTCTGCCAGCTTCAGCCCCAATGGCAGCTTGCCACCTGTCCCATCGCCGTCGCCCTCCGTGCTGCTCTCCAGGGCAAAGAGCGTGCGTGCCGCCCGGTTGGCGCATGTGAGCTTGCCGTCCGCTGACACCGCCACCATTGCATGCTGTGTCGCCTGGTAGGTTATTGGATTGAGTGGGGGAGGGGAGTGGGGAGGGAGATGGGGAAAAAACCGGGATTTGAGTTGAGCGGCTGAGGCTGTTTGGCTGGAAAAGAGGCGGACAAGGGCAAACATTCAAGCGGCTAATCCCCCTCCCTCCGCCTTTCCCCACCCATCCCGCCCATGCGCGCACAGCGCCTCCGCGGAGCCCTCACCTCGAGCATGTCGTTGAGTCGCTCCTCCGCCTCCCACTTCTTGCGCCGCTGCTGCACGCCCACCACCACCTGCGCCACCGTTTTAGTCACGGGCTGGATGCTCATCAGCAGCCCCTCGTTATAGCCCCCCTCGCGGTTCGACACCGCGTAGATCCCCACCAGATCCGGCCCGGAAAACAAGGGAACGCCCAGGAAGCTCCGCATCTCCGGGTGGCCGGGCGGCACGCCTTGTCCGGAAGCGCGCGGATCGTTCGGCACGTCGTTGCTGATGACGACGTCAGCGGACGTCACGACGCGGCCGAAGATGGTCTTGAGATTGCCGAACACGAGCCCTTTCGGCGCGTTCTCCGCGTACCACGCGCGCAGCTCGCGGTTCCACGCGAGGTTCGTAATCGAGTGCGTCTTGAGGTACAGCGACCCATCGGCGCGCTTCAGCGC